TTACTTCTCATAGGGTTCGTATAGGCAAAGATGAGGACTCAAGTGAATCCAATTCTTCTAAAAACCTGCTTGGAAGCCCTATAAATATATTGGATAACGATGAAAATAATAAAGAAAAATTATGTTCTGCTTCAAACAGAACGTTGCAGAAAGATTTTTCAAAAATCAAACAGAGTTGCAATCAAAAACATATTTCTAACAATCAGGACGAAGACGTAATAAATATGCCTTGCAAATATAAGGAGTTAATGGAATGTACAGAGCCAATTACAAATATAAATGACACAGTAAATATTCCTATGACGGAATTATCAGGAAGTCCTTTGAAAAATTTCTCTCAAGTTCGAAAATTAAATAGCCGAGATATTGATGTCTCTGTTCAAAATCCAGACTACGGTATAGAAACATTTTGCTTGAAACAAGGATCGTTTTATGATCAGAATATTAGATTTGTTGACGATGACGATGACGAGTACATCGATTAGAAATTTAGTAAAATTATTTTTATTAATTTCTACTATAATTTTTATAATTTTTTTATTTTAATATCTCTTTTTCTATCATTCTATATATTAATAGCACGTCAAAAATTTGAATTTTATTATTTAATGATATGACTATCTTAATACATATTATTTTTTTTAATATATTTGTTTCTTGTTATTGCAACGTAATGATTTTTAAAAAATTGTTAAACTTATAAACAAGTGTGTACATTAATGTCTCTCAATGGGATTGAAACTTGTATCGAGGCACTCTATCTAAAATTACTAGAATTCAGAGATCGTGCTATAATAATATAAATAATATGTAATGCTGCCATAAAGAAAACAAACAATAGGAAGAAAAGAAAAGAAAAGGAATACTATAATTGATTATCTTAACTCTGCCACAGAACGATTCATATCAATTTACAAAATTTGTAACTATACACTTTGTCAATTATAAAAATAACTTATAAAATTTAGGGAAAATATATAAAAAAAAAAAAAAGAACAGACGATAGAAAAGTGCAAAGACATTGTCATATGACTGTTTTTGCGTCTAATTGAGTGTAATAATTATAAAATACAATTCAGCAGCGTTTGTTAGCCTGATCGTTGAATATTAATGCCACGAAAGATAAAGTTATATTATTATACGAGACGCTTCAAATTGTATTTAGAGATATATTATTATAATATTATTATAATATCAAACTCGTGTGTTGAGTTGAAAATTTTTGAAATTTTGTTTCTAAATGAATTATATTTTTATTTTAAATTTATGTAAAGTTTTTTATCTGTTCGTCTGTTCTTCTAATTTTTAATTTAAACTTATGATTTGTCGGTAATCTAAATGCAAGCCTATGAAATTTCATCAGGAAACACATAGGGTCTAAGGTCTCATATTTTTAAAGAAAATAAGAATGGAATTGAATGCAATATGAGGAATTAATTTTTAATTTTTCTAATCAAATTTGAAATATTTTTGAAGTCGTTAAAAATAACCACTTTAATGTGATTATGTGCAATTGTATATATAATTCTTAATATTTAATTATTGGTATAGTACAAATTATATGACACAGTACAATTATCCCAAAGATCGCTACGTATTTGTATAATATAAAAAGTATCTAAAAGTGTAATAATATGAATAAGAATGATTAACGATAAGAAATAAGAAAGATTACATTACTTATGTAATATGTCCTTGTATAACTAGTTATGAAACTTCTTAATCTTTCTTCATCAAATATATTGAAAGTAAGAATCATTTACAAAACTGTAATATATTTTATGCGATTGACTTTTACATTACTTATATTATTTATTTTTGACATTAACTTAGGTTTATATACACGGTGTTTCATTTATCGGATTGCACGATACCTTAGTTACTTTTATTGACACTAAACCATTAGTAATAAATAATTAAAATAATAATATAATAATAATAATAAATAATATTAAAAAAGATTATATATTAAACATAAATTTTTTTTCAGTTTTCAGTTCAGATTAAAATATTTTTATTTCAGTTTTGTTAAACTTATCCAATGAAAGACAAGACAATCAATTCTAAACGTAAATATTTCAATATTTTTTCCTAAAAAATAAAATAACATATCGAGAAATATATAGTATCATTTAATGGCCTTAGAAAATAGAAAAGACTTCGAAAAAAGATGATAAATCATAGTATTCATCGTTGTGAATCAATCAATTTTGTCCTGTATAATTTTTTATATTGATGACAGTAATTAAGGCTAAGGTATTGAGCAATTCGAAATAAATGAGACATCGTGTAAATGACTTGTATGAGTATGAATGACGATATTTTTCTTCAACATGAAAGTTATTTGTCACGTTTGATAAATAATTTACAAGTAACATTTTTATTGTTTTGTATATAAATGGCAAAGTAAATTATTTTATATACAATATAATGAAAATAATATAAAAAAATACGAGAAAAATCATGCAACGTGAAACACAATATAATTTGACGATGCATCACAAAAAATAACATTATCACATAACGCATAAGAATATATATATCTATTAAGTTTTAATATACACGTATAATGAAAGGATATCAGTAATTAAAAGATTATATATTTTTAGAAACATACTATATACATATATTATAATATTTAAAATTAATATTTATATGTCATTAAATTATTAATTGTCATTCTTTAATGTGTACATAGTATATCAATTTACATCAATTTTTCAATAATATTCAACTATTATCTGAAATAAATTAATTTTTTTTATTATTAATTTCTTGCAAAATACTAGTCGGGTTAGATGGTTAATTTTTAAAATTCTTTATTCTCAATAAATTATATTATGCAATGATGTAAAGATTATTAATTAAATAATAATATATAGTAATTAATGTATATAATTGATACTGTAATAGAAATTCACAAGGAACAGAGAATTTAGATTAATTGGCGATTAATTATTTTAGAAACATTTTGTATCATAGTTCACTGTACTTTATTATATTTTCTATTGTAAATTTATAATAAATTTGAACAAATACTTTTTATGTATTACAATTAAATATTTATAACAAAATCAAATAAATTGAAAAAAAATTTGACTTAAAATTAGGAATGAAAATTTTCTAATCTAAATTTCTTGCCTTCCTTAATTACATTACTTAGAATCGTTTACAACTTACAATTAGTATTCAAAATTCTTTCCTGTCATGATATAAATATATTAACAATATATTTACAGATAAAAACACAGCAAAAATACATATCTTCTAATATCATCAATTAAATTGTAGGATCTAATTAACATGCATTGACTAGTGTTTCTTTCTTAAAATAAACATTCAATTAATTACTATTAAAATGCAATTTAAAAGTATAATAAAACTACACATCGAAATATGATACCATAAGCAATATTTTTATGTGGAATATATATAACATTATTATAAAAATTTGAAATTTATTATAAAAATTGAAATTTTACAAAATAAATTTATATATACACACATTTTATATCCTTCTTAATTCAATGGTATTAATAAAATGTAGAAATTATTTAAAAAATGCAACAGAATTCTGTTTTTCCAAAATAATTTAATTAGGCGCACAGCCATCGAAAAAACTAATAGATAATGAATATAAAATTGATATGTTTATATAGATTTTTAATTAATTAAATTTCTCTCATACTAAAATAAACTCAATTTTGTTTAGCTAAAGAAGAACATTAGCTATCTAATGTTAGATAAAAAATATGTATATTTATGTTGCGATATATATTTTATAATTAACCTTAGAACGATATTATGCAGTTGCCGATCCCACTGAATTTATACATCCTTCTAATATGTATCACAATTTATAAATAATAGAAAATTTTTCGTGCATTTGCATTATAAGTCCTGAATGTCGTTAACGAGAACTTGCCTTAATCGTTTGAAATGATAAATAAATGATAAACAGAGCAAATGATGGATTACTTTTGAAAAATTCGTACAGCTTTTTTTAAAATAGGACAAACTGTATTTCCCATTTGTTAAAAACTCTCCTACTGATTAGGAAATCATGTATTGATGAAAATTATTTTTGTAAAATTTAAGTACTCCAATCCTCCTTTTTTTTAGGTTATTTAAAGAAGAATTTGTGCGAAAGTATTCAATAATGTTTATAATATTTAAATTTCGTTTTGGATTGTCTACGATCCCAAACGTATCATACACGCTCGAAAATAAAACAGTATCATTCTAAGATTAATTTATTTCATTCTGTTCTTAAATTAAAAGATCAAATAAAAAGAAAACCTCATTTTTTTAAAATCAGTCATATATGTATCAGTGTACATATATTATATGGTAATATCTTTTCGCAAAATACAATTTCATTATTAAAAATTGATAAAGACGAATTTACATATTTTCTTCGTATTTATATTGTATTATGGTATTATGGTATTTTATACTACGTTGTTTGCATTGTCATTGTACTATAAAATGTAAAATTATTTACAACTGGATACAATTTTTTAATATTATATCTTTGTATAAATAAATTAATATAAAACAAAATTATATACCGGGTAATTTATTTCGAAACATTTATAACTAAAGTAAAAACTATTTTGTTTATCCACTAATAGGCTAAAATAAATACTATGCAATATCAATTTTTCAATTTTAGTAGGTTGATTTTTTAATTAAAAAAAACAAAATAATTTTAATGAACTCTATTTAACAGTGTCATTTTCGTGTTCGTGTTTTCCTCTTTTCTAACGCAACATTAATTCATTAATATTTTAATTAACATTGCGGCATTAATTAACAACGGTTCTTTACAATTTATATTTATAATTATTTTTATCGCTATCTTGATACTATGTAGATTGCTAAACATGAAACAGAAACAAGTTTGTTTAGCTTGTATCACAAATATATAATATACACATGTATGTAGAAAAATATAGGAGGGGAAAGGGTAGGTAACAATTATAAGAGATGAATAGTAATTTACATACTTGAAGCGTATTTAATACGCAATGATTATTTGACAGAAACTCTCAATAGAGCTAGATATTAATTAGTTACCTAATCTGACTATAAAGTGAATTTAGGTAAATTTGATATTATCAGCTTTTGATTGGCGATAATTAGCGATCAACTGGATATTTATTTGTTAACTTCGAGCGTCTCCGGTTGAGTCCATATATAGCCTGTACGTGTCATGCTGCAATGAGCGTCGTAATATCTGCCAGGTGCACGACAGTAAGACCATCTTGGACATCGGCATCGGAATTTACTGTGAAACTCCTCTTTGCATACTTCATTCCACCAACATGTCCGCTAAAAGCAGACGTTCCATTTGTGACCGATGAATAATAAACAAATAGTTTTTGTCCGCGGCTCGCTTACCTCCGCCAAATAACCTCTCACACTCTGATCGCTGTAATTCCTCTTTTTAATCAGGTGTCTGGCGCTCGTCATACATACTTCTGCGCATAAGATTAATACCAATAACAGATACAGCACTGACCCTTCCTGCAAGAGAATCAATTTGTAAGAATTAATACTATCCACTTTTCTTTCGTTTCGTCGTCACGACTTTCGACAAGCTCGAAATTGAAAGTAAATGGAAAACGTAAAAGAAAAAAAGAAGAACGAGAAACGAACAAACAAAGGGATGCAATAATAGAACAAATCACACTTTTTGTCAAGTAACTTCATCGTTTATTGTGATCTTACATTGTTGCGCATTTTTGCCAGAATCTTCTGTGCAACCCTGTTTACGCAATCACCTTTACGATATCGTATGGAAAATCTGATGAAGAAAAAATTGAACTACATATTTAGTTTCTAACGCTTTACTTGCGGTAAAAGAGTACGCGGAGGACGTGGCGCAGGCGTGTGTGCTTATTCTTCCTCTTATGACTTCGGGAATCGATCCGTTGTCGGATCGAAAATTTTCATTTTTGCTGATAAATCTCCTTAATTTTCCAAAATGTCCTTCAAAACAAATACACTATCGTTTAAAAATTATCCGGGAAGTTGTTCATTTTTGTTAGAATGTAATTTAATTATAAAATAATTTTAACAGGTTCATGTGAGTAGAATATGAAATTTGAAAATGTTCTATTACAAAAGCCAGAAAAATAACATAGATACATTGCAATATCTAATATAAATATTAAATTTGAATTCGTCTCAAAACATTGTACGGTCAATAAAATTTATATAAAATTAAAGAGAATCTTTAATAGAAGAATTTTGTATAAAAAAAATCTACTTAATGGTGAAATGGACGAGGATGATTCAGTTCAATTCAATCTTCGTCTTTACTAAGGATATTAGGAACATACGTGTATATAATATGTAGATATGTACATATATCTAAATATTACAGAACAAAATTTTAAAATATGAACAAATTGTCTAGAAATTATTATATATCCCAGTTATTATAACTCTGTTCACTTTGACATTCATATCACTTTATCAAATTCGTTTTCTAATTTCGTTTAAATATTCTTAGATAAATTAAGTAAAGTAAGTAATTTTCTTCTGTTGTAATATTCATTTGAAAATTTCTGTTCAATAAACGTGTCCCATTTGTTAAAAATAAGGATATAAATATTCGAAACTTTTATAAACAACTGCATTTCCAATCTTGTAAAAATACATTACTTAATTTTCGATACAAAAATTATTATGTATGTACAATTATATTTTTATAATGAATAATATCAATAGTATATTTAATAGTAATTAATATTGTTAGACATACACTTTTCTAAATAGAATACATCAATAAAATTGTAGTAGAAAACTTTATATAGAATTGGAGGATTTCTTTCAATGATATTTTGATTTCATATGCAATATTCTGTTTTTCCTGCTACGACTTCGTTAATAACCATTGCATAAAATTTTGTAAGAATATTATACGTTTTTTACTTTTTAATTTCCCTTTAAAAAAATTTTGCGAATATTTTGTATTGTCTATAATTTTTTCATTTATACATATATCTGTGTGTTAAAATCAAAGTATACACGTGGTATACATGTACACATGTAGTAGAAAATACAAGTATTATATTTCTCAAATTAATACAAGTACTAGACTGCGGATTTTTATGCATTTTTAAATTTTTATGAACATAATTGGAGAAACGGAACTTAATGTTATAAATGTAAAATATTATAATTATAATTATTAAATATTATAATTATTATAAATATTATAATTATTATTCTCCTTTGAATATTTTGTATATTTTTACGTTTTATGCGTGTATTTTTTTTTGCATCTTGAAATTTTCCATAAATGCATAAAAATCCGCAGTCTAATAAGTACGCATAACATAGTGTATGTACAATGCGTGCAACTAATATCATCTCTACTACATTCTTATCTCATTTCATCGAAACAAAACTCTGAGTATTCATCTCATCATAAACTCTCAGTATCATATCATTTCGGTTTTTCTCAACTGTTCCTAGAAAGTGTTTATATAATGGTTATTAATAGTTATTTAGAACCTTTTAAATTATTTAAATCATTAATTATTATTGATTTATTAATTATTTAGAATTAATACAAATATTCATTATTCGTTTGTTTAGTTTCAAACAGTATATAAATTTGTCCATTTTGATAGCGATTGATTTGTTTGATTATTGTCGTCGTGAAAAATTTTTATTTGAAATAAACAATTTTTTTTTAATTTTCTCTTTATATATAAATAAATGTCTGTTAAAATTTCAAGCGTAATGATAAACAAAATACATTATAGTTGCAACTGTATTGTAATTGTAACATAAAGAAATCTAAAACCCATACGTTTCTTGATTCTAGTACAAATTAACTATAATACTCTTGTTTAACGAAATGGAGTAGATAAATGATAATATAGTGAAAAATTTGATCGGTATCTCAGATTTGTTTCATACTTTAGGTTTAAAGAAGAAATTGAAAAAGATAAAATATATCAATAAAAACTGTCACAGAAAATCATAAATGCTTTTGATTGTAATTAAAGAAATGTTCAAAAATTTGAGGTTATACTCTTAAAACGATTCAAATTAACCCAAATATAAACTGTACCTAATCCAAACAAGAGGATTTTGAATATTTTATTAATAAACATTAAATCGAATTTGCTTTTTCTGTTTAGTATTGCCGCTCTTTTGTTAGATCAATTAGATTACGTTTGAGTTACGTATCTAATCTCTAAATTTCATATTTCCTTAAATTAATTGCAATTAAATATATTTGTGACAGTTTTTTGTAAGATATTCTACCCTTTTAAATATTTTCTTCAATTATTTTAAAGTGCGAAACAAATCTGAAATACCGACAAAATTGTGAACTATTAATCAAATAAATTGAAGTTATTATTGTAACTTATTGTTATAACAAGGTTAGAGATTGAAAACATTATTGTGAAAGATAACCTCACACACGTTTGTATAGTTTTTATTCATTTAATGTTCTAAAATTTAGTCAAATGTGTTTACTGCAGTTATAAAAATTAAAAATAATCCTGAAGTTATTTATTTAAAATTATTAAAAAGATATATTGTCCAATTGTATTAATGTATTTCATCAAGTGAGTTTGATATTTTAGGATATAATTATGGAATTATCAAAAGATACTATTGACGGTCTTACTAATATTCTAAATATAAATATTGTTACTGATGATAATTTTCTACAAATCCTAGAAACAGCTATTTCATACATACATGAAAATCCTATGGAAATAAAATGTGAGTATTTGTTTTAATACAAGTGTTAAATATAAATAAGATTAATTTATAGAATTATTAAAACTAATGAAATTTTAGGCATTATTAAAAAATCTGATTCAAAACCAGTTTTAACGAGAAAGGTTTTTACTGATGTGGTATGTTTACTTATAGAGGCAGCCCGACATGATTTAGATGAAGAAAGCTTGAGAAACTTTTTAAATCTTGTATATATTGATGAAAAAAGGGTTACGAAATTATCTGAAGTATACATTAACAATAAAACAGCAATACAATCTCAGTTGGAATTAATAGGCAATAATCCATCTCACATTATTGATATAGACTGGCATTTAGATTATTGTGTTAAGGTAATTGATCGGTGAAAGGAACACCGATCTTGTTTCATTTAAAAATGTTTTATTCGCTCTTATTTATGAAAATGATTTTCAGTTGGACACATGTAATTCATTAAGTGTTCCTCTTTATCATGTGCGACTTAGTACTAAAAAACATGAAACAATAGATCATGTAACATTTTCATGTACGATACAACAATTGCAAGAACTGGTGTTTAAGCTCAAAGATGCCATCAGATACTCAGAAAAGCTTACTAACGTTTAGCTATGTCTTTAAGTACTACATATAGCACAACCCATGTATATTTTAAAATCTTCTCTGAATTATTTTTGTTTTTAACCATCTCTGTTACAATATATGGATTTCTATAAATTATAATTATTAGCAACTTATGACATTTGTGTATATTAACATTTATACAACAATGATTATAATAATCATTTAATAATAAACTCAGTTTTTGTACGTATATGTGTGATGGTAAAATCTTATACAAAACAACAAACCGTGTAAAGTATAATCAACTATATTTTTATAATTAAAAGAACATCATCTACTTCACGTAGTATTATTACTATACTGATAACGCGCGCGCGTCAAAAAGTATGCGCGCACGCACACAAACATACGCAAACATGTACATAAATTTCAAAACAAATGACGATCAACGTTTCTATAAATAAAACAAATCTCGAGAAAACTTCGTCTAAATCAGTTTTGATTTAAACTACATTGAAATTTTTTTTCTTTTTTACATAAAAATTATACATATACATTTTTCATTCGCTCACTCATTCAGGTACACCTTGTATACAAAAAAATCGCGCGCGCACACAACTAATAACTTATTAAAAATACGTTGTTTTTTGCTCTACAATCAGGCATCTCTGTCTAAAAATTGCTTTTTTGTATTAGACAAAAAATACTATCGTTACATTCTTAACATCTAAAAATATGCGTGTTAAATTATATTAATAATCGATATTTTTTTTTTATATCTAATATGTGATATAGATTTCTTTGAATCATTATACACTATTTACAAGTAAAATGTATCTAAAAGGAAAAAAATCGTTCAATATTAAAAATTTATCTATACATTAACTCTTTCTTTCTTTCCGGCGCTTATTAAAATTAATAGTGGACTTCTTATCCATGCGTGCTATTTTAATAATTCGGTGCGATGCGACACATCGATAATATCAACTAATTAAGCTGGAAAGAGAGAAATCACTTATATAGCGTAATACTTTTTCTCATTTTCTTAAATCATTTAACAACGATCATCTCTTGCTCTCAATTTCCTAACATTACTTCATATATATAAGATTACTGTGATAAGGCCTCGGATATTTTACTATAGTTGTTTCTTTTTTTTTTTTTTTTTTAAAAGAGAGTATGCGAAAAAAGAGCCAATCAAAAAGGTGTCTCATGGCTAAATCTATTTGGAACATTATATTAATTCTCGAGGCTTTGGCTAGATATTTAATTGAGTAAAAAAAAAACACGTAATAGAATTTGTCCAGAAATATGATAAATAACGTAAACTAACAGACTGTGTGAAATTATTTTATAAAAACTTGTTATATAAATATGATATATAATTATACGCGGTATCTTTTTCTATATTAATCTTTATACAGTCCTTATATCAAATCTGATGTTAAATATATTTAATTATTTCTTATATTATTTCTTTTGTTGTTGTTGTTTAAACCACAAGAGAGAGAGAGAGATGTGTTATGTATTTTTAATTATTACAACTTTTAATCGCAAAATAAAAATTAGACAATAGCGATACTTTAAAAGTTTAGTATTGTTTTAATACGTTTAATGTTTTGCGGCTTAAAAATCGTAATAATTAAGATAATAACGTGATTTTGTTTTGAAAAATTTAGCAGCTTGAAATATGTAGAATTATGATAAAATGTTTTTGTCTAAAATAAAATGTGATAATATCTGAACATTTATATCTGAATATGCCTAAACATAGAATGAGCCATTCAGTGCGGATCTTATGTCTTCATTTTGTTAACTTGAATCTCAGAATTGTTTTGTTGTTCCTCAGATTTGTCACATTTCTCATTTTTAGGTTCTTCTATTTCTTGTTTTTCAATAATTTGTTTTTCTGAGACTTGAACCATTTTTGTTTCATTCTGCTCGTTTTGTTGTTCTGTGATCTTTTCTGTTTCACCTTTCTTTTCGTTGGGGAGATCGCCATTAATTTGCGAAGTTGATTTTTCTCTCTTTGTACTTATACTGTTACTATCCTCATTGAATCGACTTTTTTCCGAATTCTGCCCTTTCGAAAGATATAAATTTTGTTCTGTACATTTTTTCACTTCTTTTTCTAACCGTTCTTTATTTTGATTCTGATCGTCTGCACTTAACGAACATGCCTCTAACTTGGTTTTTGAATTAACAATCAATGTATTTTTATTCTGTCCGATACTTGTACTAGGAGAAAGAGAAGACGATTTAGAATTTCGGATTGTTTCCATCGGTATGTTAACAATCTCCGTATTGCAAAATTTTCCAGTCTTAGACAAATTAAATGCACTGACATCTTCCTGTGGTGTATTTTCTGGAAGAAGCAGGTTATTAGTCTCAAGAGATGTTGTAATTGCTTGCGTTTCAGATTTGACCAAGTTATAAGATGCGGGAGAAATTGCTGTTAGAGAGGTAGTTTTTGGTGACTTAGGTGAAGAATAGGTGCTTGGTGGTATTCTCTGGACTGTCGGGGGTTGTGAAACTGGAGAGAAACCAGTAGTTTGTGGAATATAACTAGAGCGCTGATATAATTTATTAATAGAAGGAGGTAAATTACTATGGAAGGCACTGGGGGATGGAATTCCTATTGGCGAGCGTATCAAAGGATTTGGAAATCTAGTGGCATCTGGAAATGGTCGTGGAAAGTGAGGATAAATTAGCCCAGGATTCATATTTGGTGTTGGAGAAGGTATAAAAGGACTCGTCGAAAGCATATTTACTGGAGAATTTTTCGGAGATATTGGTGAACCAGTACTTCTACAAATATCTCTTGAGAATGGAGGATTTGGGTAATTCCTTGCACTAGGAGAATACGGAGGTGGTGAAACAATAGGCGAATTAACTGTTGAGACAATTGGAGATAGAGTTTTAGGATCTATCTTCATCATATTCAAACTCCCATTTTTAGAACTGCTAGACGTATTTGTAGTTGTTGTTGATGTCATTGTTGACTGTTCCTTTTCTTTGCATTCATTACCGATGCCATACATTGGTTTCACTCCAGAAGCAGGATTACCCAAATATCTTGGCATGTTTCTCATTTTAAAGATCTTAGCTGGTTTAGATTGAATTGTTTTGCTTCTTTCAAAAAGTGCTGTTTGATGCAACTGATTTTGTGTCTCTTTACTTTGATTTTTAACCGCCACATAATTGTTTTTAGAAAGTGTAGGATTCCAGCATCTTGGAGGGTCACGAAGGGTTTTATAACCCACTGCTTGACTTTGTTTTTTAGAAACAGAAAGTACTTTCTGTAAAGAGTGAGATGTAGCCACTGGAGAAGTACTTACTAATGAAGTAGCCCTAAGACTATCTTTTACATTTGAATAAATATTTTTACTTTCTGTTGTGACTGCATTACTATTAAGTGAATAAACCGGTACATTTGGAATATTTGTATGTTGCTGCTGTTTGTTGCTGGAATCAGCAGTGATTGATGACGAATTATTTTTTCTTCCAATTTTTAATAAATCTGGAATATCAGATTTATTTTTTGTTTCTGTCTTATTTTTTTCTTTAGAATTTTCTCCAATTTTTGCGCAAATATCATTAATTTTTGAACCAGAAGCTCCAATTTTTGCACAAATTTCATTCAAATTAGAACCTTTGGTGATCAATTCATTTTTTCGAATTGTAGGTTTCATTAAAGAAATTGGAATTGCATCAGGACAAGGAGGCACTGAATATGTATTAGTTAGTTCCAAATTTGCTTTCAAAATGGGCTCTTTCGAAATACTCGGACTTGTATAACTATTTTTTAAAGAAGAAGAGACATTTACTGAAGATGTAGTAAACGCTGTAGAACTTTCTGATACTGAAGGAGTAGGTATTTCATTTTCAGAAACTGCAGTAATAGATAATTTTTGTGTTGCTGATGAACTCAAATTTTTAAGAGAATTTTTTAACATTGTACTATTTACTAGATCTTGAACTGTATAGGGAAATGTAGACGTAGACTGACTTATTGTTGATGTAGAAATTGAATTATTTCCATTCTCAGCAGATATAGACGGTGATGTCGAAAGATTTAATGACGCCAGATTATCATTCGATTCGATTTGATTATTTGACTTTTGAGAAAATGTGTGTGTTTGTTCATTTATTCTTTGACAAGGTTCTGCTGGAATCTGTTCTAACACATATGATTTTTTCTCTGAAGTACTTTCGCCTTGAACAGAATATTCTTTCTGATCAATTGATTGCACACTTTTTACTTTAATCTCCGTTTCTTTTATCTCAGAATTAACCGAAGTACTTGGGTACGTTGATAAAATAGGTTCTATGGTATCTTGTAATTCCGGCTTCTGTGATATGACTTTTGTAGAATATGGGACTAATGATTTATTTAACGTAGTCCCGCAATTATTTGTTATTACTTGTGTTTTTGAAGAGTCAAGAGAATTTTTTAATTCCGTAGATTTTAAACTTTCGGTAATTTTTACGTCTACTTTTTTAGATTGTGGTGTAATTTTCCTATCTTTAGTAATCTTTTTTGAGGAAGTATTACTATTGCTAATTTGACCAGCTTTCGGTTGAAATTGCAATTTTACACTTAAAGCATTAATTTTTGACCCTGTATTTACAAGTTTTGTCTCATTTCTTGAATTTTGTTTAGAGTTCTCCAATTTTTCCGTAATAATATTATTATTTTTTAATGACTCCTTTTGATCTTTATTTTCAATGTTATTATTTCTAATTTCATATTCATTCGCATATTGTGTTATTTCTTGTGATTGAACACTTTTCTGTAAAATTTTATCTTCAATATTATTATTATCCAATCGATTTTTCGATTCCTCTTCGTGTTTAGAATTTATCGTACTTTCTATTTCTTTTGTCGATGTCTTTATAGTTTCTGTTTGATTTGTATTATTTTGGTCATCCACTTCGTTTAATTTGGAAGAAGTATCAAATTCGCTTATGTCTTGTTTATCTGAAGATTGTTTATTTTTTTCACTGACTTCAGATATGTCATTTTTGTTACCATTTTCTTCAATTATTGACGTATTTATTGTTTCAACACTAGTAATAGATTCTTCGATTTTCGTATTTTTCTTAAATTGTTGGTCCGTTATATCTGTAATGCTCATAATGCCAGTTTCAGAAATTTTTAGTTGTACCTCTTTCCATTCTCTAGTCATCGATTTTTCTTCTTTTGATTCTATAGCATCTATGCCAGCATGAAGTAAAAATGTTTTATAATTGACGTTATCTTCTGAAAGTTTTATTCGTTTCGGAGAGGATTCAAATATTCTGTAACTTAAATGCAATGGCACTTTCTGAAATAAATATGATAGAATATTTATAGAGCCGGATAGCATTCCGAACATTTCAAATAACAAACTGTTTGTACTTACTCGTCTCCAATGATAAATATACATAACATCCATTAATGTATAACTACTACACAGTGGTTCCTCTTTATACATTACATCCACCCTATGTGCATCAGTTAAGCCATACTTAGCTCGTATGAGCTTTTGTAAATGGAAAATGGTTACTGCAGCCGGACAACGAAGGTACCGCCTCAACAAAGGTTTTACAGCTATTGCTTTGACATCCTTGGATGGACTAAAGTATTCTAATGATAAACTAAGAGACTCATCTGGAGAATATATATGTGATTCAATTGGTTCTCCCCTTGCCTCTGGAGATGTTGCCTGAGTACATGCTTCAGGATGTTTTAAATAAAATTCTCTCCTACACCGCATTTCATCTGACATATAAATATTAAAATGAATCGTTATATATATTTTTTCTTTTCCTTTTTTTTCAATTAACTGTAGAACTTACTTTGATAACATCCAGGCACCAATTTGTACACAATATCCTGTAAAGTGTGGTCTGGACGAATGTTGAGTAGTGGCTTACTTTTGTGCACTTGTACCTCACATATTGGACAATACTTATTGTTTTCCAGATATTTGACGATACAGCTCCTGCAAACTGTAGTGCGACGTTAATCACCGCTTACATCAATATGCTTGAATCATCGCTTAACCCTTTTGCAATGATGAAGTCGCATCTATTCACCACAAACAAAAAGGATTAAGGAAGTAACAGAAGAATAGACATACACGAATGCAAACACTCTATGATAGTAGTGGCGTCAATGAAATATCCACCGCATAATTTGCACGTCAGCTGATCGTTGAGTTTGGACAACCTTAGGCGATATCCTCCACTCTGGCCTGACATCCTATAGCAAGAACATTGAATTACTCACGTATACTTAACCGTCAATCAGCAGAGAATACACAAATTGTAATTAGTAACGTTAAGCGATGTGAAACATTCTTTTCAGCTAATTCAAGGCAATTTGCACGTTGAAAATATACACACTGAAAGTAGTTTGGAAATCCTTATCCTACCATTAAGTAGATTGTAATTAAACTGTTTAACTTACGTGGTAAATAAAGCGAGAACTAACTCGTTTTATTTAGCAATCGCCATTTGATTAAAGAAGTCAGGAAAGTTGGGTCGGAACTCGAGGTGAAATTTCATGAACCCTCATAATGAGAATATTCGTCGAAAAAAAAAAGAGAAAGAAAAAACTGACTCGAAAATCCGTCGAAAGACAAATCTCTTTCAAAACGCCGAGCGCTCTCTGATCCCACGATTTTTCGAAATCCGAGTCGATCTAGTTTATTGCAAAATAGGCCACGGTACCAGGAAAAACTCTTGAGGACGACAGCAAAACAAAATGGTGGATAAACAATCGTGCCAATGACATTTCCAAAAACATAAGTTTCTTTTAAGGTTTTCTCCTCGGCTGTATTTTACGTTCCGCGAAAATAGTGAAGAAAAGAGAACGACAATTAGAAAACTACGGAAAGCATCATATTTACTGAAAAGTATTTTGAAAGACATAGGGTACTATAGACTGTCGTAACTGCAACCAATGCTGTAACAGATTGACGATACCACTTATCGATACGATTAAGTACTTCGTATGATTCGAAGATGGCGCCGTCAACGCGGTCTATTCAAATTCAACAAAAGTGATTCCCATCGAAATTAATATTTACTCTTAACATTACTGAATGAACGAAACCGTTTAAATCACGTATTTGTGTTTGTGTTTGTTTACTATGCAATTTTGTATTTTTTATGCATTTGTTATGTATTTTCATCAAAATATAAAAACTAAAACCTGAACTTGTATCATATCTGTGACTGTTGTATATTTTATATTTATCTCAAATGAAGGATATTTTGCATATTTTGTTAATTCTTAGTTTAGTTATTAAATGTAATGGTTTTAGTTCATATCAAAGAATTAAGATTTGATTTAAATTTTAAATCAAATCTTAAAATTAAACTTTGAAATAATTTTAAGATTTAATTTTAATAAAGTAATTTAATTAATAATTTAAATATATCAAATAAATTATTAAATAAGACAATTTCGATTTTGTTTCACTTTACAATAATTAATTGTTTTGCAGTTACTTAAAATATTACTATTATATTATAGTATTATATTATAATAAAGTATAGTAATTATTATAATACTACAGTATTAAATTAATATTATATTATAATTTTTCACTTTAATTATTTTTATTCCTTATTTCACAGACGCTTTTATATATGAAAATGTTTAGAAAATGGAAGCAAATAAATATGTAATTCAACTGTCTTTGTATAATTCATAATAAATGGCTAAGTGTGTAACATAACCATGAATGTATGTAAGGTCATATACCTTGTTTGTGACATAACATAGTAAATCTTTAACACAGTAGTCAGCGTTGTTATTAAGAAAACACGCTTGCTATTTTTTCAAAAATGCTAAAATTTCATCACCTCATTTCATTTTACGCGAACGATTAATTTGTTTGCTCGAAGACAGAGGAACACAGCTCTGCTATTGAAATATCAACAAATTGTCAGTATCGTTGTAATATCATTTAAACATCTTAAATGTATGAAATGGTTACAATACAGGACATTAGCATACAGCTTATGAAACCAGCAAAAGATTTAGCTGATTGGAAATTTCCATTATCTCAAGTACGTTGTCACATTAAATGTTAAATCTATTATAATCAAATATGAGCTTCATATCATTGTATTGTTTTAGATTTTAGAAGAATATTATGCTCTGTTGGAAGAACCTTGTAACATAAATTTTGGAGAAGCAGCGTTGGTTCTTCAAAATTCAACCAATGTATATGTACGAAGGATAGATCGTCTACTTAATGAAACAGAAGTTTTGAAACAAGCATTTTCCTGCTGCGAGTAACTATTTATTTTAAATAACTATTTATTTCACTGAAAAGTATCAGATGAGCCGTAGGTTATGGTACAATAAAAATCAGAAGAATTTGATGAAATAAAATAGAAATTTAGAATGGCTAAATTTCATCAAGAACTTTGTGTTTGGGAAAAATGTGTTTAAAAATTAATTAGGTTCCTGTATATTTAATTAATGGTCTAGCACTATATTACTGTGAACTATTTTTGTATGAAATACAATGTCAGGCTTTATTTGTTGTTTATATTGTGTTAGTATGATGTACGATGTATGAAGGATTTGTATATAGGAATTCAACTGATTTTTAAATGCATGTTTCTCAGAAACAACTCACGATTTATATCCCACGCGATATAGATAATAATTTTTTCATTTTTCCATTAGGGAAGAAGAAATAAAGAAGTCTATATGCAAACAAAAGAAGATTTTCAGGAAAAGTTACATTGATTTGGAAAGTTTTGTACTGATTGACTTGGAGAAAGATATTGGAAAGCATATTGACAAAAAGCATCAATTTCAAACACAGAAAAAAGTTAAATTATTAAGTCGTCGATTTACGCAATTGGAAAATAGTCTAGTCCAATTATGCAATCCTATTCAAGTATACGATATTCTAGGAGAAATTATAGGAAAGAAATATGATTTTCGGTAATTTTTTTTAGTCTATTTTAATCTGTATATGGTAATTCTAATTTCTTAATTTTAAGGTGCAATCAAGCCATAAATACGAGTGGGATGTTGATAGATGAATTAATACCATATGATTTTACTCGTACACTTAACTCTTCTGTTCAAGAAGGAAGAAACTCATTATCATCATATTCAGAACCAAAAACCCCAGGTACAGGGACTTCAGGATATAATTCGATTACGCCACCAAATGATAATGAGTCTATTGCGCTTCATGATGAATTTGAAGACGAACAAAATTTTTCAACAACGGAAAATGATTCATCAGCAAATGAATTACATAGTGTAGAGGAAGAAAATATGACAAATAATAATCATGAAGATCTATTTACTAATAATAGCACTTTTAAACAAGCTGAAAGAAATGAATTAGAGGAAGAATGTACTCAGCAAACTAAGGTGCAAAATGTTAGTGATCAAAATTGCTTGATTCAGAATTCCAAAGACATGAATGAAATCAAAAATGGATATCAAAATAGAAATTCACTGCAAGCAAACCAAATAAAAGAGAGTAATCGAAATAACGATAAAACTATAGTAGAACTTAGAGTAAGCAATAAAATAAAAGATAATAAGCAAATAGATTGTATCTCTGAAGAGAATCAAATTTTTCAGTTAAATGAATCTTGTAATATAAAGTGGAAAAAAGGATTACCTAGCATGCAGAAAAGAGGGTACCTCTTAGAAAACTATTCTAATTCATTTAATTTTATAATTCATGATATTAAATCAGTGAAAACATTAATACTTTTATTAGGAATCAAACAACGAGAGTGTCAATATGTTCTGTAGATGACATAAATGAATTTGAGTGGAAACCAATGCCACTTGTTCAAGGAATAAAGCATGTTTTTTCAAATAATTCATCTATCTTAAAACTTCCAGATTACATTTCGTTTTCGGAAAGAAAATTTGATTCTGTATGTACAAATAATAATTTTTAATAGTTTAAAATTTAGAGATTTTAATAATTTTTGAGATATCTGGACATTTATCTGTTTATCTATTTCTTTTTAGAAAAAACGTAAATTCACATCGAAATTCTGCAAACCAAAATGTTTAGCGAAATTCGTTTTACATGAAACTGAATTATTTGCAAAGAAAGACACTTTACACACAAAACAGAAGTTCAGACATTTGCAAAAAGGTAAGCCATTTCGAAACAAATTGAAATTATTAATACATTTTAAAATATAATTCTTTTAACAGATGAAATAGAAGATTTTATGAAAAATTTTGATGAATGTTTAAATGGTATAGAAAGAGAAAATAATTCTCAATATGAAGCTGTAACAAATATTGCTTTAGATTTATTAGGTTTTCGTATATGTCAAAATCAAAATGATTCAATTGAAAATAATATTGAGGATATAACAAATTGTATAAGAAGTTCTTCACCTATTGATGTTCCATTACAATCAACTAATTGTCAAAATTCACTTGATACGTTTGTGACGTCCCCTAACTCATATAACAATTGGTGTGAATCTTCAACTTCGGAAATTAATTTATCCTATTCTTTGCCGGATTATCAAACGTTAATTGAGGACAAAATGAAAGAAATTTTTGAAGAATCCAATATCACCACAGAATTGGATCAAATTGTAGGAAAGTGGCATACCTCCTTACAACCGAAATTATTAGAGGCTGAAGCTAGACCTCCATTTCGAATTCATGATTATTCATGTCGTATAATAAAAGCATTACAAGCTTTAGAACAAAAAAAAATGAATTTTAATAACGTCGTTCAAGACAAGCCTGCTTGTGAAGTAGCTAGATACTTTTTGGCTTCATTGCAATTGGTATTTTTCTATTTTTATTACAGCTTATTTATTTATTGAATTGATAAATTGTGATGAGTTTTCTGTCTTTGCAGGCAAATACTTACAATGTGGAAATAAAGGCAGGAAATAGTGACGACATTATAGAAATAACTTTGCTTGATAATGAAAAAGATTCATGTGCAAAATTGAAAGAATAATAATTAATATTAGTAAAAAGTCCATAAAACTTTGAGAGTTGAGTACAGTGTAAAGTATGTAATTAGTAAACTTTGTATTACTATAAAATACTATATACACTAAAATGTATAACAAGTGAGGAAGAAAAATTCAGTCTTATTTTAACAAGAAGATATCTTATTAATATATTAATATATTAATCTGTTAATAAAAATTTATTAATCTATTAATAAGATTTCTATTATAGCAAATAGAAAATAGAAAAGTTTTGTCATTGCAATTAGTGTCGTCTTATTAATGTGAGAACAGTATGATTCTATGACAGGAAAACCGGTGATACATCGTATTGTTGAAAATAAAATGCGAGCGGTGAACTTTTTATGGAGTCTTTGTTATATTATATTTGTGTTTATACAAATTGGTATTATTGACAACTCTATATTTTTCATTTAATATAGAAGCAATTTTTTCATGCAGACATCGATTATGTAATTGCTCAAAGTGTTAAATTTTTAAGAAAATAACACGTACTGCTCGTATTTATTTAAAAATCTAATCTCTTTAAATTTACCGCCGTATGTAATATAAAATCGAAATCATTTGGAAATTCTTTTAATAAAAAGAAAAAAAAAAGTAATCGCGCATGCGTAATTTGTCGAAATGTCATTGCTTACCGGCTATGGTGACAAGTTTTTAGGTGCATTAGTTTACACTGAAGTGGTTCAAAGATGAGTTCTATTTTTTTACATAAATCTTTTATCCATTTATTACATAATAATGATAATAATAAATAGTTTATTGATGCAAAATATATTTATTGTTACATATCTATAAAGTATCCGAAGAATTATTTATATTTAATATCTGACAAAATGTTATTTACATATAAATAAATCAGTTGGTTTCTTTGAAGTGTTATTTTATTAGCTCAAAGTTCTCGAATGAATGAAAGTTGCATGTAAGAGATTTGATACTCTATTAAATTACTTGATAGTAACCAATCAGCCAATTCAAATCTGCTTGTTCTCCCCTTCTTTCTAATTTGTTTCATGTATTAGGGATACAACTCTCTTTAGAAGCATACGATTTTGGTAAAGTTTTCTTTGGTAAGTTAAACGTAATATCCTTTTTGTTAACGAAAACGATAAATAAATAATTTTTAAGGATTTTCGATACACATAATCATGGAAAAGAAAGCATCTATAAAATCCACCCAATGGATATTACAACCATGGAGCCTTTTGTTTCTTATTCTGATTCAATTCTTGATACAATTTTTAACATCTATCTATCTTTATACTTATGTGGCACGTGTGGAAACAGATATTCTTATTATGCAAAACCAAGAGTTTTTAGAAACTGAAAAATTGATAAGGAGAAAACGCAGTAGTGCGTTGCCTGTGACAGAAGATAATAAAGTTTCAGATCAATCTAGAGTATGTATTATTAAAATGTAATATAAAAAATATTGTCTTATATTTATATTCTCTGTTATATTTCAGATTTGGCAAGAGAAAGATATATTAAAAGAATCCAAAAAAGTAACTTTGTCACCCCTAGTAAAATCAGGTTTGGCATCTTCTCCAATTACTCCTGTGGAACACGATTGGGTATGGTTAAATGCAGATACTCGTGTGCAGGTTACATATTTGTTTTTTATTAATAATGAGAAATAATAATATATAAGAATATATAAAATTTTAATCATAGGTATTGTACATTTTAGCTTGACGCAATTGAAAATTTCTGTCGTTCGTCAATGAAATATTGTCCACCAGGATTGCCAGGAGCACCAGGAAGTCCAGGAGCTCCTGGAGAACCAGGTCTTCCTGGATTACGAGGAATGACTGGTCCAAAAGGACCACCTGGTTTGACCGGTCCTCCTGGTCCTCGTGGTCCAAAAGGTGATATAGGGCCATCTGGTTTTGATGGAAGAGACGGTATACCAGGAGAACCTGGTCTTGATGGAATTCCTGGACGTAGTGGTACAGATGGACTACCTGGTATAAATGGTAAACCAGGACTAAATGGATCTCCTGGTCGGCCTGGACGTAATGGAACAGATGGTATACATTGTTTAATTTAGAAACCCTTCATTATTAATTCGCTTAATTCTAAAGTTGTCACGATATCTTTAGGAAGACCAGGTCAAATGGGACCTCAAGGACCAATTGGACCACGTGGTAACTTAACCTTATTTCAAATTCGCTCATTCTAATTGCACGTGGATGAAACAGAGATACGTTGATGATGTGAACAACTTTAGGAGAAATGGGTCCTCCTGGTAGACCAGGCTCACCAGGACAAGATGGCAGACCAGGGATAACAGCCTGGAAGGTGAACATGAATGATTATAATATAAATGACTTATTAATTCCTCCTTCTATTTTAGGTAAGCATTTTTCTTATTTTTAAACAATTATACTTTGAAAATTTACTTGCTCAAACAAGACACTCTTTAAACAATTTTTTAGATGATCAGATATTATCTTCAACATTAAATTCTTCAACTGGCGTAATTTCTGTTGATGAGGGAACTAATTTGCGATTAAAATGTGCAGCAAGTGGCAAGCCTCAACCTACTGTTCAGTGGTTTAGAAGTGACGGTGCTGTCATTCCTATAGGATCTTGGCATGGTAATGTAAAATTACAATCCATAATATAATTATGAACTTTTATTATACTTAATAATAATTAAATTTTAATAAAGGTTCCTTTATCTAAGTATATAATAATTAATAATAATAAATATTTAACAATTGTTTCTTTGTATTATATTTACATATTTATTCAATTTATTCAACAGTGACTTCTGTAATTGGTCATACATTTAATATCAGTGTAGTTAACAGAGAACATATGGGAGAATATACCTGTGTAGCTGATAATGGAGTTCCACCTCGTGCATTGAAAAGAGTTAAACTCGAAGTTAAATGTAAATATTCTGATATATGAACATATACATTTATGTATATGTTTGTAAATTTATTCGTTTATTTATTTTATCAAGAAAAAATTGTTTTTTAGTTTCTCCTTTCATTCGAATACGTAATCAAATGATTCGCGTACGTAGTCAAAGTTCTGCAGTTTTAGAATGTGAGGTCGAAGCATTTCCAGAACCAATTGTTTATTGGGAGCGTGAAGATCGTCGGCTCAAAATATCCGATAAATATAGATTCGAAGTTTATGACAGAAGAGATGCGTATAAAGTAAGAAATAGTTTATGCAACATGTTCGTACATATTTGAATATATATATATATATTTGAATATTTGTCTTTATATATTTTAGCTTAAAATGCGTTTGAAGATTATGAAGGTAACATCAACAGAGCATGGTACCTATCACTGTGTTGTTAAAAATGATATTGATACCATTAAAGGTTCATTTATAGTTGATGGTAATATATTTATTATCCATTTTTAGCTTTTATATTTTTCAAATAATCAGTTCTAATTGACATTGAAATATTTTAGATGATGTAAAAAGCATGGAAAAGTCAAAAATAGGAAAACATCAGCATGTCACATATGGAAAGCCAGCACCACAACATGTTGATTTAGATGAACTTTGTGCACCACATGAAACTTGTGCTGCTTGTCCTGTATTAAGATGTACTTTTACAGACGTCGCTGAATATTTAAATATTCAGCCACTCAAAAATGTCAATTTTACTGGACTTCCACTAAGATTAGCAGGTAGAAATAGATTTAGTTCTCCTGTCTCCAAATATAGCTTGATAAATTAACTATATACTAGTTTTATTTAATTCTGCTAGATGGTATAATAGAAGCAGTAGGAAAACCAGTTTTAAAGGGCACTATGGATGATCATTATGGAAGCTGGATGCATGATGCATCTAAATCTGATGGTGATCCGGAGAAACTTTGGGTAACCCGGAAAAATGAAACTTCTTTCATATTTGAATATAAGTCAAAGGATCATTTTAAAAATGCGAGTTCATATCCCATTAAATTACCATATCCGTTTCAGGTATGACGTAAGATTTTTAAAACATTATGTATCACTATCTAAACTTATTTTTATTTACGTTAAACTTATTTTTAGGGAAATGGACACGTAGTGTATAACAAATCTTTCTTTTATAATCCCATAAATCGATCTTCAATTTTTCGATTCAATCTCCAGTCTATTTCTGACCAAGTATGCAACAAAGAGTTTCCGCGATGTGAATTACATCTTCCAGGATTATTAGTGAACACAAAGAATTATCTATATACACCGAATCATAATTTTAATTACGTTGATTTCAATGTTGATGAAAATGGTAAGTATATTGTAATTCATTTAAAAGATAAAAAATGTTTCTTCCAATAAAAATGAGATAAAAAGTAGATAAGATGTATACTATTTTTACAACAGGATTATGGGTAATATATGGATTACCATCAAATAATACAGTAGTAATAAAGATGGATGCAACCAATATGAATATTCAGCATGCATGGAATATTAGTATAGATAATCACAAATTTGGAGAAATGTTTATTGCTGGAGGAGTGCTTTATGCTGTTCATAGCGTTACAGAAGAAACAATGAAAATAAGGTAAGATTGTAGAAAAGAAGAAAAAGAATAATGAAAACATTCTAAACTTAAGAAAAAGAGTTATATATTTTATAACATACTTTATTTCATAATCATATATTAATATACACTTACAGGTTGGCTTTCGATCTTTATAAAAATATTACAATACCTGTTCATTTATCATTCACGAATCCTTATCATAAAACCACAGCAGTCAGCTACAACCATAAGACAAAAGTAAATGCTTTGAAGTTTAAACAAATAAAATATACTGAAAGTGAATAATGTTTATTGTTAATGTTTTCTTTACATATGTTAGGAACTTTATACTTGGAATAAAGGGAATCAATTAGCCTACCCAATTAAATATCAAGGCTCTGCAAATACCACAGCGAGAGAAGAATTCAGAGGTACAGAAACTGGAATCTAAGACTACTATCGATGCGACATTGAAAGATTGATGAAATATATCTATTTTATCCTTCAACTTTTTATTAATATATTGATTAAAAAAAGACAATAAAGGAAATAAATCTTTTCTCTCCATTTGACCTTGAAACCCATCTTTCATGACCAGATGTATTTTGTAATTACAATTTCACCATTTTTGGTTGTAAAGCCTACTTAGTAATTATTGTATACTTATTGTACACTATACTTAGTAAATATAGTTAATTTCTCCAAGAATTGATTCGCTGATGTTAAATATGTTAGGATTTATTTAATTTAAAAACCAATAAAAAATATATTGCAAAATTAATTTAATTTTGTTTAGAATATTTGATTTCGAAATAGTATTGAATTATAAATTATCGTAAATCATTACATACAATTTTTTTAATACTTCTATTAAGTTATCGATAAACACTCAAAAATTTTAATTTTTATGAGTGATTTTTATTATAAACGTGATTAGTTACTATTTAATTTTTTTCACTAATAAAACTAATTTTTCTTTTTTTTAAATTTATTTTTTAAATTTGAATAAATTTTAAAATACGATAGGTAAAATCACTCGTTCGATGTAGATCGGCAAGATGGCGCGTAATGACATATTTAATTAAAGGCAAAGAGTAAGAAAGCGGACTAAACGAGTAAGAGAGAAAGAAAATGCTTTGACAAGTCTTTACTTTTAGTCTAATCCTGGTAGTTTACCTACGATTTAAAAAAAAAAGAGATATTCGTAGTTTTGGGGGAAAATCCCACTTCGAACGAGATAAATATCATGATTCAGTGTTGAAACGACAAAAAGAGATTGGAAATTCATGAATAGAAAGCTGAGAAGCATTCTACCTGAAAAAATGGTAGGTACGATTGAGTAACTCGACAATTTGATCTGTTGAGAGTAATGGTGTTAATTCTAACCTTGTTGAGCAAAGTAGACACTGTCTTGTAACAAATGCCCAATTTATTTTGTCTTTAACAATTTGTTTAAAAATCTATTCGTTTCAACCTTTTTTCAGAACTTTTCCCTGCACGTTACATGGATGTTGATAACCTCATCTTCAATTTGTTTGAAGTAATCCAATTTTCACATTATAATTTCTCACATATCTCTAATTCTCGTCGTGTCTTCTTAGTTTATAAATTTAAAAGCTAGAAGTTGGTTCGTTGTATTCAATGATATAACAATGTATCAATGAACATTCTTCATTGTTACTTGTCAGTGTACATTAATCACTCCAACATTTTCAAGTATTTATTTGACTCAGTTTTTCAAATAATATTTATTTTATTTATCAATAATTATAATATGTTACATGTATTGTTATGTACATCATGCATTTGTATGAGTTAAATGAAATTTTTAGTAAATATTGAGTAAATTATCTTTTGTGCATGTATAGATTTATAAGATTAATAAGCAAAGAGAATATTCAAAATAAACTTTATACAAAATAACAAGGAAAATTTGTCTAAACTTGTATATATATTTTACAAATGATAAATATAAATATATACTAAGTATAATCAATATTGTACATACAATTTTGTTTATATTATTTTCTTGTTAAAAATTTTAAATTATTTTTCTTTCCTTTTAGATATTTTTAATAAATTATTTTGTAATGTTTTGTGAAAACATTTTCAGTGTTCTCAATATTATGGTTACACATTTCTTGAGTGTTCAGTATAATGCTTTTTATAAATATTATATATAATTTTGTGTTTTACATATAGATCAGAAATACGTATGACTGTCAACTTTATTTTTATATTATAAAACAAAATATTTTATCTTTTAATAAAATAAAATAAAATTTTATTATATAAAGAGTATGTTCAATATTATAAAAAATAGTTTTAAAATATATAAGAATTGTATGTCATAAAATTGTAATATTTATTTCAAAGTAATATTGTATTAATTTTTTTAATATAATAGTGGATGTTTGATCAAAGAAAATAATTTATTTTGTTATTCTTCTAGAGAATATAATAACATAAATTATCATTATCTCATAAAACTGTCTTCTTTTTTAAATAAATAATTTATAAATACTAAATAATTATTAATAAATGCATAAACAATTAAAATAAATGCAAAAAAATTAAAAAATTGAATATTATGCAATAGTATAAAAAAATAATATAAAGTATAATATATATGTGTAGTATGTATAATTATTTTAATTTTTAAGATAGACATTTTATGAATTATTCATCAGTATAATCCAACATAATGTACAGCATGAATATACGATAATCTCTTATAAGATAATATCTCTAATCTTAGTTCACAGTCAGAAACGATAATGCTATGTTGAGTAAAGTTGCAATTGTACTATAATATTTGTCTAGTGTATCAATTGCTATTACCAATTTTAATATTTGTCAATGAGAATTAATAAGAATAGTATTTTTTACGTAAAAAAAGTTTAACTGTCATTAGTTTATTTCTTATTTTCAAACATATCATGTAATACATGTAAATATATGTATTCAATTTTCATTTACAGGTTGCAATGCCATGGAGAAATTCCCACTAAAAGGTACAACATTATCGAACAATACAATTCCACAAAATCAGCATACGTTAACCACGTACCAGTCAGTTGATACAAAGGTAAAATTAAAAAATGGAGAAATTTGATAAAAAGAAGAACAAATAATAAGAATGATAATGATAGCAAAAATTTAAAGAACAAAAACTTGATTAATTATAGGTAGAAAACTCGGATGATGTATACTTCGTAGATGATGCTCAATCAAGAAATCGAAATACTCCACGTGATAGTAATTTAAGTAGTGACGACGACATGCTGGAAGTTAATAATATAAGTTCTCATCATGGACAGAACACCGTTCTTTCAGAACACATCCGTATCGATGATGCTTCCTCACATAGTGAGTATGAACATAGTGAGTGATTAATGAGTAGTGATTTGTTAATGCACAATTTGTAAATATGAAACATAACGTTATTTTGTATTTCTCTACTATTTTAGTTTCAGTTGATTCTGATGACATTCCTGGTATCGGACAGTATGATGACTTTCATACGATTGATTGGCAACGGGATATCGCCCGAGATAGAATGCGTCATCGATACATCGTGAAGAAAAAGCATGATTCTATTTGGGGTTTAATCAAGGGAGCCCACGATGCTTGGTCCGGATGGCTTTGCGTTTTATTAGTTGGTCTCTTTACAGGAGTTGCAGCAGGTATTATAGACATAGGGGCTTCCTGGATGACTGATTTAAAATTTGGCATATGCCCGCAAGCATTTTGGTTAAATAAAGAACAATGCTGTTGGAGTTATAATGAAACAACATTTGACGGTGGTAACTGCTCTCAGGTATTTACTTTATTATTATTATTTTTTTCTTTTATTTTATAACGTGTTAATTTGCACTTGTGATCTTTTTTTAGTGGTGGACGTGGCCAGAAGTATTTAGTCAATCAAAAGACGGTGCAGGTCCTTACATGATCTCGTATATGTTTTACATCGCTTGGGCTCTTTTATTTGCTTCACTTTCCGCCTCATTAGTAAGAATGTTTGCTCCGTATGCTTGTGGTTCTGGAATTCCTGAGGTACATATATAAAAAGCAGAAAATGCGAAGAAGTTATTTTAAATTACATTTAAGAATAATTTTTTAGATAAAGACCATCCTAAGTGGATTTATTATTCGTGGATATTTAGGAAAGTGGACATTGATAATTAAATCAGTAGGTTTGATTCTATCGGTCTCAGCGGGTTTGAATTTAGGCAAGGAAGGACCGATGGTTCACATAGCTTGTTGCATAGGAAATATATTTTCTTATCTTTTTCCGAAATATGGCAGAAACGAAGCAAAGAAAAGAGAAATTTTGTCAGCAGCAGCTGCTGCAGGAGTTTCAGTTGCTTTCGGCGCTCCAATTGGAGGCGTTCTTTTCAGTCTTGAAGAGGTAGGAGAATGATTGTTATGTTCAATGATTGAATATATATATATTCAATAAAATTTTTCAGGTGAGCTATTACTTTCCTCTAAAAACCTTATGGAGATCGTTTTTCTGTGCCTTGATAGCTGCTTTTATTTTACGATCTATAAATCCATTTGGCAATGAGCATTCGGTGCTTTTCTACGTTGAATATAATAAACCTTGGATATTTTTTGAGCTGATACCCTTCGTCATGCTTGGAATAATTGGTGTAAGTTTATTTTTCTGTAAGCTTTTACTATAATTAAGAATATTGCTTTAAATTCTGCCCTTTGTCTTCTCTTTCTTTTAATAGGGTGTGATTGCTACTTTGTTTATCAAAGCAAATTTATTTTGGTGTCGTTATCGTAAAACTTCAAAATTAGGCCAATATCCAGTTACTGAAGTTTTGATCGTAACAGTTGCAACCGCTGTTATTGGATATCCAAATCCATATACACGAATGAGTACAAGTCAACTTATTTATTTGCTGTTTAGACAATGTGGCGTATCAAATGCAGACATTTTATGGTTTGTAAAAATGTTTTCTTTTATTTTTGAAAGTTCATATTAAATATATATCAAAAGTTATATAGCGAACATTTCTTTTTTTTTTCTTTTTGTTCATATAGTGACTACAATAGAAACTTCACTGCTGTAAAATCAGCAATTGAAGTTGCAGCAGCTGGCCCCGGAGTCTACAAAGCGATATGGCTTCTCGTTCTAGCATTAATTCTAAAACTCGTTATGACGATATTTACGTTCGGCATGAAAGTACCTTGCGGATTATTTATTCCATCACTTTGTTTGGGAGCGATAATGGGCCGTATCGTTGGAATTGGGATGGAGCAACTTGCATATAATTATCCACATATTTGGATATTTAGCGAAGCATGTTCAACTGGTGTTGATTGCATAACTCCTGGACTGTATGCAATGGTTGGTGCCGCAGCGGTTCTCGGTGGTGTTACTAGAATGACTGTTTCCCTCGTTGTAATAATGTTTGAATTAACTGGAGGTGTACGATACATTGTACCATTAATGGCAGCTGCTATGGCAAGTAAATGGGTTGGCGATGCTCTTGGAAAACAAGGCATTTATGATGCACACATCGGTTTGAACGGATATCCATTTCTTGATAGCAAAGACGAATTTCAACATACTACTCTTGCAGCTGACGTCATGCAACCAAAGTAATTGCATCATCATCATCATCATTATTGTTATGATTGTTAAAATTCTCTTTATAATGAATTTTTCTTTATAATTAATAAATTTAACTCTTATTTTCAGACGTAATGAGGCCCTTCATGTTCTTACTCAAGATTCAATGACAGTCGAGGATGTTGAAAATTTACTAAAAGAAACAGAGCACAATGGTTTTCCAGTCATAGTTTCAAAAGAATCGCAATATCTCGTTGGTTTCGTTTTACGAAGAGATCTAAATCTTGCAATTGCAAATGCTAAACGTATGACTGAAGAAATTACTGGACAATCATTAGTTCTATTTACAAATGGAAACAACATTCAAAGTCATTCTCCTCCGCCACTTAAATTGAAAAAAATTCTCGATATGGCTCCAATAACAATTACTGACCAAACACCTATGGAAACTGTTGTTGATATGTTCAGAAAGTTGGGATTAAGACAAACCCTAGTTACGCATAATGGGTAATTATTTTTGTTATTTTATTAGTTTATTATTATTTATTTGTAATGTTTTCAATTAATACGATTATATTAACTTTTAACGTTCATTTTTGTAGTCGACTACTCGGGGTTATTACAAAGAAGGATGTATTGAGACATGTGAAGCAACTTGACAACGAAGATCCTAATTCTGTATTGTTTAATTAAAATTTATATAAAAAATATATATATGAGAGACACAGTGTTTTATAATGCATGGTATCAACCAAACGATTGGCTAAAGTATACCAACAGTATGGTTTTTGATATTTTCATATAACCGTTACGAGAAATTTGTTTTAATTATTAAGTGATTGAAAATGAAGAAATAAATAGGTAAAACAGTTTTAACTCACTGCACTACGCGAGCTTTTATATATTTTATTTGAGCAAGTCTCAGTCCAACTTATATTTACCATATGTTAAAAAAAATTTCTTTTACAAGTAAAAGAGCAACACTAATAATATTTAATATCTTTTACAATTCTTTGTATTTTTAAGTTGTTCAAAGATTATATTCAAAGAGAGATTATATCTTACTTGATTATACAGTTTAAACAATACAGCATATAACACGTTATATGTAGTATTATATTTAAAAACATTTTAAATGTTTTCAACTTTGAATTTCTATAGTTGAAATAGCGAATTAAATGATAAGACATGTATGACTATGTTATATATCTAGATAGAATGGCGCGTAGTGCAAGAAATTTTATTGCTAGCGATTTTTGAAAGTAATTTGCATTTAAATATTAAGAATAATATCAATTTTGTTTTTTTAAATATTCGTCATGCATACGTATGTAGATATATGATTGTAATTAATGTGATTTTTCTTGATTTTGCTCTATATATTTTAAATTAAAAAATTACAAGATTTAATCGAATTTCTATAAACAATGATCGAAAGAAAATGGATTATTTTATTTAAAATTAATTCATGTTCAAAGCAATATGTTTCTGCTGACACAAAGGACAAATTTCAGAAGATATGGTATCTTGCATACCAAAAGATTATATTATGATTATGTCGATTTCCAATATACATATGTATATATGCAAATATAGTACAATATGTACGCGATAGATATATATATATATATATATATATAAATGAACTTTACAAATATTGAGGTTACATAAACGTATCTTCATATGTATAAATGTTAAAATATAAATGTTAAAATAAGTATTATTTAAATATTATTGGCAGTAAAATCTCATAAACAAGTATTGATAATAATCGTTATTTTTATTTAAGTTAGTGCTTCTCTCAGTAGTTAATTTTTGACAGGGAAAGTATAGTTAAATATCCAAAAAAAAACGAAAGAAAATATAATCATCTGTAAATTAGATATCAGAGATGAAATTATTCATTCACTCTCATTAGCTATTTCTAGACATTTTCCAGTAAGCATATGTTCACCCTCAGAGAATAACAAATACATTGTATTACACTTAATCAAAATTGATACCAATCAAACATTTCATCTAGCAAAAGCAACGCTAACAGAACAAATCAATAAGTATTTGAAAGACAGTTTATAGTTATAGGTATGTAGCCTGAGGAAGTAGGACGTTTTATTCGAAATTTAAAGTCGATCGAAAAGGAAAAGGAAATCGTGCCGCCACGTGTGTCACAAAGAAGCGAAAGAAATCGTCGGATTTTAGAATGGAAGAGTGCGATATTTCAAAAAACATTCGAAGAAAAGAAAGAAAGTAGGAAATAAAAACGAAAAAGAGTCAACTAGTTATGTGTTAACTTTCTCCCCTAAGGCGAGTTTCACGAGGTGCATATGTACACGCGAGTGTATTATTACTATCATTATTTTTTTCTTTTTTTTTTTTTTTTAAATAAATCACCATCAAACGAGCATTATAATGCTTCGTGAAGTTTCGACTGAAAAACGAAAACGGGAAGAGAAGAAAAGGGGAAAAAGAAGTGAAAAAATATCGGGAGAGAAAGGAGTCGCAGTGTTTGCTGACCACGGTATCACCTGCAGGGGTCAGTTTGTAGCTAGAGTGGGGGATAGCGTGGAGGGTGACGAAGAGCATTCGTGCAGGCTGGTGGTTCGCTAGTTTCGCGGTAGCGATAACCCCCGTTTGCGCGTGTGCGCGTACGAGTTGTTTGACTGTGTTGGGGTTTAGATGGATTCGCTTATACAGGGAAAGAGAGACCTCAAAGCCGTTTTCCTCGGTCGTTCGATACGCGCGCGCGCGAAACGAATCGACTTCATCCATAGTATCGTCACAGTTCTCGTCGGAGACGTTCGTGATTTTGCACCCTTGTTCAAGTCACAATCTGCCGAACTATATGACGAGGGTACACCACGGTTTCCTTTCTCATTTCCCTTCGTCTCTACTTCTATCTTCGCCTCTCTCTTCCTCTAGCTCTCTTTCTTTTATTAAATCCTCCTTCGCTGCTTCTTCCCTTCTCTTTACCATCGTTTCTGCCGTCACGCCGAAACACCTTCAATTAATTTTCATCCGAGCATCGTCGCCCGTTTTCATCTTCACGCGCCCGAGCCTCGGCTCGTCAGCTCGTTTCTGCGATCCTTTCGTCCTCCTCCTCGTCTCGTTCGTCGGCACGTCGTTGTCATCTCGTTCGCACCCTATTTGGGACACTGTTCAGAGCTCGATCTTTGATTCTCCTTGGATAAGACAGATGGTAATTATGACTCGCGAGTGTTGTACGATACTGGAGTGACCAGTAAGCAACAGACTGATTTTACGTCATTTCCTGTTGTCATTCCACCCTGTTACTCGGTGGCATTTGTTTTCTGTTTGCGATGCGACCAACCACGGAATCGTGTGTGAACGATATCCAGGAGACGACATCGCAGAGCAGGCCGGATTAGGGGGTACATCGATCATCAAAAGCGTCAAGGAAAAATCACGCAACGTCTCTTTCGAGTATACTCTGCATTTCCTTCTTCCTTCCCTGCTCTCTCTCTCTCTCTCTCTCTCTCTCTCTCTCTCTCTCTCTCTCTCTCTCTCTCTCTTTCTCGCTGTTCCTTGCCTCTCGTTTTCTCGCTTCCCTGCCGAATTTTCCGCCCTCCATCCCGTATTCCTGACTCTTTTCCTCGCTTTCGCTTTCCCTCTTGACTTTCTTACCCGCTTGGTGGTGAAACACGTCGCAGTGGCACGATCGTCATCGACGAAAAAAGAAGAATCTATATACTGTACCGCGACACACATTCGAGTTCGCGCTCAGTCAATAGCAGCTGCATCCTTTGAAATTTCAAAAGAGCCACGAACACGAGAGCTGTCCACGACGATTTGTGGATCGAGCATGAAAATCGAGCGGAAGAAAACTGCCTTATAACCGTGATACGATGCTGCTGCGAGGATTTTGAAGGAGAAGAACCTTATCTACCTAACCGGCGAGCAAGCAGTATATCATGATCGTTCCCCGTACCCTTGTTGTTTATTGTTATCAACCGAAGGAACGTGCATGAGTCGTCGAACCACTCGAGAGCTGGCGAAGGCGAAAGAAAGCAGAAACGAAAGAAAACGGAAACAGAAGTGGGCACACACGTACACGCGCACACACACGCACGCACACACACACACAAACACACACAGCTCTGCTGCGTAGGAACCGCAACGATGAAACGTACAAATTTCGGTGAGCCGAGGAACCAAAGATTCCAATGATACCTTCGCAAGGTGGCCGTGAGGGATATAAAGGTTCTGCCAACCCTCCGAGCAACGGCTCCGAGGACAATGGCTTCGCTAATCGACCTCGAGTGGCGGGCCTTTACGCGACGAATCTCTTCAGAGAAGAGCTCGTTCGATTCTCATCGTCAGGAGAGACCACTCGATCTCACGGTCCCGCGCGGGATATACTCGAGAGATCGCCGCGAGAGATTGGCAGCCAGAGAAGTTTAAATCTGCCCGCGGGCATCGCCGAGGAGTTCGAGCTGTTGGACCGCTCGAGGATCGGGATATCGAGAACGCCTCAGCCGTTGAGAAGAGGCGAGGCCTCGGCCGCTGCTCGTTACGAGCTCCGATCCAGATTCGACGAGTCCACCGCCAGGCGAAGAGATCGTTATGGATCGCCTGTCGAGAGAATCGGCGGTAGGGGACACGAGCAACAGGGAGAGTACGCGTCCAGCACCGTTCGAGGATCCCTCCTCGAGTTCCCACGGTCCGAGCAGACGATATGGATGGAGGAGCCGGATGTCGACGATTCTAAGATACATGTTTCAACTGGCGATCTTGCTGGGAGGAGAGAACCGGACGATAGCTCGACGTTTGCCACAACATCCGCCTCGATACTCATATCGCCGGCGAGCGAGACCAGCGAGTGCGACGCGATCTCGCCGCCAGAGGTGGAGAAATCATCACCGCCACCGTATGCGGGCCTCAGCCCGCCAGAGTACACCGGCCACGAGTACGAGAACAGCGAGACACCGTCGCCGATCTTCCCGAATTATCCGTTGACCTCGTACGCGGAGGAAACGCGGCGTCACAGGCGTTCGAGATCGTCCGTCTCGAACGGCGAGCTCGAGCTCGCGCTGCGCGGCGAACGTTTGAAGAGCGAGGATCGATTCGAGTCGGAACCGGAGGAGGAGACCGGCGGCCGATCGGGACGAACCGAGCGTCAAGAAACGAATCCGGAGAAAACAGCCGGAGAAAACGAAGAGGCAACGAGAACCGCCAGGGACGTCGCGAGGCTACGACCGCCTCTGACAGCGGCGGCTGGCGCCTCGGCCGATTCTGGGACCGGTGATTCCGGAAGCGCGGAGATCCAAGTCGATCCGCTCGGTACTCCCAGAACGGCCACCGCCGGTGAAATTTTAGACGAAAGGGACGGCGGTGACGACGGCCAGGCCGCTTGTAAATCGTCGATTAAAACGCCCACCGGGAACAACAAGCAGACGGTGAAACTCTTCACGAAGGAGAGCCTCGACAGGTTGGAGAACAGGACCGTGCAGCTCGTTAGAGATTATGGCTTTCAGCCGAAAAGGCGAATGTCAGTGGAGGACGGTGCGGTGCTTCCAAACAAGTACGAACCGTTTCCAACCGAACTCTACGGCAGGCCTCTCGAGGAGATCGACAATTTCATCTACGACGAGGTACGTTTTATATATATTTATATTTTTATATTCTTTTTATACAAAAATATACATATATATTTTATATTTATTTATATTTATGTATTTTTTTATACAAAAATATACATATATATTTTATATTTATTTATATTTATATATTTTTTTATACAAAAATATACATATATATTTTATATTTATTTATATTTATATATTTTTTTATACAAAAATATACATATATATTTTATATTTATTTATATTTATATATTTTTTTATACAAAAATATACATATATATTTTATATTTATTTATATTTATATATGTATTTATATTTTTTTATATAAAAATATATATATAAATATAATTATTTATTGTATTTATATTTATACATATAGTTTTATATTTTTTTATACATACATACTTTTATATATACTTTATGTCGTTGGTTTCATATTGTTCGGACAATGTTGTGAGATATTTAAAATTGGATTGGTATTAACATACAGAAGAAATAACTGATTAAGAAAAGATTCACATGATGTAAAACGTACGATATTCATTTTAAGGAAAACTAAATTTAATTATCTAGAGAGAAGAAGCTAAAAAAAAGTGTATTATAACGCAAAGAAGAGTGTTAGAAATCTATATAATTGTTAGAATTGAGATTATTTTTTTATAAGAAAGAGAAAAGATGTCTATACACGTGTAAAAAAAAAATTATAAAATTACAATTGTAATTCGTTGCAACAAAACTCGTGAATAATGTTGGGATTACTTAAAGATGAGACAAATAAATACCTTGAATAAATACTCTTTTGAACAATGAATCTTTCCTAATCATTTTAATTCTAAATTATTAAAAATTTCATTCGATTTCGTTCTTTTTGGTTTTTTAACCTCTTGCGCTGGAATGACGCACGTCGAGAACTTTTTTTTTTGTCCCAAAATTGCAATATCTCCTCAGTTTCGAGTATATTTAAGTAAAACAAATAACAAATTTATTCTACTTCTCAATAAATTCCATCCAGTCAATATCATACCGACGAATTCAAAAAGAAAGCGACGAATTATTGTATACGATTTGGTCACTCGTTATGGTCCGCAATCAGTTGCCAGCGCAAGTGGTTAATCTTCTTTTGGAAATAACTTTCGCAAAATGCAGTAGAGCCTCGTTTATCTGAGGGGGGGGGGGGCGAGAAGATTTGGTAGCCATCTCCTTGTTCCACTCCTATTTATTTGAGTAACAAGAAATAATAGAAATCGATCGACGAATTTTAATTGGCTCGTTTGAACAAAGTACGGATGAACGTGGCTCCACTCACGTAAATAATACAGAATCTGATTTTCACGTCATCACTTGTACCGTGTGTTTCAGACGTTTTGCGTAGTGTCGAAAAGGTTTCGTAAAAATTACATTCACCGATTCACGGCGACAAACAGCTGGTTCATATTTTCCCCATGGAATCCCATAAGGCGGTACTGTATTTACTTAAGCACGAACCAGTACTTCGATTACATAGTCATGGCTACGATAATATTAAATTGTGCCTTCCTCGCCATGACGGAAACTATCGAGGAAGCCGAGTAAGCATATTCTCACGTATCATCGTGCGCAACCCTCCGGATTAAACAAACGTCAGCACGTGTAACACGCGGCCTCTCGCCTCTTGTTTTTTTTTTTTAGATATATATTCCTAGCGATATACACGGCCGAAATGGTGATCAAGTCGATAGCCAAGGGATTCGTGCTCAATAAATACACTTATTTGCGAAATCCGTGGAACTGGCTGGATTTCGTGGTGATCACCAGCGGTTATGCGACCATAGGGATGGAAGTAGGAAATTTAGCTGGGTTGAGGACATTCCGAGTGTTGAGAGCTCTCAAAACTGTTTCGATCATGCCTGGTAAAGATCTAGAACAAGAAGAACTGCTATTTTTCTTTCTCCTTCTTTCGAAAAATCGGAAGAAAATATATGTGCTGCGTAAAAACCGGTTCTCCACGTATTTTCACGGGGATTGCAATGTTTTTTTTTTTTTTTTTTTGGTTCGTGCGTGCAGAAAATATCGTTAAAAGTTTCTTTAACATTCGTTTGTAAAGTAATATTTCACCACAGAAGAAAAAAGAGTTAGTAAGAATAATTAGTCTGCGAGCAAAAGCACTCCGCTTTAATTTCATTGGAGAGAGTGCCGTAAACTTAAAACGCGTTTATTTTAAATGAATTTATTAATGCAAAATTCTACTTACAAGCTTGGAAGCATGCGCCAAGAAATTAATTAGTACGTGGCATTGCAGATAACAGATGGTATTGTAATCTAGCCGGAGTTTTCAGCAATTTAAATGAGAATCATTTGAGCGGCGATCGATATTTAGAGACACGTGAATCTCTCTGAAGATCCTCCCGGTGTCAAGTACCGCATTAATATCGTCTTTCTTTTTCTTTTTAAATCCATGTTTAAAGTTGTAAGTAGAATTTTTCCTGAAATACAACACGAACATATTTTAACACGCATATTTTCTCAACGAAGAATAACTAGTTTTATCAATACTTTGAATTTCTAATTTTTAATTCCAAATCTCTTGCACAACTAGCTTGACGCTTGTACCATGTACCAAATATAGTGTTACCATTAAGGACCAAGCAGCAATTTATCATAATATTATACATAAGTACTGATAAATTTTATCAAATAATGGAGTGATGTTATATTATTATATAAGATAATAATATAATAATGTAACTAATATATAACTAATATAATTATATTAATAACATAATTATTACTAAATAATATGTCATATTATTACGTTATTAATTATATTAGTATTAAATAATAAGAAATTAGAAAACATATTCTATTGTAAGAATGTAAAGAGGTGAAAAATTTGTGAGAATTAATCGTTCGTCCGATATTCTTTCAGGCTTAAAAACCATCATCAACGCATTGTTACATAGTTTTAAGCAACTTGCCGAAGTAATGACGCTCACGATCTTTTGCCTGATGGTTTTTGCACTTTTTGCTCTACAAGTCTACATGGGCGAACTGCGGAATAAATGTGTGAAGAAGAATTTGGAATTAAACAACACGCAAGTCGATTGGAGAGAGTACGTATAACATGACTCCTCCTAGATGTGTATGCATGTTGCTCTTGCACGAGTATTTATATATGTATGCATATATGTATCAGCTTGAGAGACAATGGCTCGTTGACTTTCAAGAGGTATTAACCGATATCTTGTATCGTCCACAGGTGGACTTGGAACTCGTCCAACTGGGCATTCGACGAAGACGAAGAGCCAATAATTTGCGGTAACGCGACTGGCGCCAGGTTAGCCAAACTTGGTTCGTTATTGCGCGCGGCTGCTCCGGCTGACAGCTTGATTCTAACTGCGAGGAATCCCTTTCCTGTGTTTCAGACACTGCAACGAAAGTTACATCTGCCTTTGCGTTGGCCCGAATCCAAACCACGGGTATACAAATTTCGACAATTTTCTGTGGTCGATGCTCACCACGTTTCAGTTGATTACTCTGGATTATTGGGAAGACGTCTACAATAAGGTAGGTTTGCCAATTTTCCCTTCTTTCCGCACGAGTGACTGCTTTTGCCAACAAGCGGCCTGTGACGTCTTCGCGACAACAAGTGTTTGAGGTGAAAAGGTATAATCTTCGGTCGGTTCTTAGGTATTGTCGGCGTGCGGACCTATCAGCGTCTCGTTCTTCACGGTGGTCGTGTTTTTCGGCTCGTTTTACCTGATCAACTTGATGCTCGCTGTCGTCGCGCTGAGCTACGAGGAGGAAGCCGAGATTACAAACGAGGTACTTGCAAATTAGCCAATTGTATTAGTCACATACTTTCGACTTTCGTGCCTCTTGCAACAGGAACGAAGGAAAGACTTAACCGACCATCGCGAGGACTCGACGTTTAGTTTCGACCCGACAAAGATCAATGTGAAGACGCTTGCCAAAGAGAAGCAGAAGAAGTTAGACGCGAGGAAAGGAGTTCTTCTTAGTAGTTACACGCGCAAGAAAACACGGAGACGAAGACGTGGGAGAAGCACTGCCGGTTCTGCTTCGTCTGGACAGGATAAAAGTGGCTCTGTGCCAAGCAGGTACGCTTTCTGTCGCCGCGAGAATTCAGAATATCTGTCGACAAGAAAAAGAAATCGTCACATTAACAATTTAATTACATAGCCAAACCTTATATAGATATCAATTTAGGATCGTAAAACGAACAAATTTCTCCTGTATAAGTTTGCTCGTAAATGTTTTCTTCAAGAGATATTTACTATTAAAGTTGTAGAACTTGGTAACGCATGCCATCGAAATAATTCAGGTTTGTTACGTATTACTAAAGAAAATTGTAGTATTTATTACTAAAAATAATTGTAATTACATACGTTGCTCAAAATGATTACCTTCAGCTTGGAGACAAGCATTAATCTCAGAAACACAGTTATATCAATGTTATTCATTTCCAACTCTTAACCCCTTGCGCTGGCAACTGATTCGCGGACCATAACGAGAGACCGAACCGTATACAATAATTTGTCGCTTTCTTTTTCTTTCGAACTCGTCGGTACGATAACACTGGATCGAAATTATTAAGAAGTAATAAACTTATCACTTGTTTTGCCTGGGTTACATTTAAATACACTTAAAACTGAGAAAATGTTGCAATTTGGGACAAAAAAATTCTCGACGTGCGTGGCACGTCGTTCCAGCGCAAGAGGTTAACCACTTGCACTGGCAACTGTTTCGCGGACCATAACGAGTGACCGAACCGTACACAATAATTTGTCGCTTTCTTTTTCTTTCGAACTCGTCGGTACGATATCACTGGATCGAAATTATTAAGAAGTAATAAACTTATCACTTGTTTTGTCTGGGTTACATTTAAATACACTTAAAACTGAGAAAATGTTGCAATTTGGGACAAAAAAATTCTCGACGTGCGTGGCACGTCGTTCCAGCGCAAGAGGTTAACCACTTGCACTGGCAACTGTTTCGCGGACCATAACGAGTGACCGAACCGTACACAATAATTTGTCGCTTTCTTTTTCTTTCGAACTCGTCGGTACGATATCACTGGATCGAAATTATTAAGAAGTAATAAACTTATCACTTGTTTTGTCTGGGTTACATTTAAATACACTTAAAACTGAGAAAATGTTGCAATTTGGGACAAAAAAATTCTCGACGTGCGTGGCACGTCGTTCCAGCGCAAGAGGTTAACCACTTGCACTGGCAACTGATTGCGGACCATAACGAGTGACCAAACCGTATACAGTAATTCGTCGCTTTCTTTTTCCTTCGAACTCGTCGGTATGATATCACTGGATAGAAATTATTAAGGAGTAATAAACTCATCACTTGTTTTGCCTGGGTTACATTTAAATACACTTAAAACTGAGAAAATGTTGCAATTTGCGACAAAAAATTCTCGACGTGCGTGGCACGTCATTCCAGCGCAAGAGGTTAAGTTTGTTAAGTAGAGATACAAACAACGTGTTTATTTTTGTATTTTTTAACAATGCATTTGACCAAGAGCATTTCGACATAAATTTACAAATATAAGAAGGTTCAAAAAATAGTGTAATAATAATAATAATTTGGATGTGACAGTAACTTACTGTACAATAACGATTTATATGTACATATTTGTTTTAGGGTCCTAAATTCATATCTAAAATTTGGCGATTTAACCCGGGAATACCATGTGTTATATATTGAATGATATTTATTAAATGTAATAATTTTCTCGACAATTAGGTCGGTGACACCAAGCCCGAACCCGAGTCCAAGACACTCGACCGTTCGACCGTCTCATTTACTTCTGCAAAATGTCAGTCCACGAACCGCGGAGAACAACGGGGTTCACCGATTGGCGCCGAATCGCGGGATGCTTCATTCCCGACAAGCAAGTAACAACAGCAATCAACAGTCATCGTTGGACGACTCGGGTGTTGTCGACGACCACGACGGCGACGACGTCACGTCTGTGGAGGAGCATGATCGACGCGACAACAAAGAGTCGAGGGCCAATTGGCAGGAGAGGACACCTGCTAGCAACAACGCCGACGTCAGTGTTGAAACGAACGCCGGTGGAGCGAAAAATGAAGTGAACAATGAAATGGACGTCGACAACGAACGAGAAAAGTCGCAGGCGACCCATTCCGGCGGATATCTTCGAGCGCCCACGAACGTTCCTGTTTCACTTGCTGGTGGAACTGCTAGAGAGATTCGAGTGTTTAAATGCAACGGTGTGAAAACGAAGAAGCAGATGTACACCTTGCCACCAGAGTATTTGTCGCACATTGTTATTTTAGGTAGAGCAACGATTTTTATTCATTTAGAGTGAGTTTTCGTAACACGACGCTTGAAGGCTTGAGGTAGCTCGTAAATTATTGTAAGAAAAAGGTCATCTTCGGCTCGATTATCTTTGTGAAAAAGTATCAGTCTATGTGTGTCAAATAATTATTAATTAAGAGAGAAAGAGAGAGAGATTTTAACTTCAATTTTATAAAATCTATGCATGAAGGACAAGTATTGTACGAAGCATCATATTATATTACAGATTAAAGTTGAAGTATCTTCTACGTTAATAGTTTTTTTGAAATATAATATACGTAGGTTAATACTTTTTTACAAAGAGTATCGATTAATGGATCAAAAAATATATCGTTCAGTTTAAAAAACTGAAAATGATCTCTCGATAAAAAAAGCAATATTTTTTCATACGATAGTTCAAATCGTCATGTTACAAGACTTATTCTGTATGATACACTACCGTGCATAAATATTTGGACACCTCTAAATTATTGCAATATAAAGTGCGATTCAAATGGATCTCTTTAATTTAATCTTCAATATATACAATTATAGTTAATTAATAGATATTGGTAGAAAGAGTAGCTATGATGTTTAATATAGTAGCTTTAATATATACAATTATAGTTAATTAATAGACATTGGTAGAAAGAGTAGCTATGATGTTTAATATAGTAGCTTTAATATATACAATTATAGTTAATTAACAAATATTGATAGAAAGAGTATGATATTTAATATAGTAGCTTCAATATATACAATTTAAAAGTAGTAAATTTAATAGTAGCTTTAATATATACAATTATGATTAATTAACAGATATTGATAGAAAGAGAGAGTAGCTATGATATTATAATAACTGGATGGCACCGCATTGTTGAAATTTTAAAACGAACGAGTGAAATTTGAAAATGCAGAAAATTGTCAGTAGAAAATCGCTATTTTCAAGGCGTCAAAACAAAAATATCGAGCTTTTATTTACGCACGGTGGTGTTCATTCAACAAGACACGATATAATTACAACTACAATGCCTCGTTATTATAAATTCCAGATGGTCTTCCGGATAGAAACTGTGAAAAATGCATCCAATGCTGTATAGATTACGAGGGTTGGCTGCGATTTCAGAATTGTTTGTACAAGGTAGGTATGCCAGAAGGTAAATAGTAGCGTCTTCGAGAGAGGAGCGTCTTCGGGAATGAACGCAAGTATCTCTATTTAAATGAGTTCGATATTCGTTGCGGATACATTAACGGATAGCGAACCGATTATTAATAAACAAAACACAATACGAACAGAGTTAAATGTAGCAAAGGAAAAAAAGAGAAAAAGAAAAAAAAGAAAGAAAACGCTCGACTCTCGTCGATTGACCAGTGGCTCGTATCTAGGTAGTGAGAGATCCGCTATTCGAGTTGACGATCACGCTGTGCATCGTCCTGAACACCGGCTTCCTGGCGATGGAGCATCACGGGATGAGCGAGTCGATACGACAGGCGCTCAACATCGGTAATAAAGTGTTTACCAGTATCTTCACCTTCGAATGCTTGCTGAAGCTGTTGGCGCTGAGCAAAGATTTCTTCGCCAACGGATGGAACAATTTCGATTTGATAATAGTGTCAGCGTCTCTGATAGATCTTACCTTCGAGCTGGTAGACGGCCTCTCCGTGATACGCGGACTGAGGCTTCTGCGTGTGTTAAAACTGGCACAGTCCTGGACCACGATGAAGGTTCTACTGAGCATTATCATTTCGACGATCGGCGCCCTTGGCAACCTCACCTTAGTCCTGGTGATTGTGATCTATATATTCGCCGTGATCGGCATGCAGTTGTTCAGTAAGGACTACACGTTGGACAAGTTTTACCCGGACCCGGTACCACGGTGGAACTTCAACGATTTCTTTCACTCGTTCATGATGATATTTCGCATACTGTGCGGCGAATGGATCGAGCCGCTGTGGGATTGCATGCGGGCCGAGCAGGAGGACGGCCCCGAGGCTTGCTTCGCCATATTTTTACCGGCGCTCGTCATGGGTAATTTCATGGTGTTGAATCTTTTCCTCGCCTTGCTGCTCAACAGCTTCAACTCGGAGGAGTTGAAGCAGAAGAAGGAGGAGGTCGGCGAGGAGTCGAAGCTCGCGAGGTCGTTCGATCGGATCCGTTCGATCATACGGAAGAACAAATGCTCGCGGCTGACGCAGGCCAGAGGAGGCAAGGGGAGAGATCCACGTTTCGAGAAGATCGTGCGGCGCGTGATGGACCGATCCGACAACGAGACTAAATACGCCATTCAAGAGACTGTACTCAGCCTTCCAACGGACAACGTTTACAACAGATCCTACCAAGAAAGTTTAAATCAGCCCGTTTTTACTTACGACCCGGTGTACTCTCAGTCTCAGACGGAGGAGCAATGGGAGAAGGAGGGCGAGAAAGACGACGGTTCGCCCAGCGACGAGAACAATTACTCGAGCGAGGCGAAGGAGATCGAAGCGAACGAGAGCAAGGAGGAGGAGTGTCGAGATGCGCCGGAGGTTGCGAAAGGCTCGTCCTCGAGCAAAGCAGCCGCGGAGGAGAGCGTCGCGATGCTGCCTCAGAGGGATCCGTTCCCTGCCCGACACGAGGATCGGGTGCCGAAACGACCTTGGCACGCGCTCGTCAGCTACGTGGACGAGCTGACGGTCGGCGGGAGGAGGGACAGCAAAGGGAAATACATCGACGGCATGGGCTCTTTCCCGGGATTTGGAAGGAGCAACCGGCGCAAAGAGCCGCAAGACTGCTTTCCACGACAGTGTTATCAGAAGTAAGATTATCCCCGCTTCTCTCGAATCTAACTAACGTTCCATCGAGATGAAAATCGAGCGTGACAGCAAGTTGTATCTGCACAGGTGTACCTGCATCGATCGGTGTATCGCGACGGCCATCGGCAAAAAGTGGATCAAAATGCGAACGATGATACTCTCGGTCGTCGATACGCCCGGGTTCGAATGGATGATCCTAGTTTTAATTTTCGCATCTTCCATAACCCTCTGTTTCGAGGATATTTATCTAGACGATAACCCGTTTCTGAAGAAGATCCTCTATTGGACCAATCTCGGCTTCTGCGCGCTCTTCAGCATCGAGATGCTGCTCAAGTGGTTAGCTCTGGGTTTCTGCAAATATTTCACCAGTTTTTGGACAATCTTGGATTTTATAATTGTCTTTGTAAGTAGAGCTATTAATCGATGCAAGCAGCATCGGTTTCAATCGTATATACGTATATGTGTGTGTGTGTGTGTGCGTGTGTGCGTGTGTGCGTGTGTGTATTTGCGCGTGTTCTTCTTGACGTCCATCGTTGCTGCATGGAATTTTTCGTTCCCGCCGATCGTGACATACTCGTGTCACGGTACCGCTGTATTTGTTTCTCTCTCTCTCGCTGTCTCCTTCATTTTTACGTGTTTCTTTCTGAATTTTTGTTGTATATGTCGCCTCGCGGACTCAGGTACGTGCCAAATTAATATGTCGCATTCAATCATTCAACGCTTAGTCTCAATTCTTCACAATTTCAGCAATTATTGCCCGATCGTGTCCCACGTAACACTTTTCACGATTTTTCAACTACTTGCGACAATCTGACAAAGAAAATATTTTAAACAAAAGTTGATGCGTGTTCGATTGACTGTATAGTGCAACAAAGAAAAAATTCTTTTTTTTTCCGATAATTGTCGAGGTCACCTTCGTTTTTTTTTTAAATGGCACTTTATATTTTTGACTTGGTAGCATTGGTAGCTTGTATCTAGACGAATTCAACGACCTGTAGTTTTAATAATAAACACAAGATATTATCACCTATTCGTGGCTGATTGTCACTTTTTGTTGAAATTTTCACTCCTTTGCCTTCAAGATCATCCGAGGGCCATTGTATACTAGGTCGTTGAATTCGTCTAGATACCAGCTACAATGTTGTCAAGTCAAAAATATAAAGTGCCATTTAAAAAACCAAAAGTAACCTGGACAATTACTGAAAAAAAAATTTGTTGCACTGCATAGCTAATCGAGCACGGATCAATTTTTGTTGAAAACATTTTTTTGTCAGATTATCGCAAACACTTGGAAAAATTGTGAAAAGTGTTACGTGAGACAGCCTGTATATACAGGATGGTTAATATTTTTCTTAATATTTTTAATTTTTTTAATGTCTCTTCGAATTGTGACGATGTATGTAAAAAATAGTTTTTGTCTGATACGAATGGTATTCAAAATATTTTCTCCAAGGTCACTTTTGTTCAAGGACTTTTCAAGGTCATTGATGTTTTTTTTTTCATGCAACTATGTTTTTATTTTTATTTGTTATTATTGTTTTATTTATTTTATGTATTTATTTATTTTATGTATTTTTTATGTATTTATTTATTTTATGTATTTTTTATGTATTTATTTATTTTATGTATTTTTTATGTATTTATTTTATTTTCTTTCATACAACGTATTTTTTCACTAGCTACGCGATAAAAAAATATATAGTTATATGAAAAGAACATCAATGATCTTGAAAGGTCCTTGAAGAAAAGTGACCTTGAAGAAAATATTCTTACCCGTTCCTAGCCATTCGTATTAGGCAAAAAATGTTTCTTACATCATCGTAATTCGAAGAAATATTTAGGTGGCCTTAAATGTGACCACTCTGTACGTCCATAGCTCATTTTATTATTAATTTTCACACAGCAATTGTAAGTTTATATTTTGCGCACTTTTTCATTTCATAATATTCATAATGTAGACTAAAATTGCACTATTTTCCATCGTTGTTCGCTGCAATACTTTTTGTAACCTTTTTATATTATACCAAAAATATATATATATATATATTTTTTTTTTTTTTGGCATAATATAAAATAAAGGAAAATTTCAAGAAATGTACAAAATCAAAAATTTCCAGCTTTACATATTCGTAGCCATATCATAAAATTTCCACTTGATCTACTTAATATCTACTTTGAGTGCTTAGAATTGCCAAAAAATTTAAAAATTCAATATTAAATTACAACAAATTGAAGATACATTCACTATTAAACGTTACACGTTGATTGATCTTATTCATTTTTTTTTTTTTTTTTGGTTTTACAGCGTGCAAACTTGACAGAAGACACTGCAAGATTTGACAGAAATAGTGCAATCCCCGACTAGTTGCAAAATGCTTGAAATGAGTCTCACGAGTATTCACACAGCTTTGCACGGCATTTCAGCAGTTTCGCCAGCCTGCTATGAAAGTGAAAGTAGCTGCTCAGTTTTCGTTTAGTCACTATCCCTCGTATTTATACTTGTACGTTGTGCCTGTACGAAAGACGCCGAACATTTGTAGCCGTTTTCGTTTTAGTCGTGCAAACGAGCAAAACGCGTTGTAACAGAATTCACGGCGGTCGCTTTCGAACGCTTGCAGCTTCCTACAAACAGCATGTTAATTAATCTCTGGATGACGAAGAACGCCGGGACGTGATCTTTTTCAACGATCTGTAATCAGTAATCTTTCATTTGAACAGGTGTCGACGTTTAGTCTGTTGATAGAGGAGAACGAAAATTTGAAAGTGCTGAGGTCGCTGAGAACTCTGCGAGCACTGAGACCACTGAGAGCGATATCGAGATGGCAAGGCATGAGGGTAAGAGATTCCTGTTGTAGACTACTGCTGGTAGATTGCTGGTAGAGAAACACACCGACTCGAAGGCTTGAGAGATTTTTAGAAGTATCGGGCTGTTTTCTTTTTTCTCCTTGCTAGATCGTAGTGAACGCGTTGATGTATGCGATACCTAGTATATTCAACGTGCTCCTCGTCTGTCTCGTGTTCTGGCTGATATTTTCTATTATGGGTGTGCAATTTTTCGGCGGCAAGTTTTTCAAATGCGTCGACGAGTACGGCGAATTGTTGGACATATCGGTAAGTAAGAGCATTTCTCATCTCCTCTGCTTCGATCATCGAAGAGACGTCGAACTGAAATGAGAAAAAGAAAAAAAAAAAAAAGAAAGAAAGAACAGAACGAGGGTAGAACTCGAATCGACTCGAACCGATTGCTTCTCAGATCGTAAACACGAAAGACGACTGTCTGAGGAAGAACTACTCCTGGGAGAACAGTAAAATCACGTTCGATCACGTGGGGATCGCTTACCTGGCCCTGTTTCAAGTAGCCACGTTCGAAGGGTGGATGGAGGTGATGCAGGACGCGGTGGACGCGAGAGGCGTCGACCTTCAGCCTCAGAGAGAAGCGAACATCTACGCATATTTCTACTTTGTGATATTTATCGTTTGCGGCTCCTTTTTTACACTGAACCTCTTTATCGGAGTAATTATAGACAACTTTAACATGTTGAAGAAAAAGGTAAGGAAACGTAAGAACCATCCGATCGAACAAAAACACCGATTGAGAAATTGTAATTTCATCGAACGCTGAAGCATTTCTCCCCCCCTCTCGCCCTTCTCTCGTTCTCATCCTTGTTTATCCCTGTTTTCAGTACGAAGGTGGGGTGCTAGAAATGTTTTTGACCGAAAGTCAAAAACACTACTACACTGCCATGAAAAAACTCGGCCGTAAAAAGCCGCAGAAAGTGATAAAGCGTCCGATGAATCAAATCCTCGCAATGTTTTACGACCTATCGAATTCACGCAGGTAACGAATATAAGTTTACAGACTTTTCTTTCTTCTTCTTTTTTTTTTTTTTTTTTTTTTTTCTTTTTCTCAAAAAAAAAAAAAAAAAAAAAAAAACTCGTCGACAGCTTGCTTTTTATAAACAACAAACTACGATGTTTCCAGATTCGAAATAGCAATTTTCATTTTGATATTCCTCAACATGCTGACGATGGGGATCGAGCATTACGATCAGCCTCATCCGATCTTCTTCGTTCTCGAAGTGTCGAACGCATTTTTCACGACCGTTTTCGGTCTAGAGGCGATCGTGAAGATAATTGGGCTCCGTTATCACTATTTCACGGTGCCGTGGAACTTGTTCGATTTCCTCCTCGTGCTGGCCTCGATATTAGGAATATTAATGGAGGACATTATGGTAGACTTTCCGGTGTCCCCGACGCTCCTGCGAGTCGTGAGAGTGTTCAGAATCGGTCGAATCTTAAGGCTGATAAAGGCAGCCAAAGGTATTCGTAAACTGCTGTTCGCACTGGTGGTTAGTCTTCCGGCGCTGTTCAACATCGGCGCCCTGTTAGCTCTAATTACTTTCATTTATGCCATTATCGGCATGTCGGTCTTTGGTCACGTTAAAAAGCAAGGCGCACTCGACGACATGGTGAGTAAAGTATCAACACAAACGTTTAGCCGCTTGCGCTGGCGGCTGAATTGCGGACCGTAACGAGCGGCCGGCGGCCGTAACGCGCGACAAATTCGTCGCTTTCTTTTCGCCTCGGTTATACTTAAAACCGAGGATTGATTGCAATTTTTCGGACGAAAAATTTCCAGCGCAAGTGGTTAATCTCGTTCGTTTCCATCTGAATCTGTACTTTTATTCGATGAGACACGCTGTCCGTCACGACGATGCTAATTGCGATCTTTTTCTCTCTCTCTCTCTCTTTTTTTTTTTTTGTTTCTGTCTGCGTTTTTTTTTCCCCCCCTCCCTTCGTTCTCCGTAGGTAAATTTCGAAACGTTTGGTAGAAGCATGCAATTACTGTTTCGATTAATGACATCGGCCGGTTGGAACGATGTGTTAGAGTCGTTGATGGTGCAACCGCCGGATTGCGATCCGACGCCGACCAGTCGGCAGATGAACGGGAACTGCGGATACCCTCTCCTGGCGATAACATATTTCACTTCTTTCATCATAATCAGCTACATGATTGTTATCAACATGTACATTGCCATTATCCTCGAGAACTTTAATCAGGCACATCAGGAAGAGGAGATCGGTATTGTCGAGGATGATTTAGAGATGTTTTACATACGATGGTCCAAGTAAGAACTCACGCCGGCCCTCGCCGGTCACGGTTGCTCACTCGAAAACCAGAGATCCGCTAAACACGCGTGGTTAACTGTGATTAATTCGTAGGTACGATCCGCACGCGACACAGTTCATAAATTTCTCGCAGTTAAGCGATTTCATAGCAAGCCTGGACCCGCCATTGGGAATCTCCAAGCCCAATATGGTTGCGCTAGTTAGTTTCAATCTTCCTATCGCAAAGGGTAATAAGATTCATTGTCTGGACATTCTGCACGCACTTGTCAAGCACGTCCTCGGACACGTAGAGGAGTCTGAAGACTTTCGAAAGCTGCAGGAACAGATGGACATTAAGTTTAAGAAACAGTTCCCCACGCGTAAAGAGCTTGAGATCGTCTCCTCGACGAGAATGTGGAAACGCCAGGACAAAGCAGCCAGGTTGATTCAACGCACGATCAGAGAATACATAACGTGAGTAACTGTTGCAGTTTTCTAATAAATATTTCGGAGGAATAATTGATGTTGAACTTGTAATTATTCGGACTTCGTCGATCTCAATGACTGAAATATGTTGTCAAGGTTGTTGTTCTGAACATTAATTCTTCTCCTATAGGTACGTATTACTGTCGTTCGGCTCTAGTTTTTCGAGATATTTGTAAAAGTATTCACAGTGTGGATCACTTTAAATATCTCCACTATTTTCGAAGACGTGAAAAAGCTTTGTTTTAGTATATGTAGAAGGGATCACAGTATGACGATAATAATACTTCTTTTGTAGCTGAAGGAGTTTTGGGTCACTTTCACTTTTTTAAATGGAAATACACTATATTCTTTTTTTATCTTCTATTTGAACTATCTGTATCGAGGAAATTAATAGTTCAGGAGATATTTTAACTTTAATTTCACTTTAAATCTATGCATGAAAAAAAATAAAGACTGTAAGAGCCTCTGTCTGTCTCTCCTCGTTTTTCATACAATAGATTTTACAGAATTAAGATTAAAGTATCTCCCAAGTTAATGCATAAGTTATTACTACTTTTATTAATACTTTTTTTTTTTTTTATAGGAATACTTTTTTTTATATATCATTCCATTGAAAGAAGTGCAGGTAACTTTGAAATGATCATAAATTCCTCCATCCATAAAAGGACTATTACTGTCATATTATGGTCCCTTCTGTACTAAACAATTTTTACTAGCAAAGTTCTTTCATCTCTTCAAAAGCGACGAAAATGTTCAAAGTGATCACCAGTTGCCTGGTTCACTTTGTATGTTATCCTTTTAACCTCTTGCGCTGGCAACTGTTTCGCGGACCATAACGAGTGACCGAACCGTACACAATAATTTGTCGCTTTCTTTTTCTTTTGAACTCGTCGGTATGATATCACTGGATAGAAATTATTAAGAAGTAATAAACTTATCATTTGTTTTGCCTGAAACTGAGAAAATATTGCAATTTGGGACAAAAAATTTTCGACGTGCTCGGCATGTCATTCCAGCGCAAAAGATTAAACTTCACCGATTTCAATGATTTTTCTTTAACATTGATTTTTGTAAGTTATTTCAATATGACAACGTCAATTCAATTTAGCCTAATTGATTAGACTATTCTAGCCTAAATTAATACCGATATTGTATTATTTATTTATTTATTTACTATGTATTTTAAAAAATGATCGATATTGATTTAAGATAGATAAGTCAGTGGCTTTCACCATCATTTTGAAATAATGATTGAATAACTGTATCTTCTAGTGTGATGAGAGTGTAGTTATGTAACTTAAAATTAATTATTCAATTTAAATTTTTAATACAGAATTAATACAAAATTTATTTGTATTAATTTTGAAATTTATAATTAATACAAATTAATACAAAATCTTTAATACAAAAATTACATGTATAAACGTAGTATTAAAAATATTTTTGCACACATTTCGGAAACGTACATAAGTTCGAGTAACGTGTATAGGAAAAAGTTATTCGAAATGATGACTTTGACAACATATTTCGAGATCTCCTCTTTTGCGGATAATTATCATAAGTTATCACACAAAACTGTTCCGAATAATTATTACAAGTCAAAATCCAAAATCCATGAGGGCATTGCATATCAGTTTTGAAGACACAACCGAGAAGAATAGTGACACTGCGTAAAAAAAAAAAAATAAATCGTAAATAAAGAATAAATCTTTTTCACTTAACGCTCAGAAAATCAAGTTTAAAATTTCTCAACTGTATTTAAATTTAATTAATTCTGGCCAGGAATGAATAACGAATAGGAAATTATTCTATCTGTGAAAGTAAGTCAAAAGTGTAGCGTAGAACTTTTTCGAGAAATTGAAAGCATAATTTAAAATTTAAAATATAAATTAAATTTATTATTATATTTTAAGAATTGATTTTTAATAATATATATTGTTTACTATAAATATTTTAAGACGTGGCCTTAAAATTTATATTTCAGTTAAATTAAAACCATAATTTAAAATTTTGTCAAATCACACATTTACTAAACTTACTAATTTTGAACCGAATATATTCAACGTTTTCTTGGTAATGAAGCTTAAATTGAAAAATTATATTTCACGTTTTTCACTTATTTTCACTTACTTTCGCAGGTAGACCATCTTCCAATCAGTTAGTCTCTCGTACAGAGTCCAGAATTAGCGAAATTCAAATGTACATGAATTTTCAAACTTGATTCGAAGTAATAACTTAAATGAAAAAATTTTATTCTATACTTTCTTCACGTAGAGTCACTCCCTTCTTGGTTGTATCTTCGATATTTTGTGTATTTTGTGACGAAGATAGAAAATTAATCTATTTTTATTTAAAACGTTTCTAGAACGATAGAAAATTAATCTATTTTTATTTAAAATTTCTTTTAATCTATCAAATCAATTAATGTATTTTATTTTTTTTACTATTTTTATATCAATAAATATTTATTTAATTAAACCATCATCGCTATTATTTTTATATATAATCTCAATTATTTTCATATTTTATTTGTTTAATTATTTTATCAAAAATTATTAAATATAAATTTAAATTTTATTATCTAATAATATATATTTAATATATAATAATATATATAATATATATTTTATTATATATTATATTATGTTATTATATTATTTATTTATATATTTTTTATTTATTATATTAATTATACTACTATTTTTTTTAACATAAATTTTATATTTACAATAAAAAATTTTAAAATCAAATATATTATATATATAATAATATAATATATATAATATATATTTTATTATCTACAATATATATTTTTATTATCTTATAATATATATTTTACTATATATTATATTATGTTATTATATTATTTATTTATATATTTATTTATATATTTATTATATTATTTATATATTTTTTATTTATTATATTAATTATACTACTATTTTTTTAAACATAAATTTTATATTTATAATAAAAAATTTTAAACTCAAATATATTATATATATAATAATATATTTTTATTATCTTATAATATATATTTTATTATATATTATATTATGTTATTATATTATTTATATTATTTATATATATTTTATTTATTATATTAATTATACTACTATTTTTTTAAACGTAAATTTTATATTTATAATGAAAAATTTCAAAATCTCTAATAATAACTACAATTATTCAATAGTAAAATTATTTTATTTACAATTTTAATACTTATTATCTCATCAAAAATTTGTTATATTAAAAAGAAAAATCCTTACGAAATAAATTGTTACAATGAAAACGTTCAAAACAATAATTTATAAAAATGTTATTTGTAAAATTCCATTATCATCGCAATGAGATGTGTCATTGTGTCCAGGGCGAAGAAGGAACGCGAAAGAATGGCACAAGAAGTGGACTCGCAGACACAAACGTCGAGTCCTGGTGCTGGGAACGAGGGTAGGGGCGGGGGTGGATGGAGTGGCAAAGTATCGGCTTTTCTACATGTTCATAGAGGTAGCCGAGCCAGTAGTCGCAAGTCCTCGAGGGCCAGCGACGCCAGCGATTTCAGCGAGCTCGGTACAGCTTCGGCGTGGCTTTTTCCAAACTTACCTCTGCTGTTGCTCTCCGGCGCCACCGGTACTCACGAGGACCTGCCTCCTCCCGCTCTGACCGTATCCCGTCCCTCGCCGACTGCGGAACAGCAATCGTTTACCGGTTCCTCTGTTGCTTCTGCCACTTCCTCTGATCTACACACTAGGTTTGCATTCTCTTCTCCTTCTACCTATCTGTTTCTGGTCATTTTCATTCCGAATTTCATTTCAAAATAAAATCAGTTTTTATCATCTATAGGATAAGAGAAAACTTTGGGGGGAGGATCACGCGGTTTGGACGCAAGCCAAAATAAGATGAAAATGAAGTGCTTGTCGTGTCAGTTTTGTAAATGAATTTTTTATAAATATCGTTTACGTGGCTAAATCTTGTGTACATTTCTGTGAAATTCTCACTCTTGACTTTGAGAACTGCTTCAACAAAAATAAGTAAAATATGCATTGAAAATATGCATCAAATATTGGTAATTTTTGTTCTTCAATTTCTCTCAAATTTAATCGCATGATAACTTGCAAAAGAAAATTAACAAGGTGATTAATATATAATGTTATTAATATTAATGTATAATATTAATATATTAAGATTAATATATTCTTATGCGTAAATCACTATACTTGAAAATGACAAGTCATGTGTTAAATTCTTCATTTGCACATCCTACAATTATTGTTCATCTATCTTTTGAAGTACAATGCCTTTTTATCTTTCAACACATTCCTTTTATAATTGAAATGATTTTGAAACTATTATGAATTGAAACTATTCAATACTACTGAAACTATTGAAACTATTATGAAACAATTATGATTCTACCTATATCTTTATCATTTTTTTTTTTTTTTTTCTTAACAATATCAATTTGGCTTTGCAGTTCTCGCTCAGAATTGCGAATTTCGCTAAATAAATAAAATTTTTTATCTTATTTGAGCTCGTTGAAAATTCCCCAGCCCCCAAAATTTTCTGTTACTTGTTTCTCGTAGAGGAACTTCTCTGTTTCAAGAAGTAGGGAAACGTCGAGACTACTAAAATAAACGATAACTTACGACAGATCGTCGATCGGGGGTCCGACACTCGGCCGACAAAACGCCGTTGAAAGTTATCCCGACGAGGAAGTCCCCAGTCTTCCTACGAAGCGCAGGTCACTCCCGCCAAGCGCTACGACACTCTCTCTGAACACCTTGCATCGCGATATCAAAGAAGCGTTTAGCAGACGTTGCGGTAGCCTCCGAAAGAAACAGCAACAACCATCACCTGAACCAGCTCCGCTGCCAATCGAATCTACCGATGTAAGCATACTCGTTACAGAACCCAGTCCAGAGAACTCGGCACCGCCTTCGAGACCGGCGCTGCTCAGACGACAATCCGCCGCCACGGTCGTTCACGTCCTCGTTCACAGAGAGAGCGAAGAGTATCGAGACACGCAACCCGACAATGCCAGTTGATCTTAGATCGTCACGCCCCGAGATCCTTCCGAAATCAGTTTTGAACGAGAGAGGCTAGGCTGAAAGCCATCGATATATTTGCTTGTTATCGCGTTACAGTGGCCCCGATTCCCTCTCCTCTCCCCCTTTCTTTGACGCTGTTGCCTTATCATCGTTACCATCTGATACTCTTGCTGTTTCATTGTAATAAGTATATCTCGGAGAAAGAGACGTTTCAATGAAATTATTTCCCCCAACAGTTTTCAATGATAATTAAACTTTTATCGAAAGATATTTAGTACTTTACGCAGTTTTCTTTTACAGAAAAAAGAAAAAAAAAAGGAAAAAAAAAATAATATTCTTACGATACTTTTCGATCCTAATGAATAACAATAGTCTATTTTTAGTAATCAATTTACTCGCAACGAGCTTAAATCTTTTTTCTTACGCAATAGACACGTTGATAGAAGATATAGTTCAGGTAGTTCGATTGACTTGATATATTACTCGAAACTCGCATTCTTCTTACCATAATTAAGGGCGATTGGACCAATTTAGTGAAATATATACTTAAATTCCGATCCCTTCTTCAAATTGAATCATTAAACACGATCTACTTGTTACAAAGAGAAATGAGTAATAATTACGTGAACAAAAGAATAATACTGCCTTAAATAGCATAGTGTTTTGATTTGTAATTACTTTGAAGGAAGAAACAAAAAAAAAAAAGGACAAAAAAGAGAGGGAAAGAGAAGATGGAAGGAGGAAATTTTTAAAACGATCGTGCCATTAGCCAAGTAGCTGTTGTTTTCTCCTTTTTTTCTTTACACGTTTTAAAGAAACTTAGATCACTAGTACCGCTATTAATTTTATATCATAAACAATAGCATTTATAGAACATAAAACGTACGTGACGTTCGTCTTAATTTAAAATTATCTACAAAATTGCGATATTCCTAATAAGTAATAAGGTTATATGCTTATCCATTTATTACAATATATATTTGTATATGATTAATGATATTGTTCTTTTCGTTCCATATTTGTTAGAGAACGAAAGATACTCTCTCTTCTGGACATAATCCGAGCTTTCAAATAATGAATCATGCATACATATACATTCATCACGCTAATGATCGATATTTAGCTTTCCGTTTGTATATTCACTCACTGTGACCAATATTACCTCTTCAAAAGTATTGAAGAAAATGTAGCGATATTTTCTTTTGTGTCAGAGTCAAACAGATCAAGCACAAATAGAATGTTGTAATTAATTTAAATTTAGTGTATTTTGACCAGTTTGAAGTACCAATTGCAATACACAGTACAATTTTGTAACTTGCTCTGTAACGTAATAATGTATACGGAAAACCTGAGATCGATCATGAATGATTAATCAGAGTGGTAAGTTCATCGAGAATCTGTTAACATGAATTGAACAATGCCCAGAAGATGGCACTCACTCTCTCTCCCTCTCTCTCTTTCTCGCTTCTATAATACTCTTCATTAAAATTATTTTAAAGTAGAATGCAGTAATTATGCTGTAATAGTTATACACATTCACACAGTAGCTATTGTTGAAGAAAGAATTATAGTTTTAATTAATTTTACTTTAAAATTAATAGTGATTTTTACCTTGATGTAATATGCATATGTATGTATTAATTTTTTTTATCAATTTTCAACGTAATTAAAAAACAAACGAAGAGAAACCAATAGCTACATACAATGTGTTGAAACAACATTATAGATCTTTTGTCTGTTTTGTCTGTTTTTCATATATCGTAACAACAAAAATTCATTTACTCTGAGAATGTGAAGAGAAATCCTGAATTCACCAATTGACAAATTAAAAGTACGGAAGAATGAAGTATGAAATATTCATGTATTTAAAACAACGATACAAATTTGTCCTTTTTCTCTTTTTTTTAATTTTATTGAATTCCATGAAAGCGAATCTGACAATTCTGAATTTATATCAATTTAAAGTGAACTATTTTCTTCTCAAGATAAAATTAATTAAGGAAAATACATGGAAATTATATTTGCAAGAACAATATAAATAATTCTTATTTTTTACTATTAAGTAATATATATGTATATACAGTAATATATGTGTATATACGTATATTACATAGTGAATATATATTATACACACATATATATTTATATATTATATTATATACATATAAATACAAAATTAATATGTGAAGAAGAATAAAAGAATTTATTTTAATTTTTTTTTCATTCTAAATTTGTATGATAGTCATTAAATATCTATGCAAGATGAAACTACAAATTAAAAGATACTTAACGACAGAAAGGGAGAGAGGTAGAAAAAAGAGGAAGAAAAAAGTGGGGAGAATCCATTGAAAAAAAAAAAAACATTCATGTAGAGAAAGGAACAACGAATTTTGTAGTAATTAGTTAAATTTTTACCTGTAACCTTATTGGATCATCTTTATTTATATATTTATTTATATATTTATTTATTTATTTATTTATTTATTTATTTAAATTCCCAAAGAAAAGAAAAAAAAAAGAAACACACACACAGAATTTATTGATTCAGATAAGAATAGATTTTTAACGTTTTCAATTTTCCTTTCCACAAATAAACGTTTGCCATTACACGTCACGATCTCTCGTCGACCTATAGTGCCTATTGTTAGAAAACGATTGCGAGTTAATATATATGTATACAAAAAAATATAAACATGTATATTAGATTTTCATATTACAAGCATTCGTATGTGAGAACAGTACGAGTTAAATTTACGTAAATCTCTCGTTAGAACGTACAACGTACGTTACTTTTAGAGTTTAGCATTTAATGCTTAATGCTTGATGAATCTGTTTTTCGCGCGTCGACTATAAGACATATATAGTACGTATGTAATAAGGATCACTGAAAAAAAAAGAAAAAAGGATGTCGATGAATAGAACAGAAAAGAAAGATACAAGTGAAGATAAAAATTAAATATTTCGGAGATAATTCAATTCGAAAAAATATGTGATCTTTGCAAAAAGATCACGTGTTGTAAAGCTATGTATCATGTCAATTAAAGGCATAATTATACTGTATGTTATTCGTAATTGCCGTGTACACACGCAATACATATAGACATTACGTACAATATTATAAATATATCAAAAAAAATAAGAGACTGGACATACACGCGACTATCCCAAAGCTAACGGATAGTAAAATTCCAAAAAATTGTACAATCACGATCGGACATCCTTCAGGAGTCTGAGGTTATTTAGATTATAACTTTTCTGCGCATTTTTCTGCGTATCTGCGTGCTGCGTGTGTGTGTGTGAACAAAATTCGACAAAAAAAAAAACACCTGCTCAAACATACCACATATTTAAAAATACACCGTCAGGATGCACTAACGTAACTATAAATTATTATTGCCTATCAGCTTTTTCCTTTCGATGCCGGGACGTACGATCGATCGTTTAAATTCATCGTTCGTCTCCATTTAGTTTGACATTTCTCACATTTTTTATAAAAAAAAGAGCTAGAAAAAATGCATCAAGGTGACAATATTGTTCACACAGTATCATAAAACAACAACAGGAATGTTCTCTCATTCGGGTGAAAAGAAAAAAGCGTATAGTTAGGAAATAACATTAAACCACAGAGAGATACCCATTAGTACAGGGTTAATGACAATCGAGATCTTGAAGGAAAATTGCTTTTTTCTCTTCTTCCACATTTTATGCAGTTTACTTTAAAAAAAAAAAAAAAAGAAACTTAGCATAACTATTTCGAAATAATCAATATCGTTTAACTCTTACCAGTCAATATTCTATTGTTAATGAATAATAATTTCAATTTATTACGAAATTGAAATCGTCACGCTGTTAGAAACTCACTATAGATAAAAGAAGTAAGTTCGTGTTCTAACATTTGATAATGATAGAAATATAAAACATACAAAAGGAAAGAGAAGGGGAGGGCAGGGGGGAATGAGAAAGTAAATAGGCAAAGCAGGAAATTCTGTACTAATGTTGTAATGACTCGTCAGATACAAAAAGTTTAAAAAAAAAAGAGCAGTAAGACGTTCCTTTAGATCACACTTGTAAATAGTAAAATAATCCTCATTAGTTTGCAAAAGACGACCGTTTTGTCATATAAATTTATAAACGAAGACTCGAGCATTGTTCTTCCATATATATTAGTTCCAGTTAAATTTTTTGTAAATTTTTTCCATTTGTTCGAGAAATTCATTAATAATATTATACTATGCATTTCAATTTCGTATGCTTCTAAATAATATTTGGCAGAAACTTTAATTCATACTTTTGTATTTAAATCAAATTTCTTCTGCAAACTTTTAACATATACAGTATACTTGTACAAATGTACTTTCTCTTAGTAATATCAACAATGCTCGATATAATTTATAAGCGAATACGAGCAAATACTGAATTTTAAAACACAGTCTAATCAAATCTGACATTATAATACAAATGCTAATAATACTAATAAGGAAGAGGTGAATAATAAGAATGTTAACCATGTACGAATGATATTATATAACTATTGCTAAAAAATAAATTGTGAAGTTTATCATTCAAGTCTTTTTTCAAATATTACAATATTACTTTTATATTAATTTGAATTTATTTACATTTAATTTAATTTATTCGTGATCTAAAATTATATACAATAATTAAATGTATATATTGGAACAATACATTGAACTAGAATCATTAGTTTCTAATAAACTTTTATTTTTTTTATTTAGTCGAAACTCTAGTACGCTTGTTCCATGAAAAGTTGATACCGTAACTACGAGGTTTAGGATTGTTAACATTTGGTTTCTGAATATAGTATTTCCATCCCATTTTATTACAATGTGCAATAGCTTCCTCCTTCGAAACAAATCCTACCTGAAGATTAGACAAAGGATCTCCTCTATGGAGAAAAATATGTTGTTAGTTAAAATTTCTATAAATGAAGTTTAACATGTTATGTTGTACTTACGTAGAAGTCCATCCTATAAGAGGATTTTCCCAACGTTCACGCGTATCAAAATCTATTTGCCAGTAATTTATATTATTTGTTCCAGATTGCATAGCATTTTTTGCAGGACAATAAATACGAACTGTGCGAGTCTTTATGTGCTCTTCTGGAATACCCGAACAAATACCAGCTTCTTCATTCTCTCGTACAACAGCTAATGTTTCTTGCCTAGTTTTCTGAGCTACATGAACCTCTTCAGGTACCAAGGCTACTGTGAGTTTTTTGGGCAATACTGCATTAGTTGATACTTGGTCACTATCTTTAATATTTTTACTTGAGTCTGCGAAAAATCTTGTTAATCTGTAAATTAAGTAAAAAAAAAAATTTACTTTGTTTCTCCCAAGATTTTTAATCATAAAAATATATTTGATTGCATATATCTAATTATAAAATTATTAGACTTGCAAAGAAAGTGACACAATTACAAAACAAGATTTATCATTATAAAAATGCTGCAGAAACAGCTCTTCAGCAATTATGAAGATCTTATTCATTGATCTTTCCTTAATTTTGGCTGGTAGAAAGGAATTGTGTTGCTCTTCCTGATTCATGATACTGTGCTATATTCTGTAAACCTCTTATTGGATTTTGTCTTGACTATCACTATAAACAAATCTGTTAATAAGGCAAGAAGCGTATTACTTTGAATTATTTACGTTATTTCTTTAATTAACAAAATAATTTCATTCGAAACTAGTTTCTCGCTTTTCCTAAAAAAACATACTTTCTCGAGTTGTATCACTTTTTCCACAAAGGACAACATAACATTTTTGAATTTTATTATATTATATTATATTATATTATATTATATTATGTTATGTTAAATTATATTATATTTTATTATATTATATTATATTATATTATATTATATTATATTATATTATATTTAAAGAAAGAAAATAAAAGAAGAATATTATATAACTAACCTAAATCTCGTAAAATTATTGCTTGGATTAAATAACGATGATACTCGAAGTGCCATTTTGGACAATGTAGGTTATAATGATGCACAAAAGTTGCCCTGTTATACCACTTTCACTAACTAAAATCTTTTGTTGAGTAGTAAGTTTTTGCGCATGTGTTAACACATAAACAAGAAAGAAAAAATAGCATACGAGAAATATTTACAAATTTCCGAAAATATGTTACGCTATAAAAATACTATACCTAATCTCATTCACTGGAAGATTAATTTTATGAAATTTATTTTTTGTGTATGTATATTAAATTCATTTGACTTTACATTTTCATTTTAGGAGATATGTGAAAGACATACATATAGTTGCAAATGTCAAATTAAAATTGATTGAAATAACTTTGTCAAATATCTAATGTTGGTAATCGACAATACGTGTACCAACATATGTATATTTTTTTGGAAAGCATACTTTTCATTTTACGATTAGATCGTATAGTCAAAGGTTATTCACGATATCATCCAAACAAAATTATTTATTTATGAATGTATAAGAAAATAAAAAAATTGTTATATATATATATATATATATACATAAAATTTATTTAGATACGTTAATGCATATATGGTTAGGTTAGGTTTGAATTAGGTTTAGAGATTTTTTCTAGGTTAGGTCAGAGATTTTTCGACTGCAGTCTGTTTGTTGCGAATGTAACAGTTGAAAATCGCATATAAGAAAACAGGAACACACGTGCGTCTGATGCTTATAAGACATTCCTCCTTATGAAAGCGGACAATCTAACGCAGATTGTATTACATGTTTATTTACATGATAATTGATAAATATCGAATTGATATAAAGGAATCAAAATTGAAAATGATATTTTTTATAGGTATTTTACTCCGATTGAGATATCATCCTATTATAGGTAAATATTATGTCCTAGTAAATATTATATATGTAAATACACATATAATGTTCCGATATATTATATATGTTCCGAATTGTGGACGCAGACTTAACTAGGGACTATCGTAGTAAACATTTACATACATATTTATTTACAAAAGTAAATTTAAAGAAATCACCTTAGGAATCGTCGCTAATTGTAAAAAAAAAAGAATACAAGAGTGCAGAAGTCGATAAAATACAAATAATTGAAAATTTCAAATAAGAAAATTAATAGAAATTCGTATAAAATGTGTATTGATCAAGTTATACCAAAAAATAAAATACCACGTTTTTAAACGTCAATTGTAATCACAATTACAAATTTTGTTGTATTTTTTTTATTAATTACAATTATTAAAATTTCTCACATTTTGCACATCAAAATCTCGATAATTTAATGACGTTCAAATGAAAACATGCCATCACTCCGCAAGCATTAACGTTACTTCGTGAATTTTACCATCTACATATTTCATAATTCCATGTTATGTTTACATGTTACTTGTGTTGCCGACTGAACTAATTATGGATGAAATATTAAACCTCTATTGATTTTACAATATTAAAATGATTTATGTTTAATATTCGGTGCTATTTGTTTTTGTTTTGATTAAAAGTATTTTACAAAAGACAATAATCATTTTATATTGAAATGCCTGTTGATCAAAGACGTATCAATGGTCCAGAAGTATCTGTGCCTTATCACATTTATTCGGATTTCGATAAGAAAAGCGACAAAGAGAAACATGATTTTAGTAAAAGAAGTGACAAACGAACTGACAATGAAATGCGAAAAATATGTAAGATTGTCAATTACATCACAATTTCGAAATTTATTGATAATTAAATTTCAATTTATTGATAATTAAATAACAGAAAAATGTTATTATTTGCCTATCTCTATTTTTACAGTTTTAAAAACAGGAATCGTTAGCCAAGCAAAGGGCTCTGCATACATAGAAATAGGAAATACAAAAGTAGTTTGTTCGGTGTTTGATCCTAGAGAATTATCGAACAAGAATGGCTACTGCATGCAAGGGGAAATTTATTGTGAATTTAAGTTTGCCCCGTTTTCTTGTCAGAAACGGAAAATTCATCAGCAAAACGCCGAAGAAAAACAGTATAGCTTGATTTTACAAAGGGCATTAGAACCAGCTGTTTGTTTGGTAAATATACATATACATACATACATATATATATATTTCTTGGTTTCATTAGTAATTTAACATAAGAAAAGGTACGTGTAAAACATGTTCCATTAGTTAAACAATTAAAAAATTTTATAAATTTATATTATGTACATTAGTATAAATATAAATAAAATATTTTATTAATATAAATAAAAATATTTACATTATATCAATAGAATTACATTCTTTAAAAAATCAAAATTACGATCTTGTTAAAAGCAATTTCAATTTTATATTATATATATATATTTGTTTTCTTAATTATCTATTTTAAATAAAATCATCAAATATATAATGTTTATTATTTAAATTTAGTATTTATAATGATATTATATATTATATATTAAATATATGTTAAAAATATATTAAAATATATTTTATATATTATTATTATACATTATATTATCTAAGTATAATAATATATAATATATAATAATATATATATTATTATATTATTATATATCACACTCATTTCTGAGTATGATAATTTACGTTTACTATTAAAAGTAAATAACATAAATGTGCTATATATAAGATGATAAAATAAATATAAGATTACAAATATATGTATTGTTTCAGCATGAATTTCCCAATTTTCAAGTGGATGTATATGTAATGGTCTTGGATAATGCTGGTTCTTCATTAGCTGCTGCAATTATGGCTGCCAGTACCGCTTTGGCTAATGCGGGCGTTCCTATGTTTGGTTTAGTTACAGCTTCAACTATAGTAAGTGATGTCATAAAAAAAAAACTAAGATTACAAATATCTTGTTTCATTATTTTGTTAGCATTTAATCGTTTTATCAATTTCAACAAAAATATAGGGTATATATGGTAATCATTACTTAATGGATCCTACGGATACAGAAGAAGGAATATGTAATACACAACCAGATAATGAAGATGATTTTAATCATGGGATAATTACATTGGCTAGTCTTCCGCAACATAATCAAATATCTGAAGTATTTCTAATTGGTAGTATCGACACAAACACTATTAATCAAGCAACAGAAATATTAACAGCAGCTAACAAAGATATTTGTCCTGTACTTCAGCAATGTTTAGTAAAAACTATTATGAAACTACATAACGAAAAAAAGTAATAAAATATTTAATCAAGAAACGATTTTTTGTTGCATTTAAATATATATTTCTATAATGGAAAAATTATATAATTCTTATCTTGCACTTAAATACCTAATCAATATTACAATGTATCAAAACGCCATCTAATTTTTGCAGAGATACAAATAGTTTTAAGGATGAGGATAATCTTACAAACATAGAAATTCTCTTCAATATTATTTGTATATAATAAAACATTAACTATTTCTATTTAAGAATACAGATTAAATTTAATGCATCAAATAAAATAAAATTTGTTTTAAATCAATATATATCATATAATTTTCCAAATTAACAACTACCTCTCGATTAAGGCACTATATTATCGAGAAGATATATTATTTTCTAATTGGTCGGTAATTTTTTAGATTATTTTATGAGAATAAATTTTTAAGATTCTACCTTTAAATGTTATTTAATGTTATTTAATAAAGTTTTGATTAAATTAAATATATAACTTCTTTAATAATTATTTTAACAAAAATATTTCTCAATTCATTTACTTTAACTGTATATTTCATTGTATATTTAATTTTTAAGAAAATTTTTTAACATCATAGAAATACATACAAAAAGTATATTTCACTAGTTTTTAAGATAAAAACCTTAGTTTTTAAAATCTTACCTCTTTATTCGTGTAATTCATAACTTTATCTTAAAAAAAAATAAATTCATTGCTTTTTAAAACTCTTTAAAATGGGATAGATATTATCAAATGCTTCGTAGATCTCCTGCCTAACTTTTGCTCCTAAATGATAATTTATAAAATTAATCACCAAATATGTACAAAATTTATAAATGTACAATAATTACTAACCTGTTAGAACTACTTTTCCTGAAACAAATATGAGTAAAACGATTCTAGGCTTAACCATACGATATATTAATCCAGGAAAGAGTTCTGGCTCATATGAAGAGAACTGCCCATGTGTAAGTACTAATCCTTCCAGTCTAATTGGAAATTTTACATCACAACTGCCTACCATATTTTGTATTTTGAAGTCGAGAAATTTTGCCTTTATCCAAAATAAATTAAATTGATAATATTCAAATAAAAGTAAACAATATATTAGAAAATATTTAAAATATATTAGAAAATATTTACTAACAGGAAAGCCAAGTTTTTGAATAATTCTGGCATACTTTCTTGCAGCCAATCGAGAATCTTCTTCACTTTTTGCTCCAGTGCAAACCATTTTTCCACTACTAAATATTAAAGCAGTAGTTCTAGGTTCCCTTATCCTCATGATAACTGCAGCAAATCTTTTTGGATTATATTCTGCATTCCTGGCATGGAGAGCTATTTTCTTTAAATCTAACTTGCAGTTTAGATTAACTGTAGAGACAATATTCCTGTAATATGAATAGAATATACATATTTCTCATTGTAAATTAATTTTTTTACTTACTGAAGTTGTGGTAATATTCCTGGATCTGCAGAAGCTGGTGTCATAGGTGTCATAGGACCAGGAGTAGATGGTCCTATGGATGGAGGAGCTATATTAGTATTTTGTACTAATGGAGACATCATATTTTGCTACAAATAACACATTTTTTAAAAAAATAATATTACATGTAGTATTTAATAAATTTGAAATGATCATATTTAATCGTACTGGTGTTTGCGGTTGCATAAGACTTTGTGGAGTTGCAAAAGAGGGTGGTGTTGCATACGCATGCATAGTTTTTTGCGGCGTTCCAATCATAAGCATTCCACTTTGCATATTTGGACTCATAGTGTGTAATTGTTGCAATTGATATTGTTGTGACTGTTGTTGTTGCTGTGATTGTTGTTGTTGCTGCTGTTGTAATGCATTAGGCAAAATTTGCTGATCCTCCTCTGGTTGATGTAAAGGAGTACCTATACTTGGTATACTAAACCCAGGACTAGGCAACATTTGATCCATTTTCTTTCTTTTTTCTTTATTTCTTCCGTTTCTTCCTTTTTTTCTTTTTTAATTTGAGGAATGCACTAATAAATATTTTAAAAGTACTTTAAAAAAATTTTGAAATACAAACAAGCAAATTTATAAACAAACAAATAATTGTTGAAGATTTATAAACTTGCAATACATTTCTATAATGCCCATTTTTAAAAAAAACTTTAAATTGTTAGTATTATCTATAGGTTATGTTCTTTAACAAATGACACCTTGAATCTCTGTTTCTATATTTATTGAAACGTGCGTAATATATGCACTCTTTATGCAAATGTAAATTTAAATTTTTATTAAATTTTTCTTTTTATTTTTATTTTTATTTTCTTATTCATTAACTTATTTTTGTTTGTTTACAACTATTTAGTTTAAAATTTACCACAGACTTATGAATGTTAAGATAAGTTTGAATTTTTCTTGTGTCATTAATAATACGTTGATTAGAGCAATCAAAAACATGATAATATATAAAAAATTTTCATTATGCGTTTTTGTAATGGAATTATTAAGTACATGAATGAAATAAAAATTAGTAAAGTTTATAATAAAATAAATTATAAAATATATTATGGCAACCACTCATGTAAATAAGAGCTTCTACCATGGACGAGGTATAGGAAGACGTAATACAATACATTTTTGTGTCCCTTATCATTTTCATGTCACGTCCTACCATACCGATTTAGGTACGTTTTGCATAATAACATTATTGACAGAAATTTAATAAAACAATTTAGATTGCTAATTCTATTACCGAAATTTATTTATTCAATTGAATGTGATGAAATTTCAATTAATAAAAAAATGTTATAACTTGAAACAATGGTTGATAGAAATTTACTATACATTTGATTGTTTACGTCAATTTAAAAGTATTAGAAAAAATTAATTGAAATGTGATATTTTTAGTAACACCGTATGTAATTAGATGCGAACCAGACATAACATTTATTTCAATATGTAGATTTCAATATGTAAGTCTGAATAAATCATCTTACTTACATAGTTTCTCTTAACCTGCAAATATGATTTTGTGACACGTAGTAGAATGATATAGTCTCATGTTTGAAAATTTAACATAGAAAATTTCAAATATCATGTTTTTGACTCGTTCGCTATTTGATCAAGATTTCGGTCGTTTTACTCATAGTTTTCTGATTCACTGTTCTTTAAATATATGTAGAATGCATTTTCAATACAAAAAAGCCAGTGATTTTTCAATATGTCGATATTGCAAAACATGTGACATAAAATTCCATAAAATATCATGTCTTTCTTATACCTCCTTTGTGATTTTACTAACTGAGTGACGCTGTGAATTTTATAATGTGAAGATGTCAAATTTAGAAAAGCTGAACGGAAGATAAGAAAATTGAGGAAAAAAAAATAAAATGAAGAAACCACAAATATTGTTTATACGTGCAGTGTTAAAAATACATATTTAGCTAAATTTTATTCTTTAATTAAAGTTGGTATTTACACAATTATGGTAATCGGTATTTATTGATATTATATAATATAAATAATCATATTATTATTACATTATAAAAATAACCATAATATAATATATATTTTTAGACCATAATATTAATATAATTTATACGAATGTTATGTAACTCAATAAATATAAAGTATAATTTTATCATAAGTTGATAAAAATGAATTTTGTTAAAAATTTATCAATTGAAGAAACTTTATTTTTAAGAATGCTAACGATTATATATAAATAGTATAGTTACAATTAACTAGTATCATCACTAGTACATCTTTATGATGCATTTTGATTTAAACAAATCTCGGGTAATTTTTTTGATCCAGTTTTAAGGCTTTCTATGTCATATTGCAACATATGTTTCTGCTGTATTTGATTATAAAGGATATTTTCAAGCGCAACTATGTCAGCTTTATGCTCATGTTCTATTTGTAACATATTCTCCTGTGAGAAGAAATCAATTATGCAAATTAAAAATTTTAATTAAATAGTATGTTAACTTATACTAACTTTACAGAAAAACTTAAAACAGCCAAATTGCTGAGACTTGATCTACACATGAAAAAAAAGAAAACTATGTTGTATAAAATTTGTCAGAAAATGTCTCATTACAGAGTTATAAACAATATTATAAACAAATATTATATATATGAAATAGATAGTTATGTATTTTTCTTTGCTATTTGATTTTTATTTTTGGAATAATTTAAAACAAGAGATTTATTCAACAGAAATAATTTCACATGGAGAACTAGAGAATTAAGAATATAACTTTGTTAAAACTCAGCAAAATTCTCAGGAATTTAATTAACTAATTAATAACGTTACTAATCTTATTATTCACCGACATCAAGCTCAATGTTATTAAAAATTACTTTTTATTGCATTATTATAGTTAATAATACAAAATTGTAAGCACGTGAAAAAAAGACATATACTTAACGACCCTGTCTGTATTGCTACTTACATATTTCATGTATATAATATTTGTTCATAACGCTGTAACAAAGCATTTGGTGTCAAATTTTGTATAATATTTTTTTTTTCTTATGTGCAGATTAAACCTTTGCAATTTGGCCATCTCGGAATATTCTGTACATCCATAGATTTAACAAAATTCTTTTTACTTCTGAAATTAAGGTTTGTTCCAAAATTTTCCTGAGCTTGAACTTTTCTTTCTCTAATATTGTCAGAAAACTTAATTTCTCAGTGTTATTTCGAATTAAATTTTCTAAAATAATCAATTTTTCATTACAACTTCGTTTTGCATCTGAAAAATTTAGATAAAATTGTTTATTAAGTTCTTATCAAGATAATTTTATAAAGTCAAAAATTTTTGTTACTTTCTATGTCTTTGGTAAAGTCTTTCATAATTTTGTTTACATCAGTTTTAGTATCATAAATTAGTCTTTGTAAAATAATCTCATAAAGGTTAATCAAAGATAATTTATGACCAAATTTTTGTATCATCTTTTCTTTGATGTATTCCTTCAGTTTTTTATTTTGAGTTTCCATATATTTCAAATCCATTTTTATTCGTTTTAGATGTGTCTCATTTTTTCTATAAAGAACCATAAATATATTTCTTTCATAGAAATTATTTTATTTTTTATATCATACTTGCGTGTTTCTTCTAAGTTGTGTGTTTCATCTTGTAATTCTCCGACTCTGGCATACAAATTTGTTAATTCTTTTTTGTTAAAAACTATACAATTTTGAATGTTCTCTGTACTTCCAGAATCTAATATGTGCTGTAACTGATGAAGTTTCAATATGACTGTTACATTAACTTCATTTAATTTTTTTTGTTTATTCAACTGTGAAAAATAAAATATTTTTTATATTTATTAGTTTTGTAAATTATTATACGTGTAATATAATGATGTTAAATACCATAAAATTTTGCAATTCTTCCTCATTATTCTTTAAAGTACTTTCAATAACTCTTAAGTACTTGGTATCGGTATCTAATTCTTTCTGCAATAATTCTATTTCTTTTTGTTCTTCTTTGATTTGAAATTCACATGTATATCGTTTTTCTCTCATAGAAAATGCCATTTCATATAATTGTGTATCACAGCCAGGTGGACATATATTCTCATCAAATGGAATATACTCAGCTTCAGTATCTGTTGTTTTATCTGTTTCATCAGAAGTTGTTTCTGTTGATTGCGAGACTGTATCTAAAAATTATAATTGAAATCAGTTTTACTGAAAAATTCGTTTAAAAATTAGAAAGCTGAAAATTAAGAAAATTTAATACCATTTTGTTTCTTTATTGCTGTATATTTTTTTTTAAATACTTTTTGAAGAAAAATTTGAAATTTACTATCACTGATAGCTTTTGTAAATTCAGCAGCAATATCTTTAATTTTTATATGTAATTTTTTAATTTGTTCTTCTCGTGCAACAATATTAATATTTGTAGCTTGCATCTATTAAAATTATAAATATTATATTAATGTATCTTTAATAAATAATTGTTTAATGTATAAACGGTTATTATTTTTGTTATAAGAATAATAACCTTTGACCTCACTGAAATACACTCATTTGATTTGTCAGTAACTTTCTCTTCAAGTGCATGTTCCATTGTTTCGGATTCTTGCAGAATGATAAATTCTTCATATAAAGTTAGCAAATTCAAATTTATATACGTACTTTGATATATTACGTCTAATCTATGTTCTTCTAATTCATCTAATTCGTTTTCCAATTTTTTGTATTCAGCATCGATATATCGTAAAATACAATCTTGTTCGTATATCTTTCGCCACATTCGGGAACGTTTCATTTCACGTTCCCAAGTAGTTTGAACGGAGTCACTTACATTAAGATTCCGAATTATATCACTTGCAGATAAATGATCTTTTAGTTTAATTTTTGAAGGAACAAGAGATATATAGAGATTTTCTTGTTCTTTGTGAAAAATTGTTCTATCATCACAATACAATACTTCATATTCTAGATCGGAATGATCTGTAAATTGATCTATAACTAATGATTGTCTCTGGCGTTTTACTTGCTGCATCTTTTCTGATATAGATATATATTTCTCAAGCTGCAACGGCATTATTATGGGAAACAATTTTTCATAAATATAATTACAAGTAATTATTAATTATAAATATACCTCAAGATTATGTTCAGGAAATTCAATATCAAGATTCAGTTTTGGTGGATGCGGTAAAGGTTTTATATTTTTTAATGGGATTTCTGTGTGAATTCTTTTAAGAACTTCTATCAACTTGATAACTTCTTTCTGTAATTTTTGTTTCTTCAATGCAATTGTTTTTAATTTTGTATTAAAATTCTTTCGCAAATGGTGAAGCTATAAAAAGTAATTATGTTAAAAATTATTGCGATGTTAAATCTCTTATGAATTGTACCTTCTTTCTACAATCTATAAGTTGTTTATATTTTATAGCTGCAGTCTCTTTTTTTCTTGTTAAGCTAAAATCTGCATTCATTTTCAAATCATATTCACCAATAGCTAGTTTTGCCTTTTCAAGAAAAATTGCATCTTTGAAACGACTTTTAACCAAATCTGGCTTTTTTTCATGTAGTTTCTGCCACTATATATGTAATATATTTTTGAATGATACATATTTTTATTATAATTTTTATTTTATTTTAATTTAACTTACTTTTTTTTGCCGTTCAATCATTCTTGTCTTTTTCTCCTTATACTTTGACAACATTTGATTGATTTGTATTTTTAATCCAGATGATACATCAGTGAAATCTATATCCAAAAATGCTTCAAAATATTGTATTTCTGATACTTCTGGTTCATGTTTTTCTTCTTCAATTTGTTTCTCTATTATTCTATAATTTAAAAATAAAATTACAAAATGTTTTTAAATAATTTGTATTATTAAGAATTACATTACTAAAAATTACAAATAATTTATACAAATATTATAAATAATAAAGAACATACAAAGTTGGTTTTTCCCATAATACATTATCCACTTTTTGCTGCAATTCCATTTCTTGTAAAATAATTTAAAGTTAAAATATATAATATAAATTTACATAGTAAAAAAATAAAAATACCTGCCTATTTTCAGCGGCTTATCTTGCTGCTTCATCAATTCGATCGATTTTAAAATGCTCTCAGTATCTAATTGTAATTCTTTTAGAGAATACACTGCTCTAATCTCATTTCTATTTTCAAATTTTAATAAGCATTCTTGTAATTTTAGTAAGTATAATATAATAAACACAATTAAAATTAAAAAGACAATACTTACAATATACCATGAACTGCAAAAGGTACACAAGTAATGGGTGTAACAAAATGATCCATAAGCTTTTGTAATTCTAATTTACTTTTTTCTACTTCAAATTCCAACTTTTGTTGTGTTAAAGTTGTATGTATATTCAGCTGCTGTTTTAAATCTTCTACTATTCTGGGATCCAGCTCGAACTGTGGTATTTGTTGTGAATGCAGGAGATATTTATTCCTTAATTAACAAAAAAAAATTAACAATAAATTTTAACAATAATAAAAATAGTAATAAATAAATGATCTCAAAAAACATATTAGATCCAAAACTCAATAAACTGCAAATTAATCATATATATATAATCAATCATTACATCATGACAAAGACTAAAATATTAAAATAACAATAATGATGATTGTAATTATGATAGTAAAAATAATAATACAAACTAAAATAAGAATTTTTTATTCGTTGTTTTTACCTTGTAGTAATTTTAACAAATTCTTCTGTTAAATCACGTATGATTTCAAGAATTTGTTTCTTTTTCTCTTCTGCAACTGCAAAAATTCTATCTTGTTCTATTTTAGTAATTACCTCTTCTAAATTTGGATAATCAGCATCTTCAATATCTTCAACACTTTTAGGCTAATCGTAAATTTAATAACTATAAATATTATAGTTTAAATTGAAAAATATTTAGAAAAAGATTAACTTACTATAAACAAAGAATCTTCTAATTTTGGTACTTCGTGTTCTTCAAGCGATGTATCGTCATTAATTTTGAAAGCAAATATATTTCCATCATGACCACATGTTAATAATATTTTTTTATTATAACTTAATAAAATATTAGAGATATGTCCATTATAATAATCATGTGTTTGTAAAATCCAAAAATCTGAAAAATCTAATGGATCTTTTTCTTTTAATTTAATAACATAAAGCTGTCCATATTGTGTTCCCAAATATAAATATTTCTTATTTTCCCTAAAAAAAAAACTCGTAAATTTTTAATTTTACATATTTTACTTTTGCAAAACGTTTTAAAATATTCATACTGAATAAAAAAATTATGTATTTCTATATCTTTTGCATGCTCGATTATTCTACTCCTAATGGGTTTATTATGTTTCAGTTTTCCAGATAATGGGCGTGGGTATTCATAAACATATCCTGCATCAAAACCAGCCATGAATAACCATATGTTTCCATTAATACTGTATTGTGCTATTAAAACTTTATTTGGAATTTCTGAAATATAAATTTCTGGGAGAATCACTTCTTTTTCATTAAGTTCTCCTGAAAGAATAAATACACGAAAATAATCAACGTATAATTTAAATTAAATTACATAACTAATATATAATTTGAAATAAATAATTACCTAGGAAAGTTTCTTCATCAATTACAATATGAGGATTCTCGGCAATTAATTTTTCCATTTCTTTTCTCCTTTCTTTGAGTCTTTCTTCTTTTTCTTCTTCGTATTTCTTTTTTATAGCCTCTCTTTCTATTACAGATTTTACTGACTCAAACTTAAATGATGCTGATCTACATTTAACTAATTCATAAGAAGTTGTTGTGTATTCCTGAGGTGTCGTAGGTAATTTTATTTCCACACAATCTCCTTTTAAACATCCAATTAATAAAGTTGCTTCCTATTTATATAGAGTTATAATTATTATCTTTACTGTCTTTTCTATACTTATTACTGTATTTAATAATTGTACTTACTTCTTCAGGATTCCATGCCATGCAAGTAATAGATGATGGAATTTTCACATAGCCAATAGGTATAATTGTAGGATAATTATTAATAGTATGAATATTAAATACAAAAATAGTAGCATCATCGCTACCTGTTACTAGCAAACTAAAAAATAAATTATAATAAAGTCAGTTACAGTAATTATTTCGTTCACATAATACTTACCTGCAAGCTGCATTTAAAGACATTACAGTAATTGGCATTGAATGTGGTTTCAAAACTTGAATTAGTTTTGTACTATCTTTTTTTATATTATATGCAGTATTTGACATTTGTATTATTACTGTAATCATTCTAACAATGCCATTTTCAAAAGCGCACACAAGTGTTGAACCCGTTTTTTCAATCTAAACATTTCTATAAAATAATATTTGTATAAATCGTTTAAAAATAAAAAGAAATAATTTACCTTACATGGGAGCCAAATCACTTGTCTACTAGTGTCATAAAATTTGTGAATTAGACTTAATTCTTTTTCTATATAATTATAAATATGTAAATTGCCATTTTTATCAAGTGTTGCTACAAAGGGTCCCCAATCTGCTATATCCATATCAACAACAGGACCAGCATGACACGTAAAAACTTTTTGTTGCACATGTTCTTTTTTACTAGTACAAAGATCAAGTAGCCACACTCCCCCGTTTCCATCCTATTAAATACTTTTCTCAATATTGAAATTATTTTCCAAGTATAAAATACTTACTTGAGCATACCACATGGTTTTTTCAGAATTTGGTTCCTGTTTCTGTATACTCATAAGCATTGCATTCTCATTTTCTTCCGCAATTTGAAATTCATAAATTGGTTGAATTTCAAGAAATTGTTCGTCATCGGAAAGATCGGCATGATCTATAGTTTCATAAAACCAAAATCGTATCCATCCATCAGATCCTATGCTATCATAGATCATAATATAATTTATTATACATTTTCTTTTTCTTTCTTTTTTCATTTTTAATTACATAAATTTTTTTCTATTACCAATTGACATAAGCTCTCCATTAATATATTCAAATTGTGTAATGTAACCAACATGTGCTGTTTCTCTATTTTTTCTACATGCTTCCAGTTTAATTAAACTTTCATCCCATAAAAGTATATTACCCCACTCACAACCTGAGACTACCTACAAAAATTTTTTCAACGTTTCAAAGTATGCAATAACTTGAAACTCTATAAATTTATTATATAATTGATTTTTGTTTTCTTACAGTCTCGTCTGGCATAGGATGAATTGCTATAATATCAGAGATTTCAGTATTTCCAAATTTACCAATTTCACCTTTAAGCTTCAATCCAGTAAAGGTTTTGGACATTTTCCAAAATTTAATATGTCCTACCCCACTAGATGTTAATTGACCAGGAATATATTTTGAAAAAGTAACATTGTATACATCTTGAACATGGGATTTACATTGCAAAATAATGTTCGATTCTTTCCAATTCCAAAGAGAAATATAATAATCAGGTTCGCCACCTTGTGATACCAATAATAATCCATCTGGACTATAATTTACAAAAATATAATTTTATATCTTTTCTATTTAAACATAGACTCACACGTACCTATACGATAAGTGAAAGTAACGTTTAGTTGTTCCTCCTTTTAAAACAGTTATACACTCCATATTTGGCCAATTAAAAATACTTATTACAGGATTCTCTCCATTTGTTCCAACAGCAATATGTTTGAAGGCAGAATTTTTCTAAAAAATAAGATACAATGTTACAATATTATAAAAAATTTTTTAAATTTAGATTTTTCCTACTATATAAATTAAAAAAAAATATATATATATTTACTGATATGTGCCCAATACCGGTACCCGCAGAACCTATTTTAAACCACATTCTGTTTTCTTCTACATTGAAAAACTGAATTAAATTGCCAGCAGCAAAAGCGATAGTATTTGTATCAACTACACAAAGGTTAAAATACTTTCGGCAATTATATCCATAAGAATAACTAATCGACATTGAGAAATATGATATGTAAGAAAAGACCTAACAAAAAAAAAAAATAATTATTTTTTATTAAGGATACAAAAATTCTAAAATATTTTCAGATATACTTCCATGTTCTGGTTTTCTACCCATAAATGTATATTCTTCGTTTGATCTTTCTTCTTTATTCATCTCCAAATCTTCTTTTCGTTCATAATCTAATTCTGCGTTCTTTTTTAGATCCTTGTTGTTTTCAAATTCAAATTTACCACCATCGGCCATCTTGTTTTTGGATCCAAGTAGAAAGAGCTATTACAGAACATGCATTTTCCCAAAAAAGTTCAATTACATGTTATTTTAATTAAAATCTTGTTAGAGATAGATTGAAGTAGCCATTGAAATATCTGAATTATCTTGTTAAATCGTTGAATGTTCATACGATTTAATTCGTGATTTGATGACAGGGGCGGTAACAAATGTCGCTCGATCTCACGTATTCTTGTTGATCGTTGGTTGTCAAGTTCAGCAATTGTAGCATTGATTAATATATAAAGACAGATTAATCATGGCAAGTAATTACTGAATATATTAAATATTTGTCTTTACTGCCGTATTAGTAAAGAATATTATTTCTGTTACTTTTACAAAATTATTTACCAAAATTATTCAGAACGAATTCTAAAAAAAAATTGTAAAACAATGTACAGATTCGTTTCATCCTGATTCAAAACAGAGCTGGAAAAACGAGATTAGCAAAGTGGTACATGAATTTTGATGATGACGAGAAACAAAAGCTAATAGAGGAGGTACACGCAGTGGTGACTGTACGAGATGCTAAACATACTAATTTTGTCGAGGTAAATTTTATATTACATTTTTGTAAATATTTATTTACAAAATATTATAATATTAATATTAAATATTTTAGTACATAATAAAATATAAACTTCAGAAGAAAATAAAATTTAATATTTTATTTTGTAAATAATATAATATCTTGTAATATAAATAAATACGTAAATTAATTAATTGTAATATCATTACAATATATTTTTTGTGTTTTAGTTTCGTAACTTCAAGATTGTATATAGAAGATATGCTGGCTTATACTTTTGTATTTGTGTCGATGTCAACGATAACAATCTCTGTTACCTAGAAGCAATACATAATTTTGTTGAAGTACTAAATGAATATTTCCACAATGTATGTGAATTGGATCTTGTATTTAATTTTTATAAGGTAATTTTTAATATATCTAAATATATATGAGTTGTTTATTTTGAAAGTTGTCTAAATCACTCTGTTTTTAAGGATTTACATTTCGAGATATTTAAGGATTTACATTTTAATGTGTCTAGAAAAATTAATACTAAAAAACTTTTGAGAAAATCTGCTCATATTTGTTATCTTAGATTTTTTCTCAGTATAAATAATTTCACACAAACGTTAACGAATTGCCATTTTTGTGGCTTAAGCCACATTCATTTGCATATAAACAGCTCATACTTGTATACATTTGAATAATGTAATTTCATTTCTTTAATTTATTACAGGTGTATACAGTTGTAGATGAAATGTTTCTAGCAGGTGAAATAAGGGAAACTAGTCAAACAAAAGTACTGAAACAGCTGCTGATGTTAAATTCATTGGAATAAATTTATTTAATGTTATTTAATTCTATTGAAGATATTGTAAAAGATGTAAAAAGTGAAATACATTGTGTGTAACAAACTCTGTCGATTAATTTTCATTGCTTTTTATAAAATATACATAATAATATTTTGTAAGAATGTTTTGGAATATTTTGGATATTTTTGGAATTTGAATTTTGTATTTATATAAATTAATATTTTGTTTTTTAATGTCTCTGTTTTGCATATTAATATTTTTTGTATTTGGAAATGGAATTTTGCATTTGTATTGGAACGTTTGAATACTTTGGAAAAAAGATGTCTTAGCGAAAAAGTTTAAGATTTTATACAGGGTGTTTCACAAAAACCAAGCCACCTGAACATCTTTATTAGTGATGGTATGAAAATCGTTCCTGGCGTAATTTAAACTGATTGAAGGGACAAATTGGATGGAACAACTATTTTTTTAAAAATATCATTTTTTAATGTTTTATTCAAGGTCATTGACATTTTTTATCTAAGAAACGTATTTTTTTTATTCCATCACGTAGTTCATGGAAAAAATACATTCAGATATGTTTATGATATGATTTTTGACTTCAAAATTTTTTAATTAATATGAAACTCATATTGAGCGAGATTCAAGATTAGGATAACAACAGAAATGATCTTTACTTATTGCAGTATAAAATTCGTTTACTATTGTGTCAACAATTTTTTCACTGTTAGTTCTCTCAGTGTATCGATAAGATGACTTATAATGAGTTATTCACAGCAGGAAAAGATTAAAATGATTTACATTTATGGCTAACAAGCTTGCCAATGTCTAAGAGAAGCTGTTCGAATTTATCAAAAAAGCTTTCCATGTCTTTGTTCATTGCGTTCTACATATGCAAATATCATTAAAACATTTTGTGAAACTGGTTGTGTTGACAGAAATTAATGTGCAAAACTGTTATCCATAAAACGAATCAAAGAAACGTCATTACTAAAGTCCATGAAAATCCACAATGCATATAATTTAAACTAATTTGCACGTGAAACCAATGTTAGTGTTTCAAGCGTATTCCAGATACTACAAATACTTCAAAAATTTCATCTTTTCCACTTATTTGTTTATCAAGTCCTTGATGCAAGAGACTTCGAAAACGTTTAAATTTTTGTCAGTGGAGCATACATCAGTATGAAAATGATGAAATATTTTTCATAAAAATATTATTTACCAATGAAGCATCCTTTACAAATCACGATCAATCTGAGAAATATGCATTATTGGTTGGAAGAGACCATGGACTCTAAATATTTGGTGCAGAATTATAAGTAATAGAATAATTGGATCTTACTCACGTAAACTAGACAATATTACACTAAATTTTTGAAAGACGAAATTAGGAAGTTTATTAGAATTTCGCTCAACATAAGTTTCACATTAATTTAAAAATTTTTAAGTCCAAGGTCATTTGAAGGTCATACCATAAACATATCTGAATGTATTTTTTCATGAACTACGTGATGAAATAAAAAAAATACACGTTTCTTACATAAAAAATGACCTTGAATAAAACATTAGAAGATGATATTTTTAAAAAAATACTTCTTCCATCCAATTCGTCTTTTCAATCAGTTCAAGTTATATTAGGAACGATTTTCGTACTATCACTAATAAAGAAAATATTCAGGTGGCCTAGTTTTCGTGAACCACCCTCTATATAACGATTGTTACTGTCACATGTAGTAATGAATTTTATTATATGATACATTTTGTTCAATGATAAATTTTAAATGAACTTGAAAAAGGTAAATACTTTGAAAAATTATAGTAAGAATATATTGCAAAATATTTCAAAGCATATGTTACTACTTGTTCTAAATAAATTGAAAGATAGATATAGAATAAAAAGATATAAAAATGCATACAAGTATTATAATTTTATCAATATATCTGATATTTCAAAGCAAATGAAAATATATAAATTTCAGAATTTGAAATCTATGTTAGAATTATACATAGAATTATAAATCTGTTAGAATTATACATACTCCAATCATGGAAGTGCTATGTGTGGTGTTCATAAAACAAATAATTGACAACATTAAATGTAATTGATTTTTATGTCATCGTTATTCTCAAATATACCACTTTTATATGTTAACAAAATTATATTAAAAATTGACGTTTTAAATAAATATTTGGTATCATTAGAAACAGTTAAGAACAAAGAATTACTATGCACTGTAATGTGAAGTAACAAAATTCATATTTTAAAAATTCATATACATATTTTATTTTTTATTGTCAATATTTTATTTTATATAATTTGTTCCTACATTTTATTTAAAACATAACCAGATAATGTTATATTTCCAATATTAATATTTAAATATTAATATAATCAAATAATGTTTTGGGAAATAGCTATTTTGTTGTTACAATATTCGTCTGGTGTAATTGAAATTTGATATGCGATTAATCGATGATTTCGATTATCGACTTGAGTAGTAGAAGAGAACTTCATTGATGTGGGCAAATCGGCCTCGTGAAGATGAAATATCAGTCATACACGCTTATTTTTAATGAGATATTCGATTAATGTTAACAGCAACAATATTGTTCCCATGATGCATAATTATCTTTTTTTACGTTGTCAATTAACAAAAATGAACGGTGGTTTTATAGAATAAATATTGTTCGATGAAATATCGTGAATGAAATTAGTCGTATCTGTGCGATTTTATCAATATTTACAAGTTGAAAGTGGTACAAGTAATATAAAACTTATGAAGTGTGTTTTTTTTTTTATTCGTATGAAAGAGAGTAATTGAAAACTTAATAACAAAGAAAAATAATGATACATAGAAGCTTTTTGTTGCAATGGATTTTGGTGGTGATATTCACAGTCACTATCATTTATTTAAAGATGAAACTAAATTTCCTGGAGGACCACTACAAAGTATTGCGTAGGCGTTACAATAGTCAATTAATCTTATTAATTTGTAACAGCAAACGTTTCATCCTTTTAATATTTCGTTCTGTTAAAGGTGATGGAATAACATAGGTATCCTATCGTACTTCCAGACAATGCCATCACACAAGAACAAAACAATGTTCAAACTGGGAATGAAGTTAGCGAGCATTCTTACAAATCAGCTTTCGATGATCTTATCATTATCTACAACAGAGTACCGAAAACAGCATCAACCAGCTTTGTAGGTTTGGTCTACGATCTGTGCAAACACAATAAATACCATGTTTTACATATTAATGTCTCTAATAACATGCACACTCTTACACTTCCAAATCAGGTAATATTATATCGTTTTTAATTTGTTATTGTTTGGTAATTGGTTTCTAATATACTTTGAACAAAAATATAGATTCAATTTGCGAATAATATAACTGTTTGGAATGCAAAAAAGCCAGCGTTTTATCACGGTCATGTTGCATTTTTGAACTTCGAGAAGTAAGTATATGGAAACATTCATTGTAAAATGCATCTGTTTCATTTTTTTATAATTATGCCTATGCTTTAGATTTGGTGTAAAACAAACGCCATTGTACATAAATATCTTACGTAAACCTTTAGATAGATTTGTTTCTTATTACTACTTTTTGAGATATGGAGACAATTTTAGGCCACATTTAATTAGAAAGAAGCATGGAGACACTAAGGTTTGTATTCATATTTATATTATAATTTATATTTGTTATGTTAATTACATTTAATTGTGTATATTTCTGTAGACTTTTGATGAGTGTATCGATGCTGGTCAACCAGACTGTGACCCTGATAATATGTGGTTACAAATACCATTTTTATGTGGTCATGACCCTGCATGTTGGTAAGATTATTACATTTATAGTTGTAATAATAAATGTAAATTACAGTTATTACATTTAAATAATATGAATAAATAAATATTATTTAACAGGGAAATTGGAAATAGTTGGGCACTGGAAGAAGCAAAAAGAAATTTACAAAAACATTATCTACTTGTAGGAGTGACGGAAGAATTAACAGAATTTATAGAAATTTTACAAATTGTACTTCCACGTTTTTTCAAAGGAGCCTATAATTCTTTCTTGCATAGTAAGAGAAAATAAAATCGTAATTGCTGATTTCTTACTAACGAATTATAAAATTCCAGATAACAAATCACATTTACGTCAAACTACCCAAAAAATTAATCCACGGCCAGAAACAATAGACAAAATACAAAAATCTGTCGTTTGGAAAATGGAAAATGAACTTTATAATTTTGCTTTGACGCATTTCCATGCTGTGAAAAAGCGACTTATAAATGCTTCTCCTCAAGATGTGAATCAACGATTTATGTATGAAAAAATACGTCCAAAATAAATTTACTTTTTTTAACCTGGCATGCTTTGTCAGAATGATTTTTGTATAAAACAAACGTTAAATTTATTTACTAGCGTTAAATACGCGGAAATAATTTACTCAATTTCGTATTAATCTCTACGATGGTCTTCAAAGTTTGTCATCAGTGGATCTTAATGCAAACATATAAACCGGATACAACCCACGTGGAAATTTATGCTGTTGCTGCTCCTTTATGCAACTCAAATTGGATTCCTGAAATATACGATAAAATTCAGAAAGAGGTCGCGTTACTGATGAATCCTGTGTGTCGATCTCCAGATTCTCAGAACTTGTTACATTCTCCTTAATTACTATTACACCATTAGATTTCAAGCCAGTCCTGTAAAAATTTCATTCCATAACTGAAAGCAATTTACACCATTTTATCAGGATCAGTAGAAATACTTACGAGCATTTTTTTAGAAATTCTATCAAATCATCATGCTTTAAATGACCCAAAACCCATTGGCACCAAATGACGTCGTACTTCTTGGTAGCGAAGCAAAAATTTTGTAGTCCTTGAAACGTGATTTAATCAATTAAATGTCTTGTATTTTGTATAAACTGACAGGGATATTACCAATGGGATAATAGTTGCAAATTCTTGTCGAATAACTTTTCAAACATGTTCTAGCTACTTCTAAAAACTTTAAATTCTGCTCCACTAAATCAACATGTTTGAAATGATTTAACAATAAATTCTTAGTTATCCTTCCTATGCCTGCTCCGCAATCTAATGCGAACGTTCTCGATGGTGGATTTTTTAACTGAAACAAAACGAACTCAACTATTGTAACATTAAAAAAAATAAACACGAATGAAAAGTACTGTCAAATACCAAAAGATCAATCGTCATTAATCGTACATACTTCGAATAAACTTCTCAAGAATTGTGTAGAACCTTTTATGTCAATTTGAGAAATGAATCCAAAACCACCAAGCATCCCATCTATTGTAGGTGGAACACATTCCCAATATTTTGCAGCGTCTGTATAAAATTCCTGTTCCTCGACTCTACCTTCTTCTTTTTCCATCTTTGATGATTACGAAAAACGCGTCTTGCATTTATTCAAGTCAAAACAATTTTACTTCTATCTGTACGTCTGTTGTAATTTGACTCTGTAAAATAAAGTCTCAAGTCACGTGTTTGAAGAAGTCAATGAAAAACACGTGTCGAATTGTTCGTAAAACTTAAATCGTACATTACGTTTTCGATGAAAGCTATATCGGACAATGCTCAACGACGAGTGGTAAGCTGTTATTTTAGCAAAACTTATAAATTTTCACTGTCGATACAACTGTCATGTAAAATTGTACATTTCGTCGTCGATGATTTAACAAAATTATCGATCTATCGATCGCAACGAGCATCGACGTATCACCCGTTTCACACGGTCGATATGACAACGATACATCGATACATCACAGTATACAAAAAAGAACTTTTCCACAATTTAAAGGTAAATTTGCAAGAGATAAAAAATTATGCAGGGAAAAGTGAAAATCTACTCGCGACGCGAACGTTTGTACGCGAAATCTCGGATTACGGGCCACGTTGCGCAGAGTTGAGACACATTGTGCATTGGTTGTCGTTGGTGCGTATTCGCTGGTCAGTTTGGTTAGGATAAAATCGATGTTAGTCGTTAGTAGGCAGTTCACTTGGAATCATGGCAGAAGTACGGCTTTACGACTCGACGATTTGTCGGCTGTGCGCAGAGGACAATGTCAACGGTGAATTACTGTACATGGGCGAGAACGACGATCCAGATTTAAGCTCTATGGTCAATCGGTACTTGCCGCTCAAGGTACGAAGCAACAAAACGTTAGACTCTAACTTGACTTCCTGCTTTATACGCGAACACTGCCAGAATCAAATGTACAATATTTCCTCCTTATCGTACGCTGTTTGCCTCCTCTGTCTGTTAAACGTAAACATTTATTGCAATTCGTTGCAAATGTTGATTGCAGTGACTTCTTTGTTTTTCGATACAATTTTCGAATCTTTTATGTTGGACAGTTAGATAGTGTTGAGCGTACAATATATTTAAGTTTATACATTGTTATTAATTCCATTTCCATTTTGTGATCAAACATAATATTATTTCACGATATTAATTTTTCTTCCTTCTCGTGTGAGTCTCAGTTCAAGATGTCCGGGATTTCTGAGATTTTTTGAGTAATTTCTTCTCAACGTGAAAGCAGTGAGCGACAATTCAGAGTTTGAGGTTGTTTGAGGTTATGTCATAACACAATTTTGATTAAAGATACGGGACGATGGCAAATTACCACGCACCATTTGCCCTGGTTGTAACATTCAACTGGAGGCTACGATACAATTTTTTGAATTATTGGTGGATGGTCAGAGGAAAATTCGTGAGATGTGGAAGCATCAGATAGAACATCAACGTAAGGCCGAACGAGAACGCCTACGTGTAGAAAAGGAAACCACAGAAGTCAGATCAGAAGCATCAGAAATGGACAATATTTCAACAAGATACAACGAAGAGGACCAGTTCGAACAACAGATTATAATAAAAAGTATTGTCTCCGTATTAAAGATTGTATTATGTTCCAATTAAAAGATTATTAGTTATAATGTTATTTAACAGTAATGCCAGATGGTTCTATGTACGCTGCTGAGCACGAAATGAGTTTACAAATGGAGGGATTGAGTAAACCAAAACGAAAACGAGGACGTCCACCAAAGTCTCATACAGAGAATATGTCTATGGTTTGTAAAGATAACATGTTTGTTCAATATAAAATATGTTGATCGATTCAAATTTTAGGAATTATCGAAAGGAGAAGCAGTAGAGATAGCTAGTCAAGAAGAAGAAGACAAACATGAAGAAGAAACAGATGAAGTAGATGGAGATGGAAGACGTCGTAGAAAGCGTAAAGTTCCTAAAAGGTACTCTTTACAAATGGAAACAATTAAAAGTAATTGTTATCTTTTTTATAATAGAATAATAGAACATGAAATGTTTCAGATATATGGAAGCTGTCCAAGGGAAAGAACTAGAAAGAATATACAAAGAAGAAGGAGTAATTGATGAAGAAGATGATGATGAACCTGATAACTTTGAAGATTCTGAAGAACAATTAAATCTGTCTGTTCCTGATAGTCATGAAGGTAAAAAATAGTGATTGGGGATTAATTTAAAGATATTTATGTAACAGCAATTTTTCATTTATAATATGTTTAATAATTTAAAATATTTTATCTTGAACAAACAGACAAACATTAAAACATTAGAATATTTTATCTTCTCTTCAGACACATCCTCTTTTTTGTTTTGATTTACTCAATCCTTCCATTTGTCAACTCATGTCATGTAATAAATATTTTTCATTTGTTTCAGAAATAATTGGTCACTTAGAATCTGAAGAAGGAAAAGACCTTGGTGAATTGGTGATTGTAAATCGAGGTAGAGGACGAGGTCGACCAAAATTACGCCGGAGAAGAAATAAATTCACATGTCAATTGTGTGGTCGAGGATTTCTTCAACGTAGCAGATATATTGTACACAAGTAAGTAAAATTCAACCAAGTTTTAATATATATATATGAATGAAAATAATATTTGCTTTTTATAATCAGGAGTTTTCACAAAGGTACAAAGTACGAATGTTTAGAATGTAAAAAATTATTTACAAATAAAGAAAATTTAGAATTGCATCAGAAGGCAACTCATGATGTTGGGAATGACATTAATCAAGATTTTGAACATGGTGTTCAAGATCCAAACTTTGAATCAAAACATCACTTATCTGAAGCAGATGATATTTCTAGCACTCTTGAACATGTTTTAACTGAAGAACAACATTCAAATAAATTGTCAAGCAATTCTAGTGATACTCAGAAAAATTTTTCATGTGATCAATGTGAGAAATTATTTGAAACAAAAGAAATGCATGACTTACATTTAAAAATGGCTCATGATCGCGATAAATTATATATATGCACTATTTGTAATAAAAATTTCACTCAACAAGCGGCTTTGAAACATCATTTGTCAATACATGAGGTAAAGAAATAAATATGAATAAGTACTTTTAAAATTACAAAATATAACAATTTTTTGTTTTTCAGAGAAATAAATTAGAGAAAGAGTATCCATGTGATATTTGTGGAAAAGTGCTCAATCATCCTAGTTCTGTAGTATATCACAAAGAAGCAGAACACAATAATGGACGCCGATTTGTTTGTAACAAATGCGGGAAAAGTTTTAAACATAAACAATTGTTACAACGTCATCAACTTGTTCATTCTGATGATCGACCATATATTTGTAAATCTTGTAATGCCAGTTTTAAAACAAAAGCAAATTTAATTAATCATCAATCTACGCACACCGGGGAAAAAAAATATTTTTGCGAAATTTGTGGACAACAATTTGCACATAAAACTAGTCTCACACTCCATTATAGGTTACTATAAAAATAAAAAATTCAGTTATAAGTTGATTTTAATAATAAATAAATAAACGAATAATTTTTTAGGTGGCATACAGGACATAAACCTTATACATGTGAGGTATGTCATAAAAGTTTTTCACAAAATGGAAATTTACAAGAACATATGCGAATACATACAGGAGAAAAACCTTATTGCTGCGATTATTGTGGTAGAAAGTTTACTACTTCTTCGCAATTTAAACTTCATGTGAAACGACATACTGGCGAGCGTCCTTGGAAATGTGAATTTTGTGCAAAATGTTTTTTGCATAAAGATACCTGGAAATGTCACGTACGCAGGCACAAAGGAGAACGTCCTTTTCAATGTGCTCATTGTAATCGAGGTTTTACTGAACAATGGGCTTTAAAAAAGCATCTCCGTTTGCACACTGGTAACATTTTTATTTCATTTTCTCAAATTTTTTATTTTTGTCAATAATTTCAATATTAATATACGTGTTCAAGAATCATTATATTCTGAAAATTTATTTTTATATATTTTTATTTGTTAGGTGAAAAACCTTACTCCTGTGATATCTGTGGGAAAGCATTTGCTGACTGTTCAAACTTAACAAAACATAAAAAGGTAAGAATCCAAATTTTATTAATAAATTTAATAGTGATATATTTAAAAGTATGAAATTATTATCGAGTTGCTTGTAGGTACATAGAGAAAATAAACTTTCTGCAATAAGTGAAATAGAAGGATCTCCAATCGGAGAAGTTTGGCAAATTTTACCAAGTTCTCAAGAATCTGATGAGCATTCATTAACTGACCAAATGGCACAAGTTATTGCAACGGATGAGACATCTGGAGATGGTATTCAACAAATAATATATGTTTCATACCAAGATCCAGATGATCCTAATCAATCTCGAACTTTGCATTTCGGTAAAAATAAAAATTATATAATATTTTCCAATTCAATATATCTATCTCTAATCGAATTAACTTATATTTTATATCGAAAGTTGATGCTGGAATGATGAGAAATAAAGAGGAGAAACCAAATGTAAGCCAATCATTATCACATTTAAACGTTAGCAATGATGGAATGCTTTCTAATCCAGTTCATGCTAATGAAAATAATAGCTCAAACGAACGAATAAATGTGGAACTTTCAGAATCTGATCTTCAACTTCAGGTAAAAAAGAATGAGATTATTAAAATATTCTTTTGATATTAGAACAAAAATGTAAAACAATAGTTATATTTACAGATTACAGATGAAGAAGGTAATCCAATTCCTCTTTCAATTCAGGATGCCCGACAGCTTTTGTCTCAGAGTCAATTTGTTAATCAATTAAGTGATGGTCAAGAAATTAGAGTTCACTCTGGTGTCATACCAGATGAATTAACAACACCATTAAATGTACACGTTAATCAAAATTCTGATATAAAGAATGTTGACATTTCTAATACAGTAGAAACAAAAGTGAAAAATATTTCAACTGTACAAACAGATGCAGAAGCAATTGTAAAGGCACTACAGGTAATATTTTAAAATAAAATTTTTTAGGTAATTAATATCTTAGACTAATATTTTAAAAATTGGAGGTTTTTAATATTCTAGAAAAATAGTTTTCCATGTATGCATATACATAAAAGGTGTATAAAAATTATATGTTATAACTATCATGATTTTACATCTTTGTATCGGTGAATATTTGTTAAGAAAAATAGATGCAAAATTTATCTTGAAATTAAAGGTAAAATATTTTTGTTGATATCGTATGTTACTCATGAAAACCAAACTTATCAAAGGAATTAAAAATCTCAATTTAATGTTCCGTCTTCATATAATTTCGCATTCAAATAGAAAGTGAATAGCAATTATTTTTATACACCCTGTACATACATATACAATAATAGTAACATATTTATTAAATTAATAAAAAGTGACTTTCATTTATGTAAATTTATTTTTTACGTATAATATTTTAATGAATATTTAAAATGTTTTCTATGGAATTATCATTAATTGCATAAAAATTTATATACTAAAATAAGAAATTATTTTTTGTTTTAAAAAAATATTATTTATTACACATTTTTCAAATTCTCATTAATTTTTATAAGCACTATTGCTTAATTGCGAACAAATATTTTTGTTTCATTGTTATTCCATCGTACTTAACTATGATTTCAGTTTTGGTTACGATTGTTAGCATAAATAGTAATAGTTTTTCCACATTTTACTTGCAATATGTTTCTTATTTCAAATTCAATCATAGAGTACTGATCATAGAAATAAAAACGATTTATAATTATTGAAAGTCACTTATTTGAATAATTGCAAAAATAATGCCAATAGAATGTTAGAATTTGTAAACAGAATAATATCATTAAATTTAGTCTTCAGTAGGCTAGGAAGACATTATTCTATTTACAAATTCTATGCATTTTATATGCATATACAAATATAATACAAAATTAATATACTCTATTATATGTTTGTCCAAAAATTTTATTGTTACATACAATTACAATTATGTAATAGGATGAAGATACAGATGCAAGTGCTGTTGCAACAATTAATCAAATAGAAGGATCAGAACAATCAGGAATTGCCGAAAACGAACAAGCAATAGAATTCACTACACAAGATGGTCAGAAAGTTCGTTTAGTTACTTCTTATCACGTGGATCCAATGCAACTTGCTTCTGAGTACCTGACTATTGTATAAATTTTTAAAATAATTGTGGTTCATACAAACATTTTATACTGAATAACTAAATTTTTAAGATACATTACTTATTAATAAAACTTTGCTAGCTTACATAAATGCAACTTTGCTAGCTCGATTAAATCATGTACAATTATAATTGTTTTTTAGATAAATAGATAGATAGATAGATAATTGTTTATTCCTATAGACAATTTCTTGTTTTATTTCTATTCTCTAAAGCAATTATAGTCGTATAAGTTGATAAATGCTCCAAATTGACAAAATTTCGTTAATAATTAGACAATATACTTGGAAAGGTTTTTATGTAAATTGTTTTTTTAAATTTTATTTTTAAATTGTAAATTAATTTAACGAAATTCTTAAATGTCAAAACTAACTAAATATTGTAATAATCGATGATATACACACGCGTGCTTATATGTAGATTATGTATACATATATAATAAATATTTAAAACATTTGTTATTTCTTTTTCGATATTTAATATATTAAAGGAAAGATGATACATTAATTATTGAAAGTATTTTCAAAATTTCATTTAAGGGTTTAAATCATATTCATTCACCTTCAGAAATCCAGCATCTCTACAAAGCTGATACATTTGATTTAAATGTTCATCATTTTCAATAACATGATCTTTCAACAATAATTCTGTTCTTAGATTTGAACCAATTAAATCTTTATATCCAATTAATTTTGTTCCAACATTCAAGGTATTTACCCACATTGTATTTCCCAGGTGTAAATTTACCTATTTAAATTTAAGTTTATATTATATCTTTTTTATAAACATTATAAAAATCAATAAAAATATTCAATAACAAATAAATAAAAAATAATAATATATTATACCGTTCCAATCACATAAGATTTGTCATCAACATTTTCTTTAAACCATTCATGAACAGCATCAATTGCACAATTATTCCAAACATATTCATTATCATGTGGAGCTATACCAGTTAAAAATACTTCCATCACTTGAATAGGATATTTTATAAGTTCTTCTGGCATATATAACAATCTATATACCTAATATAGAAAATTATATTAATATATTACATATTTTGTATTGTCATGTTATATAAATATTTACCTCTACTTTGTTCAAAATTATTCCATTGTCAATACATTTTACATTTACGTATTTTGGATTCTCTGTCTTATTTTCTCTCTCAATATGTAAAATTTGTACTCTTTTAAAAGTATCTACTGGCTCTTCTAAACCACATATACATCCTACATCTAGCATTTCACATCTCTTCCTATAATAATAAATACGAATAATTTCTAAGAGACTGTTACATAAAGTGAGCGATCTTTACAGGATGTGACTTTAATAATCAAGATAATGAAAAAAATTTCATTTGAGATATATTTTGCAAATTATAAACGATTTAATTTTACGTTAAGAGTATATAAGTAGCAATGCAAATAGATAATTATATTATATTCAATTATATTTCTCAACATACAGTAAACAAACGAAAGTATCTATTGTTATTTGACTCAAGTCGTTGATCTCAGAGATTATAAATATCGCCCTATGTATAAAAAAGTTTATTATATTAACCTGTTTTCTGCACAGCGATAGAATCCTTGAATTTTTGTGTTATTTTGCAGGTACTCAGTATTGGAAAATTCTATTTCTTCCAATGTATCAAACTTAATGTATGATATAATTCTAGCAGAAACATGTGTAACATCGTGTATACTTACTACTCTGAATTTTACTTTATCATTTCTGAAACAATATCCAAAAATTGTTAAAACAATTTTTTTTATTAATTCTTAAATTTTTACTTACATTCGAATATTTGTAAGTGGCGCGTCAACTTCTAAAATTATTTTATGTCTAAATGCACAAGAAATTTGATTGTTACAAAATCCCCAAGACTTTATATTATCACAAATAGGATAATTTTTCTTTTTTTTTTCTAAAGCAGCTGTTACAAACTTGATAAATTTTTAAAGTAAGATTTTATTATAAATTAATTTACATATAAGAAGAACGTTATGATTTTGGTACATACCTTAACATTTTCTAATATATTTTCGGGAACATCAACATTCATACGCTGCATTATTTTTACTATATGTAAAAACTGTATATCATTATTTTCATCCATTATTATAGTCACTTTACAATTGCTATTTTTCTAAAACATTCAATAGATAAAATTGTTCATTAAATTACAAATAAACCTTTTTGTGGGTTTATTTGTTATTATAAAATAACATACCATTTCTAAATTTTCTAAAAGAGTTGAAAACCGAAAATTAAATAGAGTCTTTGAATGCATAGGAATTGAATAATGTATCAACCAAGTTATGTTTGTGACACCTATATCTGATAATACATTATCTGTACACACTAAAATTGGATAAGAACCATTTATACAAATATTCCGATATCGATTAAAACCTTCGGACAAAAACATTAAATACAATAACATCATTATAAATTAAGAGTGTTGAAGTCTTTAAATATTTTCTTACGTTGCAAGTGAACGAAATTCATATCCCCATGAATTAAAAGAGTCTTTTTATATTTTTCTAAAAAGGCAGCTAATTCTTTAGCTTCATCATTATTTGTACAAATTACTATAGTTCGCAAAGTGGAATATTCATTACCTAATAAATCTATCGTAAAACAATATTAAATTATTCAATATTACTACAATTATTTTTTTACATAATTAAATTTTACCTAGGAGCTTTTTACGTTTGTCTTTTGAATTTATTATATGCAGCTGTAGATGTACAGATTTAAATATTGCAGCTTCAATAAAAGATGCTATACATATGCATGGATTTTCAATTAAAATAGAAGCAATTCTTTTTAAATGCGATGTCCAGTGTGTTGCAGTTATTATAATTTGTAACGTCTTGTTTTTTAAGTCTCTATTACAAATAACATCATGTCGTTTAAATAATTGGCCCATCTAAAAAGAGTTTTAATTATATTTATGTGAATATGAGAACAAAAGATTATAAATAAAAGAAATGTACAGAATCAAAGTATTTATCCAAGATAATATCACCACCATCCAAGATTAAATAACGAAGATTTTTAAAATTCATCAATTTTTTATTTTTATTCATAAAACGTGTTAAAAATCTTGGTGTAGAAATTAGTATTTGACATCCATTAAACATTTCAGCCTAAAAATTTAATAAATTATTTTTTATTCAATTGAAATATATTTTGATTTTTCTCTTTACAAATTTAATCTAAAAAGTTTACTTACCACTAATGATCTTTCTGGTTTTCCATTAATTGCAGCAACAGATTTTATCATATTATAATTTTGTAAAAATTCTTTACATAAGAGATTGACTTCTAGTACTTCAGACGAGGAAGAACATAATACTAGTGCAGACGGATTTATTCCCTGAGGAAGCTGTTTCAAAATTTATATCTTTTAAGATGTAATATATATTTTCAAGTTAATATATAATAAATAATATGTTATAATTTGCTAATTATCTATTTCATAAATTAGAGAATAACTATATTATTTATATTATATCTAATAAGAAAAATTTTTTGTATGTACAAAAGAAAATAATATATTTTGTAATATTTGCTCCGATATAAACAAATAATTATTTTAAATGAAATATTACATTTGAGGTTGTAGCCAAAAGTCCACAAAGAGCAAATACATATCCAACAGTTTTTCCACATTTTGTTGTTCCAATTGCTATTACATCTAAACCTTTCTTTATAGCAGGCCATAAATATGACTGTATTTTTCTTGGCTCTGATGAATGTATTAATGATTTCCAAGCCTGAAATTGTAATAAATAAAATAATTGTTGTCTATCTCAATTTTTATTAGATGACTACACCTTGTGTATTTCTGCAGGAAATTGTGCATCTAAAGTAGAACTTAAGCATTCATATTTATCTACTCCATAAATTAATATTTTCTCCTTAGCTCTTTCAACTTCATGATGCAAATGATTATCTTTTTTGAATTCCATTTTTCTTGCAAGACTATAAGAAAGATACACATTGATAAAAATATTTAAAAAAGTAAAATTAATCAATCATATTTTTTTTATCGAACCTTTCTTCCTGTTCTTTTCCTTCATTAGTACTATCCAACACTTTTGAAACATTTAAATAAAATACAGTTTCATCATTGATTACTTTTTTATCTAGCTTTTCATTATTCATAGGATTTTTTATAAACTGCAACAATTCTATATCAAAAATTAAGACATTTCGTAAATAACATTTTCCTGCATAACAATTTTTTTATAAAACTAAATATTAATAACGCAAATTTATTAAATTACCATCATTTAAATAAATAGCATGATGATTTAAAACTAAAGCTTCACTTAAACGTATCATAGTGTTCTTTATACTGAGATAAAATTCACCATAGTATTTTTTATACTGATCAGATGCTAAATAATCAAAATAGATTATATCAGACGCGCTTATTAATTCCTTTGTGTATTCAATTGCAGATGTACTCCAATCCTTTAAAATTCTTTGTGCACATGTAAAAAAACTATATTTAATTTTTGGATACATAAACTATCAAAATACGTCAATTATTTAATTTTTTAATGTAACCATACGTTAAAGTTTCATTGTACACAGATGAATCATGTTTTACATTCACAGGTAAAACATTATATAAACCAACTGTGAAACTTAAATATTCTTCCAAAATCACATCGGATGAACACACAATAAAATCTTCTCTTTGTAGTATCACAGAAATTCCATAATCAGGTAAAAAAATATTATACGCATTCTGAGTTTCAATATTATTAATATATCCTCTGCATAACCAACCGGGACAATCAGTCATCATATCTAGTTTATTACGTGCTATGACTGTCTAAAAGAATACAAATTTGAAATTAATTCTTTTTTAATAATTACGAGTAAAATAATATAAACTAACTTTATAAAGTTATTCTAAACTTAAGAAGCTAAACCGTAAGGGCTTAATCTACACATAAAAAGAAGAAAAAAATGTTATACAAAGTTTGCCTTATAACAACAAATGAAGTAAACATATATAATGAATTCTGACATACATTCATACAATTATATGATTACACAGAAGGTTGACTGTTTATTTGATCTGTGTAAATACTTTTTTAAATATCTTTTTAAATATCTTTAGCTATATTCTATTGTATATATTATTTTATTATGTATATTTTATATATTACTCTTACTAACAACTAGTGCCAAACTATTATCCGAAGTAGCATCTTACATCAAAATGCCACAAATTATTTACTAATAAAGAATGCTATCTATTTCATACATATAATTACTATTTACAACTCTGCAACAAGATATTTCCTGAGAAACTTTGTGGAACAATTTTTTCTCTTTTTTATGCCCTCGCAGTTTGACCATTTAAGTTTGGAAATTATAATTTGTATAAGAATTATATCATTTACTACTAGTAATATTATAATACTATTAGCAGTATTACAATACTTATGTCACAAGCCAAGCTTACATCTCCTATCTTTGGTTCTATACATTCTTCAGTACTACTAAGCGTTTTCTCTTTTTTCAATAATTTCTTATTAATAGAATTTAATCTTTCATTATACTGATTTACTTCGTAAATCCTTATAACGTATGGAGTTAAAACATTTGTAACTTTAATTATCGTTGCAGTGGGCGGTAACATGATAGCTGCAATTAAATATTATTAGTTTAACATAAAATATCGACATCACGAAACAATCGTGAATAATTATTTTCTGATACTCTAAAATGCATTGAAATATATATTTCATGATAAAATGCAAACCTAACCTGTATCTGTGGTTCTTTGGTCACAAGTATATATATGTGTGTGTATATATATATATATAATCAACGAAAAATTAACACAACGTTAATAAAAAATTACAAATATTGTTTTAATTAGGTATTACAATATTTACCAGAAAGTATTGAGAGATTGTTATTGATTAGGTTTAGCTAATAGTAAGTAAAACTAATGGTAAGCAAAATTTAAACAGATGTAAACAGTCAATAGACTTCACAGTAGATAAAGAAGGTGATCTGCTTGAATATTTGATTTTATATTTCTATAATAAAATATATAATATAAAAACGTTTGTAGTAAAAATTAATGCAAAGGACACAACTTTTAAGTGAAATAACTAATTGTTTTATGTTTTATTTTAGTTTTCAGTTGCACTATACGCTTTTAAAGATTTACGTTACAGTAACAATGTTATTTGTTTACAATTATTAAAAATGATGATTTTGTTATTTATTACAAAAAATATTTAGTGCGTTTGTAAAATTTTTTTTATTGTTAAATATATTGTATTCATTTTAATTTCTTTCTATAACAAGGTTAATTGGTATCAAAAATAAATATTAAATTTTAGTATTAGCAATTATTTATTAATGTCAATTATTAATGTCAATGTAGCATAATTTATGCAGCACTAACTTCTGAAATATTTGTTTAATATTTGTTATTCAATAAATGAATATTTATAATTTATAATCTTATTTATGTAATATGTTGATAATTTTAATTTGCAAAATAAACAAATGTATTATTCTTTTATTCCACAGGTCCAAAAATTCTTGATAATTAAGATAAAAAGATAATTAAGATAGTGATAAAACAAGCCAATTTCAATTTGGATATAATGTCAACTTTGAAAAATAAAGGATGTCTTTTTTTGGCTTCTTCACTTTGTGATGGTCTAGAAGATAACGATATAAAGTAAGAGCTTGTTTACATTTGAATGTTATCATTTAATGTTCAACCAACATTTTCTTTAATTATCTGTTATTAGTATATAAATACATTTTAAACTTACAAAATTGTCATCAATCTATTTTAATAGGCAAGTAACTACGTTGCTTTTGAACAAGGATGCAAATCCTAACACATTAATTCCTACATATGGAGTGACTCCGTTCCATTTAGTAATAGGTAATGACTCTGAAGCTTTCGCTGAGGAAGTGACTAAATTATTTTTACGTCATGGTGGTAATCCAAACGTTAGGTAATTAATTGAAATAAGATTAAAGTAATTAAGATTAAGGAACAATTAATTTTACGTTTCAAAAGATAATTGAGAAATTTCATACGATACATGAAATTAAAATATTGCTATTCCAATTCATTTTATAGGTCAATTGATGGATTAACTCCAGTTCATGTGGCAGCAGCATGGGGTAGAGTTAAAGTTCTTGAATTACTTTTGACAAACGGTGGTGACCCACTTTGTTTGGACGATGATGGTCGCAGTCCATTCCATTATGCATTTGACGGAAAGTATTATAAAGCAATTGCAATACTTGGAAAATTTTGTGATAACACTGTGAAGGAAGAAAAAGCAAACTATAAAATGACTTTTGGTAAAAGGAATAAATTAATTCTAATATATTATTAAATATTTAAAAAATAAATAAGTTCAAAATAAATATTTTTTGTAGATAAACTCCTGATTAGTAGTGAAGATACAATAGCAGAATATATCGTTCCGCAATCTTTAAACGTTACTAAAAAAAATATATGTAAGGAACATAGAGATGAAAGTTTTGCTAACACAAAATGTGTAAATTTTTATAATTTCGATTATAGTAATAATGATAAATTTGACAATGCAATGACAAGTGCAGTTGAGCTTCAAATTCGCGAAAAAATGGATAAAGAAAAATGTTTAGTTAATGAAATTATTAATCAGCTCTCAAACTCATTAAACTTCAAAAAAGAAAAAATTAATGAGGAATATGGACAATCTAAAAATGTTCATCAATTCAAAAGTGTTCTGAATGATACAAGTTTCTCATCTACAATAAGTACTGATGACAATACATCATATAATATCAGAGATAAATTTTTACTAAAAATGAGAGGAAAGAAACAAGCTGTTACTCCTAAGCGTCATCGCCAAATTTTTAGTCAAAAGAATAATATTAAAATTCCTTCAACACCTCGGTATGATCCAAATGATTCCATTATAAGCAAATCGCCAAATTTTTTAATTGACAAATCAATAGAGAAAGAACAAAAATATTTATCTCCAAAAATATTAAATAATGAATTAAGATTTAAAACTTTTACACCTTCCATGACGAAACATCACTTGTTTCGGTCAGAAGAATTTAATACCAGAAAAGACGTAGCGAAATCTACCCCAAGAAGGAAGAAACGATTTTACAAACAATATTCATCTCTGAGAAAACTTAGAAGAAATTATGAACTTACATCTTCAGAAAACACAAGTCCTGATGCTACAAATTCTCTCTCACCAATACAGAGTTGCACAAAAAATTTGAATTATAAATTTAATAAAAATCTGGCAATAAAATTACATGAAAATAAATATGATGACGACGATATATCAATACATTTTAATGAAAATAAAGATAATACTGAAACATGTGCATTAGAAAAAAATGTTATAGAAGAATTTAATAATAATTTTAGAAGTCAAGACATACAAAAAACAGACTTTAAGGAAAAAAATAAAGAACAGTTAAAAAAATATATACAACAAGAACAGTTTACAGATGAAGTAAAAATTGATGATACTGTAAATATTTTCAAAGAAAATTTAAATACCTTTCTTTCAAGGTAAAATTATTATATCCATTTTTATCCATATATACAGAATAATAAAAAACTTTCAGTTACTAACTTTAATTTAAATAAAGAAATGTTCATAACTTTGAAAATAATCAATATGTATTATCTTTTTAAATCCTTGTGTATTAGAATCGTTTTTTTTCCTTTGATTTTCTGCGTGTAAAAATTCTAAACTGTATTTTTATTATCCTGTATATTTTACTGTATATTTTATCTTTCTTGGATTTTATTATGAACGTATGTAGTATTTCATGTCTGTTAAATTAATTGTTTTCAATAGTTACAAATCACAGTCATACATCAGTGTACAAGAAGAATATAAATATGAAGATCCTGATGAAGGCATGACATTCTTAGAACGTAGGATTTACACATTATCACCATGGTAAAATATGATATTCCTTATCACATTGATTTTCCTTATCGCATTGGTCATTTTCTTTATCAGCTTTCCTTATCATATTAATTGATATTCCGTCATTCAAAACGTAAGTGATATTAATTTCTTATTTCATTTATTTATTTATTTACAGCAAAAGTACAGACTGTATTTCATCTGACAAAATGTGTAAGATTTATCAAAATTATTTCATATTTCAATCTGTAACTTCTCAAATTACAATTTATAAATTTATCTAGGGCCTAAATCATTAACTCTATCAATGGATTTAACAAACGATGCGCTACGAAAGGAATTAATTCGTTATGGTGACAAACCTGGACCAGTAGTTGACTCAACGAGACAAGTATATTTAAAACGACTTATCAAGTTAAAAAATGGATCACATAATCTTTCTCATTCATCCTTTAAAATTAATCATGGTCCGAAGTTGGATTATTATGAATCTCAAACGGAATCATTTCTGATGTTTGGCGATTGGGTAAATGATTTAGAAAGATACAAAATCATTGAACAAAATATTTTTAGAGAATTTTCGTTAGGAAGCTCTTCTAGAAAATGGAGAGAAGGAATGAGTAGAACTTGTTTTAATTATTTGTTCTTGGATCCACGTATAACCAGAGACTTAACTTTTCGTACAAAATATTTGTCAGAATCTGAAACCTGGAATATATTTTGTTCTGCTATATTTTATGTGGGCAAAGGTACATGCAACAGACCATATTCGCATCTTAAAGATGCTTTTGCTGCATGGGTTTCGAAGAAAAACCCTGAAAATGCAAAAATCCAACATATTTTACATATTTGGAATGCTGGATGTGGAGTTGTTTGTCTTCATGTTTTCCAAAACAGTATTCCAGTAGAGGCTTACACGCGCGAAGCTGCTATAATTGATGCTTTAGGAATACAAAAATTAAAGAACTCCAAAAGTGGAGATTATTATGGAACAGCGAAAACATGGAATATGGAAGAAAAACGCAATTTTGGAAGATTTTTGTTATATCAAGCACTGCGTATCTTTCTATGTGAAGGAGAAAGACAAATATTACCTGAAAATATGTAGAATATAAATTTCATTCTTTCTGACGAACTAAAGATTACAAGACTAAATATTACAAGAATGACTAATATATACATGCATACATATGTATCTATTGTAAATATATATATATTTTTTTAAATTTAGGATTTATATCTAAGTGCAATGAAATGAAAGCAAATAAAAGTTTAATTTAATTTTATTATTATTTTATTAATGAATTAATTTAAGCATATAACTACAGATATGGTCTTTCTGGCTCTACTTTTCGTAATCTTCGACGCCAGTTTTTGGGATACCATCTATGTTTTGTAGTGTATGTAATTTTAGAAAGTTCGTCAACAACGACTTCTTCTCTCTTGTGCTTAAAAACCTCGGCGATCTCTTTTTCGCCAATACATAAAACAGAATTCGATGAAACTTGTTTTTCCTCTGGTAATGGCAATGAATATTCATATGGAAATTCTCGTTCTGGATGCCAACAAATGATCATATCTTTATTCAGTGGTATAACAATTTCTTGAGGTAATTTAACAGAACTTAAATATCGTTTGCAAGATATATTCAATATACGTGCAATACCAATTGCATTGTTCATCTATTCAAAAAGGATGAAAGAGATTATAGAAAAATTCATTAACAAATTTTTATAATATTTATAAATAAATATATATGTAACACTCAACCCCCTCAGATCTTTTGTATGCACATAACATTCATTTTATTTTAAATTTAAAAGTATAAAACAAAATTTGGTCTCGTGTAACATGTGCAATATAACATGTCCGTTGTAATTACATACACAAAATATCAAAAAATTAATTAAAATCTGTCGTAATCACATTAATTCTACATTATTTAAATTTATTTCAAAATGTAAAAATTCAGATGTGGAGGGGTTCGGAATATATCTAAAGTTATAAATATAGTTATATAGTAAAGTTATACTTTAGATACATTAGAGAAATAACCTTCAAAGATTAAAAAATTCTGTAACTAATGAATATCTTTATATCATACTTTGAATATAAATCGCAAATAAACGTGTTGATGTAATATTTATGTTATAATTACACGTACAATTTATGTTACAATTATATCAACAAATGGCATGAACAACTTGATTCTAGTACTGCCACATATATTAAATCTCTCGATAAAGAATAATTACTACATCTTTTCAGTAAAAATATCAGAATTATAACATTTAAATTATTAATCATACGAATTTTTTGCAATGTTTGATAATGATAATGTCCTTATAATTGAAATTATTGAAATTATCGTTCCGTTTTAAAATTTTTTCAAATAAAAAACATAATCAATTTTACATTCGAGAATATAATTTATAACACTATTTTACATTCGAGAATATAATTTATAACACTATTTTACACCAATGAGATTATAGTAAAACTATTAAATATAATGTATAGATATACATAATGATATAGAAAAAACATTTTTATTACTAATTAATTTTATTAGAAATAATAGTAATAATACAAGTCAAATAAGTTTAAATAATTTTCATAATTAATTTTATTTATATTTATATATAATAGATACAAATAATATAATATATATAATATAATTATATAGCATACAATTATTATTTAAATATTTCTCTATAAGATAAAGAGAGATATAATAGTCTACAGTTTAGTATATGTTTAAAGGGCAAAATATTTCAATAAAAAATGTTACAAATGATTATAAATATATTTATTTTTAATTAAAAAAAAAACATTTCACTCTTTTAGATAGTTCTTTTAAACATAGATATAAAATGTACAAAAAGAAAATCTAAAATATTAAAAAATTTTTATTATATAATATAATATTTAATATGTAATTGTAATAAAACAATAATTATAATTATTAAAATATACATTGTTGAAAAAATTCAATAATAAAAGAAATTTTTCATTAATCATGAAAAAATAAAGAATTACCTTCTACTATTTTGGTGTTCCTTGACTGTTTATATGGTGATCGCGTTAATTTGAATGTAAACAAATCTAGAAGCAATTCTACAAGAATGAAACATTTAAATAAAACTGTTAGAAAGTCTGGAAAAATTTAGATGTAGGTTTATATTGAAGTTTACGTCATTGAATAGACATATAAAGAGAGTTTTTTTAAAACAGTTTTCAAAAAACTCATAATAAAGTGAAATAAACTGAACTTAACCATGATGTCTACATTAAACATTCTTGATCCGGATGACAAGTTGATGAAAAAATTTCAAGAAACATTACGCTCGCATTTGCTACATATTGATAACAAACTTTCAGAAGAGATATTTAATCTTGTAAGAAATTAAATATAAATACATTTTATACTATTATGTTCAATGATGATTCTTGTAACATTTCAAACCATACTCCTATAATGTAAATTTAATTGTATATTTTTAGGATACTTCCGTAAAACATGCAGAAAAAGAGTTGGAATCAGAAGCTGTACGTCTTTATCAAATACAAGAAGAAATTCAACATCAGCATACAATGCTGCAAGAATATATAGAGGCATTGTCAAAAGTTACATTGCTTAGGGAAAACAAGAATGACAATATAAAAAATGCTAAAGAAATTTTGAAACAAAATTATTCCAAATTGAAAGAAGAGAAGGACAAGAGAGAGAAGTTGTCTCAAAAATTAAAAAATTTATTGACGTTTCATTCTTACTTATCTAAATGGGAGAAAGATTTGAATGATCATTTAATAATATCCAAACAAATGTCACTGCAAGATGTTAATAGAAATAAGACACTAATTAGTAAAAAACAGCAAAGAGATTTCATATTATATCGATTGAAAGAAGAAATATGGAAAATCGAATCAGAAATAGCATATATTGACGAACAATTGCAAATTAAAAACAGAGAAAAGGAAGATGCTAATAGAATGATAATTGATGCAAATACAGATTTAGAAACCTTGCACACAGAAAATAAAGATTTGCATAATATATGGAAGTCTGTGGTAACTAATATTTGTAAAAGAAACTCTATTCATGATCAATTACATCTTGAACAAAAGTAAGTATTACAAAAATCTATAATTTATAGAGATATAATTGATTTGAAATTTACTTTAGCATTTCCATATATATTTTTTATTATTAATCTAAAATAATTGCTAATAGTTATTAAAATAGTTGCTTATCATTTAAATTTATCTTATAGATATATTCTCTCATTATATGCTCAAGATAAAATATAATTATCAACATAGAATTATCAAAAACATTTTTCATTTTTTTAATTTACTAACTTTTTATAGAAAAAAAATTACAAAGTTGTATTATTTCATTTTATTTATAGAAATATTAATTTTTTTTAGAGAAGCACATCAATTATACAATGGATTATTATTAGAAATACAAAAAATAAAAAAAGAAACAGAAAAAGAAATGGAAAGTAATGAACATTTGACATCTTTATCTTTTCGAATAGAAAATAATATTAAAATTACATCAAAAGCGATATTATTATATAATGAAAAAATTGCAAATAATAAATTAGAATTACAAAACTTTACAAAAATCAGTGAACAAATAGAATACGATTATAATATTATATTTAACGTATGTTAAATGTATTATAATTTTTACACAAAATGCTAATTGAATTTATTCTAAATTAATATAATTTTAGGAGTATCAGAATTATTTATGTGAAGAAGAACAAGTGAATAAGAAATTTGAAAATATTTTTGAAAAAAGAAATAATCTAGAGGATACTGTATTTAAAAAGTTGGAAGAAAAAGTTATGTGCAATAAAACCACTAAATATATAAATGAGTTATTAATAAATACAAAAAATGCTGTATTACAAAATGAAATTTCAGTTGCGCATATAGAGAATACACATGGAAATAATCTCTTACAATTGGAAAAGCTTAAAAATCTTATTGAAAATAAAAAAATAGAATTACAAGAATTGTTGGAAAAAAATGTTGGAAAAGAAAAACAAATAGACGAATTGCAAAGAAAGATAAAGAAATATGAAACAATGACGAAAAAAGCACAAACAAAACTTTTAGGAATAAATAAACTTATTGATCAGGTTATTCATTCTATTCTTTTAATTAAATAACAATTTAGTAAAAAAGTTATATACTTATAAGTGTATAATTTTAGATATTACCAAGTACCAATGGAGAAGATTTGAGTCCACTGGATTTGAAAATTATAAGTTTAGAAAAGAATATTCAGGAACTTCAACAAACTATCAAAAAAACACAACAATTTTGGTTACGCCAACAAGGCTTTGTGGTTTCATTAAGTCAACAAAGAGAATCCCAATTACAACAATTAAATTTTCTTGAAAAAGAAGTGATGATAATGGGACAAAAAAATTTTAAATTGGAACATGCATTAGAAGTGCTCACAAAAGAAGAAGCAAATACAAATAAAATTATAGTTTCTCTTGATCAAAAATTATTTCGTATAAATTCAAATTTAATGATACAGAAAGATCTAAAAATGGAATTAGAGAATAAAAATTGTATAATGAAGAATGAATGTCTTTTATCTTTTCAAGAATTGGAATTAGAACTTATAAAATTACAAAGTAATTTAAAATATGTATGCACTGAGAAATTAATGCTGAAAGAGGATTTAAATTCTGTACTACAAAAAAGTTTAGCATGGGAAAAAAAGGTAATTAATTATTATATAATACACATATTTTGTTTATCATGCAATTGTTACAATATTTATGTAATTAAGGTCCAATTAATACAAAATACAATCAAAGAAATAAAAGAAGCACAGAATACTGGAAATATAACTTCAATGAAAAGTGAAATTCATAGAATGCAAATGCGACTTTCTTATTTAAAAAAGATTCAGGAAAAATTAATTCATGATATGAATCTTTGTGTTACAAGAAGAAATATTATAGTTGACAAAGTGTTTGGTAAACTTAAAAGAAATTCAAAAGTGAAACATAATGAAAAGATTGTAATGCATAAACGTTTGTCTGATCAAAGAGCAAAAATTAAGCAACTTTCAAAAGTAAGCATTTAAATAATTACTTTTTAAAAATTAGCATATTACACAATTTATTATTTACAGATTACGAAACAAACTGTTGATATAATAGAAAAACTAAAAAGTGAAATAATAAGTATTCGGGACAAATTAGTCAAATGCCAAGAATTTTTGCAGAATTTAAAGGAACATATTAATACTATAGAAAACGAAATTGAACAATTAGAATTGCTTAAATATCATGTATGTTATTTATTGTATTGCATTAGATAACATAATTTACCGATATTTACTTCTCAATTTTTAGAATTTACATAGTTTAGTTCTTAAACAAAGAAAGGTAAAACAATTATATGATATTAAAAATGGTATATATAAAATGATTTATAAAAATGAAAACATAATAGAAGAAAATTTGCAACGAGAATATAATTGCAGAGAATATTTAAAATGTACATTGGAAAAAACTGATCATGATTTTCCAATGTTAAAGAACGGTATAAAAAAAGTATTACTAACTCTGCAAATAATTTAGGAACGTAAAGTAAGTATGTAAGATAAGATAAATGCACGATTATTATATTATCATTGAATAAATACTTTACATAATGGTACAAAGTTCTACTAACTTTCATAAGAAAATATTTAAGTCATTATTAAATAACATGTATATTTTCATATGAGATTTCTCCAAATTGTAAATAATAAAATAAATATACAATTATATCATTGAATGACAGAAGTAGAGAATTTGATGTAAACTACAAAGACCGAAAATCTTACGATTTAAAAAATAAAAAAAGTGTAGAAGGTAAGAAATTTATATTTATAAAATATATAATTAAGTTACATCATTTATATCGAGATTAATTAATCGATCAATTAATTGAGATTAATTTAATCACATTACTGATATGAGACAGTTTTAAGATATTTTTCAAAGCATAACCAGACTTAAAGCTAAAAGCATTAACTATACATAAATGTGTTTTTAAATATTATTGCTAAATTGATTTTTATAATTTTTTCATACAATACGTAAGTAATACACAAAATATTTGTTTCTATCTTTACAGGAAAAATAATAAATACTAATACTATTTTTGAACTGAGATAGAAAATAATTATTCAATTTTTTTAAAAATAAATTTGATTAAAAATTAAAAAATTTCTAATATTGTTTTATGATTAATATTAAATTAATTATTTTTAGATATTTAGAAAAGTGAAGAAAATGAATGAAATACATTATGGTATTTCACAA